AGTGGATTTTGGTGGGAAATGGTGATTGATTTTACTTTGCATTTACAATTAAGTCTAAAAAAGTGTTTGTTGTAATATACCACAAAAATGACCACTGCTACTTATTAGCATTTCAAATTGTTGTAAATAACACTTTTACTCTTTAGTTAGTTACAAAGTTTGAACAGATAGCATCTGCTTCTCTTAGACTCTGTTTAGATAAAAAGATGTTGAGTTACATGTGTTGTAATTTAATATTTACAATCTAGGTAAACACAGCTGTCTAATAGCCATAATTTGAAGAGTCCTCTGGACACCAATAAATAGTAATAAACGCATGTCTTACAGTGTACAGAGGATATAGTATGCCTTTAAGTTTCAGAATATAGGAATGCATGAAATTTTGCAGTAATGCAGAAGCAGATCACCTATCAGGCTATACTTTGTTGAGTCGATGATAAAAATATCTATGACCCCATCATTTTCACATATTGGCGCGTTTTTTCCCCACATTTTTGACATGTCATTATCCATATTCATTTTGCCTAAAAATTTGCTTTGTCATATTGTATGATGACTGTTTTGTTCCGTTTTCATTCCTTACAGATGTATATTGACTCATTTTCATGTAGAAAACCATTTCGGTGTTGAGAGTCACGCTGGGTGTTGCCATGTCTCGTAGGATTAAACACTGCAGCACACATCCTGGTTGTATTGGGTTGGGATACTTCGGTAGTCAATCAACTGGTCTAATTTTGAATTAAATTTTAACGGTCATTCCCTTTCATTTTAGACTTGCCTGCTTTCAATAGCTTATGTTGTCACCTCAACATCAATCATATTGGATTTTAGTATTATCTTACCCCCAAAAACTCGGTGATATAATCAAGTATGACAGAATTTGTGAATCACCTGGGAATGTTCCCTGTATCTTGAAATTTAAATCTGGAAGGGCAAAGAGATTTAAAGTCAAGGTCATTGAGGTGAACCATGTTTTGATAGGTATAAGTTAAATTTACTACTTAATTCTTTACTGTTTTGATGATGCATGTATTAAATAGAAAACACATTTTCTGCATTCTTCAAAGATTTCAGACTTGTTAAACTTACATATATGATGACAAAGACATCATAATCAGACATCCAAGTGTCCTAACTGTAGGTTGACTGACACTGTTGAACAGCATGGAAATACTAGAATTTGCAATGTTTTTATGAAACATTTGATGAAAATTTCATCAGTTTTCATATATTCAGTTCTTTAGTTCAATGTCAACATTAGCAGTACTGTCATATTTAGGTTTTTACAATTACGCTGTAGAACTTATCCTGATCAACCTCGTTAATCATAGAGTTGAACAATGAGTCACAGAATGAGCTGTTTTTCACTGATCATTCGGTTAACCTGACCTTACAGTAGCTTGGAAGTATTCCCACAAAATGCTATCCTCCTTGTAGATAACACAGTATCGCTAAAACCACATTTCATCAAGAGAAAATAAGATATATTTTGTGTTTGAAAAGATAACTGGTTTTATTTGCTTGTGTTTTTAACAGCTATACGTGACAGGGCAGAAATACTGACTGTCATTACATTAAGGCCAAGTGTGTAGCACCTGTCCAGGGGTATCTAGATAGTACTATATTTCAGACTGATAAATTGGATATTGATGATGTCGTTAAATATTCCATTTTAGAGACCCCCAAACAAAAAATACCTTGATGTTGTGAATGGGAGCTGTTAGTACAGATATACAAGTTTATCAGCTTTAGTAACATTTCAAGGCACCGCATATAAATGCTTCTTGAGACTTGTCAGAACACAACATTATATCAATGTTATCGCATGATCAGTCTGTATTTTGTAATGATGCAAGCTTAACCTCAATGATAGCTGCACAGGTAATTTGTCCCATGTACCACTTATTCATAAAGATGATGTTTGTCATTCATTTCATGTATCATTTGGAGTTGATAAACATCATAAGAGCCAAAAGTTGATTTTAGATACAATAGTCCAAGTAGTCTTATGTCTGACCTTCAAAAGACTAATGTCTTAGGTATAATCACACATAGATTTCATGTTAACCGGTAACCTAACATTGCAGTCATTGTATTATGATATTATGATGCAAGGTACCAAAGAGATTTTATTTGACGTTATTTGAAAATAATACACCATTCGAACAGTTGCATAAAGATGTGGTGTGGTTGGCAAGATCATGGGATGGTAGGATGCTGTGGTGACACAACACTGTATTAATCGGTTTTCTTTAGCTTTCCACTTCTTCACCAAGAGGTTAAAAGCAAACGAAGTGGAATGGCACTTTATGTGTTACAGATACTACAAAAATTTATTCAAACTTCACTATAAAGTCATTTTATACAGAAGAGATCGTTCCCGGAAATTGCCATATGAATCTTGTTTGTGTAATCCAGTGACCAAACATAATCTGTGTGAAGTCCTAACAGATATGTCTTCACTTATCAGTTGTTCTGGAATTGTTTGTGAGACATTTGTTTTTATGTTAAAACTGTCTTGCTGTTATTTTTTCGAGAGCTTTCTGCAGATTTGCAAATGTCAGTGATATACATGTCATCATTTCTGAATTTGCAATTTCATGTTGAATAATTATGAGGCCCAGTGAGATGCATTCATCATCACTACAATTTCTGTTGCTATTTTCATTTGCTGTAGGACAATATGTTTGTATGATTTCAAAACAAGTAGTTTGCTGACTTTTCCCTTGATCTTGATAAACAAGTAAATATATATGTATAATATAAAAGATAATTTAGATATAAATCTCTATGTATATAGATTACCATTTACTTTTTATACATCATTGTCTAAACTTGCTGATGGATGGATAAATGTATGATTTATACTATTAGTGGTATATAACCTTGAGAATTCGAACTTTAACATAAAGGGCACTTCACATACTGGCAGGACTTAAAATGTGCAATAATAAGATCTTGAATTGTTTTAATGATTTAACTTTTATGTGGATTTATAATGATTTATGGTCTTTCCACAGAAATTATCAGTTTTGCATATTGAACAACAGCATTTCATTACAGGTCATATTATGCCCCAACTGATGTAACAAGTCAGTTTATCCTCATACTAGCTTTTATGTTGTGATAGAAATAGGACCCACAAACTTGTGGTTGTTGCATATTGTATGTCTGTCACTTGTGTTACCAGCAGTTGTTTTCAAAACTTATAAAGAAAACTTGCTAAAGCTGGTGTTTTTACAACTTTTAAAAAATAACTTCAGCCAAATACATACTATATTGGACAATGACTAATTGTGTAACTTTTGCATATTCGTTATAAAGTTTTTCTTTAGGGTTTCAATTACCTGAACGTTTACTTCTAAGATTAACCTGATGATAAGTTGTTGGTTAGTTCAATAGTCCCATATATTAACCTTTGAGAGGAAGTTCGGCTCTGTAAAAACTATCCGAACTGTGTAATTGCTTTAGGTTTGTTTGAATATTCAATATTGAATTGTTTACTTAGTATTGAATATTTCTACTTTATATGGAAAGTTTAACTTTACATACAATATGAATAATCTAATGTCGTGTCACAAGATATAAAATAAAACCCATAGAAGCTACATATCATCTTTTAAACACATTTTTTTTATCTCTATGTCGGGAGTCATAAGATATTTATGTAAAAAAACCACTCTCTATACTTTGCCAGTATAACTGAATCAAACTGGATATAAGACACGTTTGTCGATTTCATGGTATTTGAACAAATTCAATAACTAGAACAACTGTTGAGAACACATGCTTACTTTTCATGTTCGGGTTGTTAGCTCTAGTTATTAATTAGCTCTTCATTACATCATGCTGCGTAACGATTGGTCGAGAATAAATAGTGTAATATTGATAAAACAATCCTACAGTGAATGAATCATCTCCATATAGCACGTCCCCACTTTTGAGGGCCTCATTTCAGCTTATCGGTCTGCGCCTTATCTAACCTATAAGCCACTCTGAGGCCGTGGGTTGGTTGAGAGCGGCTTGGTTACCGTGGCATTATGAGATTTATCCCGGGTCTTGTCATATGTTATGTAGAGACTAAAATTTAGGGCTCTATATTGGCTGATATGGCTTGTTTGCACAAGACACAGTTCACCTGGAGTCTCCGGCTCTGCACAGTTGGGCAGGTAACACGACACAGACCCGGCAGGATTTCAAAATCGGCCCGCCAGACTTTTTGAAATTTCATCTATGTTCGAATTATTTAGAAATTTAACAATCTTATTTTCTTATGGTGATGAGATCGTTATGCCTTATTAGTAACATTGAAGGACAGGAATTTCTTGAAAGAAAAATTTGCAAATAGTATGTGTTTGGTGACTACAAGTTCCAGGGTTTCAAAATTAGAATGAGGTAAGACTATTTCGAGCTGACAATACTGACATGCTAGTTAAAATGTTTTTAGTTCCATTGAATATCTTAGTTGGTGTGTATTTGCTTTCGAACAATACTTTCTTGAATTTTGGCCATTGAGTTTCATTTTCAAATGTTTAAAAAAGTACACACAATTACAGGATCAGGGACAGAAAGCTGATATACCACTCAATTTTATTGCCTGAATTTTAATAAGGAAAGACTATTAAGATAGTTTAAATTTCCTCTTTTTTTTTCTTTTTTTTTTGTTAAATTGAAAGCTTTTGATTTATTTTGTAGTGCAGCAGTTATTTCAGACATGTAGATAATACATTATCCTTTGAATCTTAAACTTTTTGCAAATTTGTTAGACAATATCGAGACATAGTAAAGTAAAACATAAGTTTTCATACATAATGTAGTGTACCATTTCTGCCCAAATGGTCAACACTGTAAAAGTATTGCCCCTGATATGTAGAACTTAACAAATGGGCACATGATCTACTTATCATTTTTGTCTATATATAATCTTATCCTGCCATAAAAGGATGTAGACTCAGCAGGTGCTTGTCCAAAATTATCAACTTTTCATGTTTACTTAACAGATCATGCTACAGAGCTGAGGATTGCACAGGAAAAGATTACAGAGTGCCAGACAATTATTACAGCACAGAAAAATGAGGTAAGTGGAGACTAAATACATGTTCTGGAGTAAATGCTCTGCCGGCTTACTGTTTGTACAGCACTCAAAGGATTACGTCATGAGGTGTTTGGTTAAGTTATAAGTGCAAACTTTTTCTATTGGTGCCCATCTCACCAAAGTCAACATTTCAAAGTACAAACCTGTTGGATAACTTAGATGATACTTTCAAATTTGGCAGAACCTGAAATGTAAAAACAGGATTTTCTGAATAGTCTTTATTGCTGTTAAGATATTTCTTTGGTTGTCCTGTATGGCATGTTACTTCTTTTCTGTAAAAATACAAGTTTATTGAATCGATCATATGGTAGTGTGTTCTTCAACAAGTTAAATACTCTTTTAAACCACTTTAAAACATCATAATACTCATTAAGGTCCCAATTTTCAACTTCAGGTCAAAGGTCATTTAAGTTTAGGAAATGATGCATATAAGTTGATAAATGTGAATTATTATTTTTGTTCACAAAAGTAAAATATATCCTCAATTGATATTATTGACTAGAAGGTTCCAAATGGGACGTTGCTTACTTGTGTACCCTGGGATGTACTCTCAAGTTTCTGGTGTGCTGATTTAATTTGTAAGCTTTAAGTAGCTCTCTAGATTAAGGGAATGTCAGAGTCGTTGTTTGAAAAGTATTCATACCCTGGCATATGTTTATTGGTAAACAAAGTCAATGAATTGTGTATTTACATAGCACTACAAACTGGTACAGCGACAACAGATTGTCTGTAGGAAGTCTGGGACTAGCGGGGTCTGGAGGGTTGAACTAAAACTTCTTTGTTAATGTTCTGCGGAACATTTAGGAATATTTATCTCAAGTAGTAATCTTTTTAAATATCAAAGTATTAATAGGTTTTCTTGTCAAAGATTCAAAGGAATTCTATTTATAATGCAATGGAGGAAGTTTAAATGAAATCCTTACAAGAACCTATTTGTACTTGAATATACTGCAATATTTCAATCATGGTCTGCTTCCGCCCAGTATATATTTATTGGTAGAATTAAATACTTGAAAGGGAAAAAATAGCATTGTCAAGTTTCTTCATATCAGTTGTTGAAAAGCTTTGAAATTTGTCAATTTACAGAGTGTTCGACTTAAACAGATCATCCATGAACTGGAAGAGAAAGCTGAGACTTCCGAGCTTCAGATCAATAGTATATCAGCACAATACCGAGGAGTATTGGCGGAGAAGGAGGTGAGCCTAGTTCTGCTTTTATAACAGGAATTCAAACTTAAGTTTAGTCATAAAATTTCTTCAAAATCAGATTTTATTTGAGTGATATTATTAATTATTTTTATTAATTTATAGTAAAACTTTGTTGAACTGCCATATCTTTTCCATTAGAATTTAAGAATTTTAATCTGCATGCAACAGGAAATGAGGTGTTGAAGGGTGTGGCATTAGGCAGGATGCCAATACTTAAAAACATTATAATAAAGTTTTACTGAAATAACGTAATTTCATTTTATGCACATCAAAATTTTCAATGCAAAGCCGTCCTTCTTGAATAAAAATATTTTAACAAAAGTTGTTTTTAATGGGCTATGAATGACACTCTTGATAAGCTATGTTCAATGGGATGTATCTGCATGAACACTGTAATGGTACATTAATAACAATATAAGATGTAAGTTTACATCACTGAAGTAGATGTTGATATTTAAGCTTAATATCATTCAATTTTAATAAAATGGTCTTCTCTAGGATTTCCCCCTTTTTACTCGATGATATTTTCTACAGAAAGGATCGATCATACATATAAATCCAACAGATTATTACTTGTGGCTATGTGCACAGGAATTATAGGGTATCTTGTTTATTTTACTTTAACAGAAAGAGATAAATGCACTTAAGCAATCACAGCAGGAAGCTTTTCAGCATCAGCAACTTTCAACACCATCAGACTATGGAGGTCATACAGAGCGAGCAGACTCCACAGGTCAGTGTATAAGATGTTAAATATGATTAGCTGAAGATTTTGAGAGTCATAACATCAATGTACACATCTGTATTTTGTTCACTCAGATTTTGAGTTAGGAGGTTTTCATGTAACCAGGTTGAAATGGATCAGTTGGCACAGACTTATTCCAAGAAAATAGACATACCTGAAATGTTATGTGATATGTAAAGCTGAAAATGCACAGTTTTGGAATTTTCTGTCCAGCAATAAACCAATGATGAAATTTGTTCCATTTTAATTTGTATTGAATATCATGACATTTCCGAAATATGTGCTTGCACTGACCATATTTCATGCAGAAATTTTGAAAACACTGATATTCATCATAGATTCAGACAGGTAGGACTAGCCCCCTCTCACTGCACATATCAAATATTCCGTAGTCTAGATAAGTGCATGACATTTCTTTTATGGCATCAGCTGTTCAATTGATTCAACCTCTTACATGAAAGTAACCTATGTCACAACTTTTAACAAAAGGGAAATAACTTCAACACCTGGTTCAACATTTTGCCACAGCTATACCTTTTAAATCATCAAGACTAATTTGATGAAACTTTGAAGTGTATCACATACAGAATGTGTGTAATCTGAATCTTAATTACAATTACCTTCACCGCCTCACTCAGAGGCGAACAAATACAAAACTTTCTCTTAAATGGACATGTGAATTTTAAAGCTTCATATATTTTGATGGAACTTCAATTTTGTATTCATCTCCCCCAAAAAACGTGTTCATTTATGCTGTATTATAATAAGTATGTCACTGTGATCTTCACATCTCTGCGTCAAAGGTTAAATAATGCAAAATGACTGTAAACTGTCGCCAAAATGTGCTGGAATATACAAACATGGTATATGTTATCGAATTTTCCTTATTTACCTCTGTTTGGTTAAAACGAGGCTTAGTTCAGTGTTAAAATTCATTTAATTGAAATTTATTAAATATTACAGAAAAATTTATGGACTGAAACCTTTACTCCATTAAGAATACAATGACAAATGGTGAAATATTCTGAATTATCACACAATTTAAACATCGTACGCAATATTGCCCGTTTCATTGTCAACATATAATGATGATGGTAGAAACTTGAAGTCATTTGCTAAAGCATTTAGAAGGTATACAGTTATTTAAAGTGACTTCATCATTGGACATACTGTCAATAACCTACCTTATAAAAAAATACAATTTGAATGTGTCTTTAGCCCCAATGTAATCAATATACCTACATTGATTAGAATTGCAATTTTCCGTTTTTGTCTTACAAATGTGGGTAACTAAAATATGTTTTACACAAATTTTCATGTTGTCCATTGGTTAGTTACCGTAATTAAATACAAATGCCCGACTGCCATGCCCCCATGGTTTATGTTTGAGAAATATAAGCACACTGGGTATATTGAGTGCGACGTCAGTATTTTTTACTACTATCTGATGAATTTTTACCCAGTTATGCATTATTTGTGCACCTGTTTCATGCAAATAAAAACATGGCGGTAATGTTTATCAAGTAACTGGGCGTAGCCTTGTATATTGATCTGTCGTGTTGGCAGGACATGACATGCCAACTGTAATGTAGTGTTGCTTATCTACCGTAGGTGCAGAGTTTACCCATGGCTTAATGATTTACCCTATTTAATGAAACATAGCAGAGCAATTCAAGGGATAGGCAAAACATCCGTCCCTTGTACCGGGCAGACTGGCAACGCAAGTTGTTTGAGTGTATGCTCACAACGGAAGTTTGCCTCGACAAGTAACATATGGTCAGCCTTATCTGGCAAATATTAACATAATGCAAATTTCCTAACTGATGACTTAGATAAAATATTGACCAACATTGGAAACTGCTATGTCAAAAAAACATTGCTATGTTGTAAAAACAAACTTGATTAAAGAATTTTTTTTTTCTATTTAAGCAAATGTAAGGTTTTGTTTCAAGATCACCTGGTCTAATTCTTGTATTTTCTCAAAGGTCTCTGTGTAAATCTTGTGTTTATATTTTTCAATTCATTGATTTTGAGTTTGAATTAAGATTCTGTTGACATAACAGTATTTTCTTGTTGTTTTTCATCGTAGAACAAAAATACATTTTTACAGACCTAATCCTTGGCCGTGTGATGTAGTGTACTGAATTTTGTCCCATTATTTACTCAAGGTATAGGTCAGTATTGATTTATGTCTTAACATGCCCTGGACATAAAAGGTCATGATATTTAACACACCAATCTGAACTATTCCAGTTAGAATGTTTTGAAGTTCATAAGAACTTAGCCCGAATTTGGAATAGGAACACTATACTAGTTTTTCATTATATGCATTGAATATACATACCGAAAAAAGGTACATGATACTGTTATACCTCTTGTAAAATTTTAAGAGTCTTTCTGGGATGTTTTTGTGAAACACTATCCAAATTGGAATGGTCTTTAGCAAAGATTTCAACTCAGAAAGGACTTATCTGATATAATTTTGATGTTCTTGTTCTTATCACTTAATATTGACTTTTTATCTGGATGGATGTTTCTGAAACAGGTGCATAAATTTACTTGCAAACTGGAACTGATTGCAAGAGATATATGGGTACAGACCAGATGACATAATAGGCATAACAACAGATTCAAAATGTTGAAAAAATCATCTCTGATAGGTTCATAATATAATGCTATGCAGGGGCAATCCTTGAGCAATAGGCCATTTTCAGCAATTTTCAGTCAATGTCAAAAATTAGATGAGCAGCTGTATCTTGTTTGCTCCTTGCCCTCACCAGAATTGTCCTTGCAGTGAAAAAAGCCGAAAAATCATTTTGTTTAAAGAGGTCAAAATTACCATATTGCTATACACTTCCTTTGATTTCGTAAATTTTCAAAATTATTAGGATCAACTGTCTTAAATATCATGATTGTGTGATGTTGCATATCTTCTATCCTCTCATTACTGTGTTATTACAAACCTTCCAAGTTGAATTTCATCCCCTTTAAGCAATATTGGTTAAGTTATAGAAGGCATTATATTGTCCTTAAAAAATATATTGTTTTTTAATGTTTGAATACATAATTAAGCCTATGTATTTAGTATTATTGGCAACAATAAAAGAATGCATGTTATTATGTATGATTATACAATATTTCTACTTTCACTTTTAATTCCATCTCTTACAATTATAGTTAAATTGAAGGCAGACTAGAGTATTGCAGTGCAATATTTAGTTAGGTTTTCCTAGTATTAATCAGTGATCATTAATAGCTGAATTTGTAAAGAATTTTTTCTTTGTCCAGACTTCCATATAATACCATTGTAATTTTACAGGGCATATAAGGGGATGCTTCAGTGCATTAAATTTGAACCATACATTGTCAATCTTGCAGTGTAAAATTGCATTAATAAAATGTTCAAGATGTCAGTATGTGAAATTCCATCCTGAAGATTTGTACTGTCAATATCCTAGACTATAAATGACTGACTGGGATTAGATTCTGCTGACGCCTATAAATTACTCAAGTGGTGTCTGTGCTATGTAGTGGTGGTTTTAGGTCTGTAGTGTTGGTTTGGTGGGTTGTGTCACAGCATTCTGTTTGTTTTGGCTTCAATGTCACCTTGTATACCCTGGGTGTATCTAGACCACCCAGAGAACACTGCGATAACGGCAGTGTTTGGTCTTGTTCACTTTAGATCTACCACATCTTGATGGAAATTCCTTTGGAGAAATACAACCGCTAGGATAGCAAATGCCAGTTTAAATATTCAACTTTCATTGATTTCTTATTGAGATAAAACATAATTGCTAATTACTTTTATTACTTTTGTTTTGCATTGCATTCTTTTTCACTGTCACAGTACTGTGGAAATGATATGATACAATATAAAATATAGCATAGCATTGTTATAATACTTGAATGATACTATTCTTAGCATTAATTGATTTGGGATTTTGGAGGAGAGGTTATTTGGGAAGGGATAGGGGAGGGAGTGGGGGGAAGGGGTGGATGCGGGGCGGTGGTACATAGGCATTGCAAATATTCAATTTCTTTCTCTATGTTTTCTTTGAAATATAACTCAGCAGATATTGATGAAATTTAAGTTGGAATCTGAAAAAAAGAATGATTTATTGAGTTGTTCACCTGTTGATTGATTTTACCTGTATGTTGTATAAGACAGTCTGAACGCTAAGTCATAGCTATAGCGTGTTGACTCAAGATAAAACACCAGCTTCTAAGAAGGAAAGACCCTTATCACTAATTTATGTAATGCAGGTATTTATAAACATCAAAAACGCTGATAAGACCAAGATTTTCATTTTGGCATGGTTGCTATGGTTGCAAAGACTTTAGTTATACAGACTACAATTTATTACTTGATTGTTCTTAAAACACCCTAGTTGTATGTTTGAGTCATATGTTCAGTGTCACTTCAATAGACAGTTTGGTGGTTGTCTTGCCTTTGTGGTGTTCTTCCCGCCTAAACGCTATCTTGAGTCCAAAGTCCAAATGTATCTACCAACCTGATATACCATTTCTAACCTTAAAATTCTTAGTCTTTTTGATATGTACATGTGTTGGCTCACATTTCCTCAATTGAAATTTATTTTCTTTAATTCTGTAATTCTTTGCTTCGAAATGAAAAATATTTACTGATGGTGCTCTCATGAAATTTAAAAAATACATTTTTTATTTTAAATGGACAAAATACATAATATGTCAATTTTGGACTTCAGTGTAAACCATTGTGGACGAACACAGAACAAATATTTATAAAAATAGCAAAAGCTGAAGTTCTCTTTAGATTTGATAATTCTGTATAGTATTTGCTTCTGTTCAGATTTTAATTTCTTATAAATATGCAGATGTTTGTTTTAATAGACTAAATTTTAATGTCTCTTTATGATATATCGGAATATTAAAAACTTTATCTTTAATTTTTGGTTAAAAATTTAGTTACACATCTACTGTGGTTGATCCATCTTTAAAATTGTATTTAATTGTTTTTCATTCACAAGTTGTGTGATTCTATGATCATATGTTATGTCATGCTATAGTTATTACTAGAGTTTCCTCCCTTTATCAGTTGTAGCACGTAGAACATATCAATTGTTATAACAGCACACCTGTACAAAGAAATTTTGATTTTTTTTTTTCAAACAAATGATTCATTGGTCTATTGACATAATCTTTTCAGAGTTAGTTTTATCATATTCTCAAACAGAAACCTCAGAGTTGAATTTAAATATTAATGCTTATATACAGTGATATATATTAACACCATATCACCTTATGAGCTACGTGTAAAATGTCATTCCAATAGATTACGTGTACAGATGTAGAAGATTTGATAAAAGATCTAAGGATCTTGAGCGTATCATTATTACTTATCATAAGCGGAAACAAACAAACCTTTTATGTAGATACAATTAAATGTGGTGTTTTATCAGACAGAGTCAACACAAACTGCTGGTACTGCCACTACCCAGCTTTATTTGATCACGACTGTTGTTCAACTGCCAAACTTTTGAATACCTTTATTATGTCCTTTTTTTATATTGAGAGGTGCATTGCTTAGTGTTATTAAAATTTAGTCAAGTCTTTTGATGAAGTTCAGTCTGATATTAAACTTTATATCTGGTAAAAACACAACATTCTAAAACCTTCTCTACTGAATTTTGGTTACTCTGGTTCCCCAGGTATATATAATTATTACATTTTTCACAGTGAAAATAAGAGATATTTTCACAGATTGAAAAAACAAGTTTTGATATTTTCTCTCATTTTTGACCAGTAAGATACAATGTTACAGCATTTCCAGTGAAATTTTCAATTTTCTTATAATGCATTGCAGACTTCAGGCAGGATAGGTATGTTTGAGATTCCCTTTATAAAGTGGAAGCCCTTGATTTACTATAGAGAACTCAGTCTGAAGGTATTTACTTATTTTAAGTTATTGGAAGACTTGTGTCTTTGATTTGAAGCTGTATTATCTGGCAAAGTAGTGATAATACAGTAAGCATATTGGCATGGCTTGCACATTCACACTGGCATCAGGAAAGATGTGAAAAGTTGTAGTAAATAGCAGATTTTAGTTTCATGATGAATACCAGTTATATTTTATTTCATGTGGGCAGAAACTTTTATATTTTTAATTTGATAAAATATAAGCTAGATATTTTCTCTCTGTCTCCTTGTAAGAAGAGCATTTATTTTTTCATTTGTAAAATCAAACTAGAGTAAGGTCAGATAATTGAATTTAGCTATAGATGTATAAACTCAGTATATGAAGTCAAATTTGTGCTACATTAAACAGCTGGAGTTCCATATTAGATGAATTACCACTGATATAACAAGATTAATCTACATTATACAAATTAACTGTGATATGTACTACATGAACATACCTTTGTTTTCTATACATCAGGGGCTCATAATATGACTTTTTTTTTGTTGGCATTTCCCAATGAAATGGTGAATAATTGATATGTAAAATTTTCGTTTCTCATCTTTACCAAAAAGCAATTAACATAGGAGTTTTTTTCTGTTTTACTTGTGGTTTTTTTATAAAAGTCTCAAAAGGTGTGAGTTGAGTACAATGTTCCAGACAATATGTCCTCAATTTCTTATTTCTGACAGAATGAAATTCAAAGTCTTGTTCCTGGTTTCTCAACCAGACAGCAGTTCTGATTGTCTGCACTTTTACCTTTTCTATTTAATCTCCACAGATAATGAAACTTACAGCATTTCAATCGTAGCAATCTGGAAGTTTGATTAGCAATTTCTATAAAAATTCAGCTTGTATTAGAATTATGTAATGCCTCTTTCAAATGATTGTTTTTTTTTTTGGTTTATCAAAATTGAATCAATTAAATCTTATCTGATTTATCTTAATGTGCAAGTACAGGCAAATTGTGTAAAATGATGAACTGGAAACAGTCTGACAACGTTTTTCTACAAATTGGTAATGAAAGGCCTTCAGGTTTACCTGAGTGTAATATATGACTTGTACAGTTTCATAATGTTGTAAGATTGTAACGTTGAATTAAATAATTCAATTCAGTGAATTTAAACGAAAAGAGACAGAAAAAAAGAACAAGTTTCACTTTCGCTAGACAGCACATACATATATGATTAGGCAGAAATATAAATATATAAGGGTGTTTGAGAGGGAACAGTTTAAAATTAAACAAACTAATGTGATCTAGCAGTCTCGGTGATTAAAACAGAAACGTATTCCTTAAGCTAGTCATTATAGATGATTGTACATTTGACATACAACATGACCCTTTGTCCTTTAAACCACGAAGACAATCTAATAAAAATTGAAGTGCTCTTTGATAGAAAAGTTAGAAATGTAGTGAAACAGGAAGTTGGGATCAGTGTACATGTCGCATAAACACATTTACACACATACATTATGGGATTTGCATATACCGGTACATGTATATATCATGCCATATGCTTTGCAAGAAACAAGACACAGTGTCCTTCTAATTATAAAGATACAATATTTGATCGAGCGTGGATTAAATTTTTTTTTTTCTTTCTTAAGTGAATTGAAAACTAGGTTTGTTGTAGCAACTAGCTAAATAAACTATAAAATAAGTATTAAGAGGATATAGAAATATCTCTGTAGTTTGATGGCAATTGTTACTACAGTTTAGCCTGACTGGTTGCATTCAGTACACACACAGGATACAGTACTCTAGGAGTGCTGTGGAAATAGACCTTAATAATTTACAACATTTTTCCCAGGTATGCTAAAGTCAACAATATAGGGGTAATAAATGAGATCCATGATATTGGCAGTACTTATAAACCATCTACTAGAGTGTAGGCCAGACTATAGCTACAGATCATCTATTTTTTATAAGGGATTTGTGAGCCTAATCTGTATGCTTTAGACGGTGCTTACATGCATTTGTCAGGTCTCCTACACAGGAAGTTATATGATACAAGTATCCAGTGTGGGAGAATCATCTAGTTATCTAAACACATGCTGTGTGATCATCTTAATTACCAGGATTTTGTCTATTCTGATCTGTAAAATATACATAACAATAAACATTGTTGTGTTTGCTTGAGGGATGCACTAGAGATAATCTGATCAATTTAATTTTCAAGCTAGAAGGTACATTTTATCAGCTTTTTCTTCTTTCAAATTTCACATTTGGATTTAACCTGACAGGGTACCATGGCAGTTTTGTGTCGGACGACCTTGACTTTGGTGACAACATTGGCATGCAGCATGAGATTAATCGTCTCACACAAGAAGCCCAGCGTCTACGATCTGAATGCCAGCATTGGAAGACAGTAGCACAGTCCAATGTAAGTCTGACCTTATAACAGTTCTTACCTGTTTCCAGTAACCACACCCTTCAAAACAATCAAGTATTCCATTCTCTTAAAAAAATGGTAACAGACTTCAGATTTCTGAGCAGTATCTTCAGTACTTAGTTCTAGTTATCTCCTTTGATCTTTTGTTTGACTTCTAATTAACAGCAATATTTTACTGGCTCTTTATAAGGTGTGTTTTGATCAGTTTTGGTTAAAATCAGTATAAAACTGTCAACTCTTTAAAAAATTTGGCTAAAGCTATTCAGAAGAAAAAAATGTGACAAGTGTGTGGTTACTATAGCTATGTTTAACTCAGTATTCACCTTGTGGTGGGTTGATTGTCGTCACTCATTTGAATGTGTACCCGGTACGCTATGTACAAATTTACATTATAACCAGTTTTACGCAGTGTGAGATTACAAGAACTTTGTTAACAAAAATATAAGTAGACAGTCACTGAGTCAGTACCATGTCCTACTTGGAGTAGCCGAGTGTTTACACTGGTGTCAAAGGGCAAGGCTACATACAGAGAGGCGGTAGGTTTACAAAACTGCAGCATAGTTATCCTTTTCTATGAATATTGAACACAAATCTAATGTATGTCCCATGAAGTATTTATTGAAATTCAAATCAGGTTTTGTAGCTGCAAATGAGATGTGTATAAGTAACTCAGAAATTCTTAACTTCTGAATGGTGATAGGTAACGTGTTTCTATGGGATGTCATTAATACTTCTGTATAGGGATCCTGACGAAATTCCTGTTGATGTGAGTGTGTCATTTGGAGCTATAAAGGTTACCAACACAGAGATAGCATTAGACTTATGTTACACTTGTAAGTTTATGACAGGTGTAAGGCTTTCCGCTTGAGTTAACAAGGTTTAATCAAATCTGACAGGTTAGTTTAAGGGCATGTTAACAAGTTGGTAGTGCAGTTCTACTGGAAATATACGTGACTGTATCATTGAAAGACAGTGCATGTAGAGCAATATAGCTGACGGGAGATATACCTGGGTATAAAGATAACTGTTTCAGACAAAGGTACAACTATGATTACTATTCTAATGACATGACTATTTAAATGTAGACACTTCAAATAAGCAATAGTGATGAGGGCGCAACTTTTTTAATTGTAGACGCTACAAACAAGCAATGGTAATGGGGACACAACTATTTTAAATGTAGACACTACAAATAGGCAATGGTGATGGGAACACAACTGTTTAAATGTAGACACTACATAAAAAGATCATGGTGGTTAAGACACTCAAGGGATAAAGAAATGTAGCGTAAACTTTGAAGATGATTCTAGGCTAGACATCTAGTATAATGTTCAATAGTTTTAAGTAAGAATGAAGATTAATCTGTACAGAATATATTGAAAAATCAACTTTTGTATCTGGTAAGTGAGTTAGGGGTAATTGAAGGGTATTGAAAGAGAACTGTGTAACCTGAAATCAAAATGGACTGATTGTGGGAGCTGGCTAGTTAATACCTGGTATGCCCTGATTCTCCTAGGCATGGAGTTCACAAGTGAGTTTATCCTTCTCATTGGGATGTTGGTCCATTCTTTCAAGAGGGCTGCTCTCAGTTTGGCCAGAGTAACAGGGGGAGGCTGGCATCGCCAAACTTGTCTTTCCAGCTGGTCCCACTAGTACTCAATAGGGGCTAGGTCATGGCTGCATGGCGGCCAGTCCAGTAGGTGGATAGTGTTGTTAGTGAGAAAGTCTCAACTGATCTTGACTACATAGGGCCAAGCATTATCCTGCTGGAATGTGAGGTTGTTTTGCTGCAATAATGGGACAACATGGGGTTGGAAGATCTCATCTCTATACCCGGGACTCATTAGTAACCAAAACCCTCCTCCACTGCATCAAAGGGAATATTCCTGGTGCATGTGCCCAACCCAAGACATACAATGCTTGCGATGAGCAGCAGTAAGGGGCAGACCTACAAATTGGTGATGTGTCCGCAGACCAATTTCCCACAATCATTTCCTTACAGTTTTTGATGGATAGAATTGTCATGAGTACCTATGGTATGAAGGGCAATTTCAGTGGCAATAAGGTGCTGATTGCACAATGCAATGCTGAATGTGTGAGATGAATAAACCTGTCCTGACATTGTGACGTCATGCGTGGATGTCTAGACCTAGGTCTGTCAGCGACCCGCCCAGATCCTTTAAACATCTAACAAGACATTCTATAGTGCAAATATGGACAAAAAATGTCTGGCAACCTGTATTTGCCATTGACCTTGCATTATCATTGCAATGGCCTGACCCTTTTGAACTTCCATCAGCCGTGCCATTGTTTAATGCTATCATAAATTAATCAAAATATCGGAAAAGGATGTGTCTTTATGATGACTACCTAATGGTGTGATGAGCAGTTAAACTCAATGTTACAACACTGCTGTGCATGAGATTTTCACATTTCATGCCTTCATGAAAGACATCATCACCCAATACAATAATGCAACATTTGGTACAGGACCACATGCATTGTAACCTGGAGAGTTGCTTGACTGATTTTCAATGTTTTTATCAGAGCATTTGTAAGATATTGCAAATAATGTCACCCTGCATTTTTTTATCCTTGAGTATATTTTAACTTGACACTACAAACATTGTTAATGGTTCTGAGAACACATTTGTTTTTAATCATAGACACAATAAACATAGTTAATGATGCAGGGGACACTTCTGTATTAATAGTAGACACTACAAATAGGTCAATCAATGGTGCTGTAGACAATATTGTAGATTCTAGACACTACATACACAGAATTAATTGTGCTAGGAACACAACTGCTTTAGACACTACAAACAGAGTTAATGGTGCTTCAGACAAAGATATTTTAAATGTAGACACTACAAATAGATATTGAAATGGTACTAAGGACATAATTATTTTAGTAGTTGACACTACAAATTGACCAGTTCATGGTGTTGGGAAATTAAGACAATACAAAGAGGGCAGTCAGTGGTGCTGGGGATATATTTGTCAAAACTATAGACAGTACCAGTTATCTCAAAATCAAAATAAAAAAGGAAACTCGACAACTCGAAGACTTTAGTGAAAAGGCAATTTCACTAAAGTCTTCGTGTTGTTGAGTTTCCTTTTTTATTTTGATTATGTTTTATTAGTAAGGAACTCTGTTGAATCCCTAGGATCCGACCGAAGATACTACCGCAAAGTTCTACATTAGGAGTGTTGGATCACCCATTATTTATTATCCAGTTATCTCAAAGTACAACATGATTTATGAACATTTGCAATGAACAGCCATCAGGATTTTTTTCTTTTCATTATTCCATCTGTCTGAAAGGTGAATAATTGTCCTTTGTAATCTTGTTTCTTACAGATTTTGATTCAATCATCAGTTTGTTTTTTATTTTTTAATTTTGGATTTCTGTGAAATTGAAACCACAATAAAAACAGTTAAAGTAAATATCTGTCTACTTTCTGTGTTTAGTTGGTCACAGCTTTGTTTGTCAAAGTACTTAACTCTGTCTGTGTTGAGGATCCATTGGTCCATCTGTGGCTCAGAGCTATTTGTCATGTCTGTTGAAATAGTTTTATCAATTAACACTCAATGAAAAGTGTATGCTGAATCGATTATGTTCTGTTGGCAAATCTAGTTAACTGACCTTAATGCTTAAACATCATAAAATGCTGATTACATTAGCTGTTGAGGTACATATGCTTTGTTCGTTTGCAAGATGTAATGTAACTGACCTAAGTTTATGCTTGATCTGGTCCTGTCCAGATAAGTCTTTGCTTGAATAGGTAGTCTGTCAATTTTAAAAAGTTGTTTCGGGAAAGGTAGAATGAAAAAGTATTTAAAAAACAAAATAGTGTGTGAAATTTGAAGCCAGTGTGTGGAGAATAAAATATAAAGTGTGACAATGTTAATATTTTTCCACAACCCTCTCTTAATGGTGTTTGCATTGGTAAACCATTTATGGCTAAGAAGAGTGTTATCAGGGGTTGTGATAGGCATTGTTATGGGGAGGTCATGGCTAAGTATGTACAAACAGTGGAACATTTCACAGAGACCCACTATCTACAGTTAGTTTGGTGGGTTGGACATACTATATGTGCCAGTAGAAGTAATAGTGGCTTCACATGGTATCACCTCCACCGAGAATAGGGTAGGTTTAATAACCTCTGCCAGCCATCTAGAAGGACAGCAGAAGACATCTTGGCCGGATGTAACGTTACTACCAGGTAACTACCCTTGTCTCATTCTGTTGCAGTGACTATTTCACAATACACACAGATGTATTTCACAATAACATTTATGTGAATAGTTGTCTGCCTTTGACCAAGCAAATTTATATAGTATTTTGGTTAGTAGCAATGCATGTTGATGTATATTTGATTAAGGAATAGTATATCAGCTATAGTTTAAGTATCATTCCAGCATTATTTTCTAAATATTTGCAATCTTTACTTATTTTTGATGGCATATTATTGTATCTGTGTGCTTGTACATTATTTTTACCTGGAGGTGATTTGAACTTTGTGTCACTCTCTGTTATTCCCTCAGATCTCTATATGGTGAAACAATATTTCTTTATGTCTGCAAGAAAATGTTTTAGAATCAAGTAATACAATATATGATCAGGTAACTTGACCAACAAACCTCAATGGGTAAAGTAATTTGGGTTCAGTACATTCTACTGAGAAAAAATACTTTCAAAGATCAAACCTGCTATGAAATTTCAGTGAATGAATTCAAAATAATAATGATTTCCCAAGCAGATTAGGCTTCACACTGAATTTGTTGGTCCTGTGAGTTTCTCTCATCGTTAAGACATAGACAGTTCAATTGGTGCAGGAATAGAAAAGGCATGTCTTGGATTGTTTGGATTCTAATTATATGCTGGATAGGTATAGATATATAGATTAAAGATACTGGAGTTTATTAGCTAGGTTAACCATTGTTTCAATGTTTCTTCCTTGTCACCATTGTCAGGGTCTTATCTGCAGATAAGGTGACTCAAGCCCAGCGTTTTAAGAAGGCTATGTCAGATAAGGGCTTGTTACCTCAAAGTTTGGAGTCCTTTATCACACCAAGTTTCCTGTTACCTAGGAGCACAGGAATCTTTCATTATACACTGCCTAGTTTTCTTCCTGAGGTTATCAGTACTGCCACAAATGCATTAAGGGGCTTGAATCTGACAAGACCTCCACACACCGCTTCTTGGTACTGCCCGGTTCCAGGTACTCCTGGGTACCGCTATCAGGGATCAAAGGTCATGCTTCCCTCATATCTCTTTCTCCTACGTGCCCATATTTAGACTCAGACAGCCAATGTTTAAAGGGTTTGTCAGGTGATTGAAAATCTCAAATGAAATCCCGCCAAAACCAAGTGGAGCACTAGTGGTATGTGTTGACATTTGTCTGCATTACTTGTCATTTATTTCGGGGACCAAACAGGATGTGTAATCTCTCAGCAAACAGAGACCATCCCACCACACTGCCACACTAACACAGGTAGTTTGATCAGGTCGGTACAAAAACCGGTATATGATCTACAGGCAGACCGCCGCTTCATGGCTGTCCTGGTTTAGGAGGACTGCATCATGTTGTGTAAATTTAGTTTGTGTGTAGGTCTGTAGGTGATTAACTATATTTGCCTCCATCAATCAATGTCAGGTTTACACATTATTGTGTAACAGGCTCGCTACACTAAGTCACAGGGCCATGTATTGTTTTAGGGGCAGAAATCCTGCCTTTGATGACTCCATGTAGCCAGTGTAATTACAAGCAGACACATCGGCCACAGACAGGAAAAGCAAACAGTGAAAATATTTAAAATTAATACATTTTACTCTTTCAAAGGTTGACAGTTATATGCAACGACTTAGTCATCATGTAAATAGTTGATCACACAGGCTGTTTTAGCAAGGTAGTTATCATAGATCTCCAAGTCTGACAGGATGTGTGGACCACGTCTTCAGCTTTTAATGGACAGTTAATGGTATCTAATTAACTAATGCTTAAAGCACACACATATGGGAACTTAACTACATTTTCATACTTCAAACAAATATCAATTCACCGTTGTCGTCCATAACAAAAACATTCAATATTTATTAAAAGAATTATTGGTAATCTTAGGCTAATTTATAAGCTAATATTTTATATTTACTTAATATTCAAAAAAAGAAATTGGTAGTAAAACATTTGTCCTTGTAGAGATGGCAGTGTTAGCAAGTCATGTGTTAGTTTGCTTGAACTGTATTATGATATCCAATGAATATATATATTGATCAGGTTTTGTTATGCTGATTAGTTGATTCATAGGGAAGTAGTTGATTATTGTCAAAAGCTTTACACAGGTGTGTGCTGAAAATAAATGTGTAGTATTTCGTGCAAGTATCATATAAATATTTGGATACTGAAAAGAAAGTAGTGATTTCAATTGTGAGGTGTTTGATGATGGGACCTCTGATGAGGAGAGTACTGTTTCATATGTATTCCAAGTGTGGTAAAAGTTCCTATTTTTACTGTATGGGATCGGATGAACACTTTACATAGTCGGATGCAAAAACTTGTGCAAGTTTTCATATTCATAGTAATAATGGAAAATATACTTTTTTATTTCACACAATATATGAGAAAAATATTTATCAGAGTAAAAGAAACACTGTATCAGATGAAGAGGTAAAAAACTAGACCCAGGTTCTCGCCACAGTGATCATGCTTAATTCAGGCCGGATCCAGGCATAGGGGATGGGCCTCGAATACCTCATGCACCTAGGTATGACATTGAATACATAACTGGATTAGGGCCTTTATCGTGTCCTACCTGTAAGTGCTCTTGTACAGAAATACGTAATGTCTTTCTCAGGGTAGTTTGAACTTAGTTTTTTCCCCAATTCAGTTGTAGTTTGATTAAATATTCAATTTCCTGTTTAGTATCCAAGTAACCAACACATTCAAAGGTAACGTGTGCATTGTAGATAAAAGAAGCTTGCATGGAGTTGATGTTGTTTTATCAGAGTATTATAAATCTGTTCTTGTCAAAAAGTAAGAAAGCTTGGGTTGGGTGCTTTATTGATAAAGAGGGTGACTCATCAGATCGTACAGGTAAGCGTCCAGGCAATAACACAGGTAAGAGTGGCCATGCGTTGGTGTGTGCAGTACCTTTCTGTCCCTGGGGTTGGCGGCTGGGTTTGCCCATCAGCTGTTACAGTCTCGTATTACAAGGGGAGTTATCTGCTAGTCTGTATCATTGTGTGTGTAGTGGTACATGTACTGTGTAGGTAAGGCCATTACTTTTTAAGAGATTCAAAAAAAAAAAAAAAAACTAAGAGTATTCAGATCGTAACAGTTTTTATTCACAATCCAGGTTTACTTGAATGTGTAGGTCTAGTTTTTTACTTAAACTCATTTACCTTGAATAACACTTGACAACATACAGTGATTGAGTTGGATCAGGTTTCGGGATGCTATTCACTGTAAAACCGGCTTTCTATTCATCAGCTGTGACAGTGTTGGACTACAGTTTAGGAAAGTCACACAGAAACACCTATGTGTTTGTTGATAGTCTATGATATATGCAGAACATCTCTGCTAGATCTTAATTATGAGAGGTGGTCCAGATACAGGTAAACTTTTGTTGTCTCATTGAACGATTTTCAGGTTCACAGCTCAGATTATGTTTGAGGACAAAAATGCCATCTGTGATATTTGTGACAACGACTATGGTGTGTCAGCCATGTGGAGTGTGTTGGGGCTGTAATTGATTACCGTTAATGTTGGAGCATGGTTGTAATGTCTGTAATCGGCAGTGAATCGGCCTCATTTAAAGGCTATGGCAGCTCTTTGTGTGTGCCTGCTGGTGAATAGGTGTCCCACAAAGCCAAGACAGCTGATCTGGAGTGTAAAACACTTTACATCAATACTCTCTATCAAAGGATACATTATCGAATTTTAATTTTCAGAATTCCGAAAAGCAAGGTCAGCAGAATTTGAATGGGACAACCTCTGATGTTCTGGAATTGAAAAGGCAGTTAAAGGTTTGTAGTCATTAACATTATTGGTGTAGTGGAATATAGAAAATTTCCTTTTAAAATTCACAAAAGTATGTTATGTAATATAAGATATTATTTGATAAATGTTTTATATTTTGTAATAAAATCTTTTTTATAAAAGCCTTTTTCATTAGGTAATGACAGATATCTAGTTTAAACGTTTTTTCAGGTAAATCGGTACAATTTAGAAAAAGGAAAGAAAAAAAGACCTTGGTAGTTAAATCCTGGCAGGTAGTTGGATGATATTGGATTGTTGCTCTAGGTATTAGCTATATATAGATTCAATTACATCTATGCCTTATTATTGTGAGAGTGAATGGTCTTGCTATTGTTAATGCAGGTTGTTAGAAGTTATTATGATCTGAGCCATTTTCCCGAGAACAGGGAAGCTTGAAAGTTGATAGAAGTACTTGATGAGTCAGTGAATTTGAAATTAGTTTCACTTTAGGCATATGGAATAAACGTGTCATATTAATATGATTCAACAACGCAGATTCCAGGGTTTTCATCTCTAAGTAGTTGATTTAGTATTTTTAGATGTAAATTTCACTTTTACTAAAAGGGTTTGTTAAGCTGAGCTACTGCTGAATTCCAGACACTTTTCTGTAGTTCACGTTATGACATCACATCATGGCGGATATTGGAGTTAAATTACGACTTTAATGATAAGATTTTGTTGCCTGTCCACCCTGCCCTCTGAATTGCTTATCTAGTGCTTTCTCTTGCTCAAAGAGTGAATAAAATTTGTTAATGATTTAATAGCTTACTGTCCTGTCATGTAAGATGATATGTATATATAATGTCATTATATGACACTGATATAATAATGACTTGAATTTGATGTCACAAATAAATAACATCTCACAGCTGTCTTGCAGTATGAAAATGTGCAATTCAAATTGTTATATACTATGAAGATTGCTATTTTACAGGAGAGGAGTTCTACTTTTAGCTTTTGTTTTTTAATTTTGTTGAAAATGTAATTTTTTTTGCTTTTAAATTTCATTAAAACCACACACATTTCACCAGAAAAGAAATCTTTATGGAAATTTGAAGGTTTTAATCTATTTTCCTTTTGGTTTGAGTTGAGTGATGGATTTAACCAATTTGAAATTTTACTTTACTCGTCCGGTATAGGCTTGTGTCTTATCAAATTACTGAACTTGTCCACTATAGGCTTGTATCATATCAAAGTACTGAATTCATCCAAAATAGGCAAATCTCACTATCATACATTACTAATGAAAATATATTAAATTGCTATCTGAACTTGTCTGATGAATTGAATATGTGGTGCATTCTTATACATTCATCAGATTTCCTTTTATTCTATTTTTTGAAGGAGTTAGAAGAGCAGCTTCGTCATGGCAAGGAGCAGCAACAACAAGAAGTGGCCTGTGTGCAGGATGTATACAAACAGAAGCTCAATGACCTTCGTAAGAAGTTCAAGGCCGAGATCACGGATAAAGAAGACACCATTCTTGACCTCCAGACAAAACTTCAGTCATGTAAGACATTTTCCCATAGACCACAGTTTCATTATTAACAATTTATCTTGAATATCATAAGTTATTCAATGTGTACTCAAACATTTCAACAACACCTTTATTTTCTAAAAATGGTTAATGGTTAATACTGAAAACAGTGATGTCTGTGTTTGATATTCAATTTACATAATGTACATATAACATTGTTCTCCCATTCTTTCAGATAAAAGTTCTGTAACAGACAAATCAGGACCTCCTGAAGGTTTGTCTCAAGTAAGTCTACTCTTTTTGTGTGTCTTTTTTGTAGGGACCTAATTTAACCATAAGACATTTTGATATGTAAGTGGCCAATTAGATATCCTATATGCCTCTCTCTAAAATTATTTAAAAATTCAAATATAGCTGGACCATATGACACTTTAGTCATATAAGAATGTTGAGGTCTGTTTGTTTGTCAGCAGATGAAATGTAACATTTCAGGCATAAGTTTTGACAGGCTTTCAGAACTTAATGGAAAGCAAAATCAGATAAGAAAATTTGCTTTCGTTTCATAAATGAACAATCTGGTTCAACTGATCATACCAGTAACTGAAAACGGCCTTGGTTTTGGTGATGCCATCTCGTGACTGCAATATTTAGAGTTTGAGGTAGCAGATATATGTACATAATGTTTCTTATTTCTGTACCAGGATGCTGTATCTTTGAAGATACAAGTAGAGAGTTTGGAAAAGGAGAAAGCAGATCACCTAGCTCAGATTGAGGGACTCACAAATCAAGTCAAACAGCTTGGGGATGATTTGAAGATCTCGCAGACACATCGAGAGAAAGATGTTGTCCAGTTGCAGCAAACCATCCGAGGTTGGCATTAGTTGAAATTAGAAAACTTGATTACTGAATAATTCTCATCATTCCGTTTGATTACTGTTACAATAATTTTCATTCTTCTGCTGGAAATATCAAAAGAAAATGTTTTGAAGTACTTTTAATCCCTTTCTTAATTGTGGATTTTTGAATGGAAAATAATTTCATTTGGTTGATTAGATGAATATCAGATATTTACAGATACACGTTATTTTTCAGATCGAGAGACTGATATAGCAGCTCTACGGACAGAATATGAGAAGGTGTGCAGCAGTTTGCATAACACTAAATACCATCTTCTGGACCAGTTGGATGCAAATCATGTACATACAAAAAAAAAAGCAAAATATAAAGTTATTTCTCCTAAGTTTGCTCTGTCACCGTCATGTTTTCCTATTATGTTAAAATTTTCTTGATTTTGTTTTCATTTCATTTCTTCTATAAGAATGCTTTCCTGTTGCACTTACTTAATACTCAACCATGTGTTTTTTAGTATAAATACACTCCAAGTATTATAAATTGAAAGACTATTTTCATATGATGCATGATTTACTTTCGGTCTAGTTTTGCATGTGCAGTTTTTGCATTCAACTTTTTTCAGTTTTAATACACTTACTTACAATTTGCTCCATATTTAAAATTTTTGTTATGTTGGATTTGCTAAAGCATGGTGCTTTTAATTTACATCACATTGAAGAATCAACATTTGTAATGAGACAGTGTAGTATATCCCTAGTTATAGAAAATGGATGTTTGTATGTTGAGAGTCATAAGCATGCAAAAGTGTGTGTAAGCAATGACCTTCTGACAGTGTTAGTGTCTGTGTCCTCTCCTTTGTGTAGAATGCCATTTTTGCTTGACCCATTGGTGCTACTGAAATGTATTTGCATCTAACCCCTCAATGCCATGGCTGCATGTTTTCAGTTTTATTGCTTATGCAAGTAGCCTTGTTTTCTTTGGAAAAAAGTTCAACAGTGTTTTCATCACAAAAAGTTCAGCATAAATTGACCTATCCTTAATGTGATTCTTTTTGTAATTCAGCAGCATTTATAAGAAGTTAATACCAAATTTTCAATCGATCTTCGAGCAAATATGAAAAGCTTTTGTAATTAAGTATTGTCAGATGACCATTTTTTCAAATATGTTTTATTGAAAAACAGTTAAGTTTAGTGGAAATTTCACTAATTTTAGAGAGAATTTTAGGCTTTGCTATTGTATGACATTCTACACTGATAGGCCCAGGCACTAGAGTTGCTAGGAGATCTTCAAGAGGTGAGAAGAGTTATAGGCTCTGAGGCAAGGATACACAGACAGAGAGTGGCCAAGGAAAAGCAGGAGTTGGTCAACCAGATCATACAATCTAGTAACAAGGTTAGAGCCTACTACTATAGGTCAAGATGGTTACCCCAGGGCTTGTTGGTGGCACTGCAATGATTATCTAAATCAGTCGAGGGTGATTCAAGTTTTCCCTTTCCTTTTTTACTTGTGTAGAACTTTCCTTAAAGACAGGAAAATTCCTGAGGTGTACGTGTAATCGTAAGTGTGTGATTTGTTTGAAAGGTGAGAAATAAGAGTGTTGATGATTCCTTTTATCAAGTATTATGAAAAAGTAGTTAAATGAAATGTATTTATTTGAAATAGAATGCAATATTTTCATATCGATATATGATTGATATACAGCAACGTAACCTGAAAGACTGTGTGGCTGTTCTTCAAGAGGAACAAGAGGCTGTTAGCACAGAAACTAGTGAGATGCTGACAGACTTGGGTCATACAGATCACCAAAAGCTCACAGCAGGTACAAACATTTAATCTTGATTTCATTCATCAAATTTGATTCTGTTGAATTTGTGTTAGGAAAAATATTTCTCATGTGAAATTCTTCAAAATATTGCAATATGAGTATGTGAATTGGTGAAGGACTGGAAATCTGGGATGACAAGAAATTAATGTGAAGTTATTTCCTAACAGGTATCATTGACACTATGGAACATGAAAACCTGATTCTAAAGAAGAAGTCAGTAGAACAACAAGAGCAGATAACTCTATTGGAAAAAGCATTACAGACTGTAAGCGTGGAGAGACAACGATCTGATAGTGGAATGCAATCATCTTCTGATCAAGACCAGCTTTCTATTACATCAGAAATGTCTGAACTCTCACAGCGAAACAAACAGCTAGATGAACAGGTAGCTTTGCTGCAGAAGCAGATCAGCCAATATGAACTGGACATTGAACAGTTTGAGGTGGTCAAGTCTGACTGGCAGTCAGAAAAGGAGGCTCTTGAGGATGTGTTGATAAATCTGAAGGAGGAACTGCGTGATAAGGAAAACGCCCTCAACATTCTTCAGGCACAAAAAGTAAAGATCTTAATTCAAATTTCATTGCTGTACCTTATTCTTAATTACTGATTCATTTTGCTTACATGTGAACATTGAAATTGAAGTTATGGTTGCTTCATGCTAAAATTCATTTTGTAGAAAAATAGAGTACTTAAAATTTGCAGTTTAATGTGTAAGATGTTTGAAACATTCAAGAATGTAGACAATGAAATGAGATGCACTATACCGTCATCATGTCGTAGAATTAACGTTAAAGTTTTAGTTAATAAAAATAAGAACAATATGTTTTTATGTACTGTTTCAGGGCTTAGCTGAAGCTGAAAGGAGGGGCAGGAAGGCCCAAGAGACTGAGGTTTGTACATATCTGTTTGTGTGTATATGTTATGATATGTATCTGCATGCACATTATTATATCTATTATGGATCTGTAAAACGTAATCAACAAGAGAATGTTATTATTTTCCCTTTTTTATTACAGTGTACTATCATTTCTTACTGAAAGTTGTGCTTGTTCATTTAAGTATGCATGAAGTTAATCACTCCTTTCTTCTGAATTGATATAATTTGATCTTGGAAGTAAATCCAGAATAGAATAAATACAGCTTGGCTTTTAGCTTTGTAATGCAAACCAGTAAAATGAAATTTAAAGAAGTAAAGTACTCTTCTTGTCAAAATAAACCAACAATTCATTAATGTATTAGTTTGATGGAAGATATAGAAAATTAAGAAAACACCACAAAACTGTCTATTCTGACTTCTGAATAGTCTTAAACTGAAGTAAATATCCTGTTTAATCTCACTCTCTTAGGTTTCCTAAATTATGCCATATTGCACAGGATGAACTTAACTTGCAGACTGCTATATCTAGTGACTTTGAATGTGTATTGATGAAACTATTCTATTTACAAACTTATTAATGCTATGTGTGGTTTAAACTATTAGTTTGCTTTATTTTTTATAACTTATAGATGTGTTTAACCTGTATGGAATGTGGTTATGCATTGTTTAACCTCTGTAGCTGCATTGAATTAATACCTTGTATGTGTGGAGTTGGGTTAAAATAACATGCTTGCACGTTTGTAGAGTGCTGAAAACATCTCCCTCACAGATCCTGTAGATAGTGACTCTGACCATGATAGTAGCTCAGTTGACCTTGGCATGGAGCTTGAGTCGTTTAGTCGTAAAGTGGAGCTACTAACCCAGGCTAATGCACAATTGGAATATGAGAGAGATCTCTTAATCTCCGAAAAGGTTGCTAAATATTTTTATAAAATGTTGTAGAAGTACTTCTTTTAATTAAAATTTAATTTTGAAAAATGCAAAATAAGAATCTTTTTGTGCGTATATTGAATGAATCAGAAAAATACTGTCTAGCCTGTGAAAATCTATCCTTGTTGGATTTTTATATACTAGGATTGATCTCAATAATTTCTTCTTAAACCTGTTTAATCCAAACCCTATCTCATCAAAAATATTGCTTAACAGTGTTGATTTTTGTTTATATATCTATTCCTTTATTCCTGCAAAAGTGATTTTCAAGATGTAAAATGTGATTTGTTGATTTTCATTTCTTGATTTATTTAAAAAAAAAAAAAGAATGCTTTTAAACTATAATATTTCATTTTTTTCTGTTCATCAGTCTGTGCTAAATCAAAATATATTACTTTTAAGTAGTCTGATTCTGTAAACTGGAACCTGTATTAATTTGTATGATGAGTCCTAGAAAATTTGGATTACACAGGTTATACTGTAGTAGAATTATTAAGAATTGAACACTCTCAAATGTACAGTAACCCAATTTTGTATTAGTAATATTTAGTTTCACAAATGGTGGTAGTTAATACTAGTTTATTGTATTTTGCTTAGAAGAAATACTAATGTGTTTAACACTGTTAACAGGGTTGGTAATTGGATTTGATTTATTTCAGGGTCACCGTAAAGATGTGGCATCTGAAGAGGAAACTAATCTTGAATCAGGTATGGCGTTACAAACAAACTTTATTGGTGTTAATGAATGTCTTCAAACATCTGGTATGTTAAATATTTCAACTAGTTAAAAAGGGAAGAAAAACATAAGAGAAAATATATTGGCTCTTGGAAAATAGATAATAAAAGTTGCTAAATGTGAGAAAATGAATTTGTCCAAATGGAAGGCTGTAAAATGTGTTAAAGTTATGGAATGTGATATACTGTGATATATATTATAAGCAATTGTGTTCCAGATGAACTGATTGCAATGGAGAAGATTTTAGTAGTGAAAGACAACCAAATAGCAGAGATGACTGTGGAGAAGGAAAGTCTTGAGGCCCACATACAGGAGCTGACTGTTCAGCATCAGCAGCGGATACAGGAAGTGGAACTGACCGCCCAACAGCAGCTTAACACCAGTGTGGATAAAGTGTCACACTTGCAGCAAGATCTACAGCAGCTGCAACTCGACAAAAGTACATTGGAGACCAAACTAACAGAGACAAAGAAGACTGTCGACAGTGTGACAGCTATCCAGGAACAACTAGATGCCAGTCTGTGTGAGGTTTCACTTCTCAAATCTCAAGTCCAGGAAAAGGATGACCAGCTGGCAGAAGCTCAGACAGAAAAAACTGAACTGGAGACTAGCCTTGTGGAACTGGATGCCCAGAACCAGGAAGCTATGGACCAACTCATTCGTATACGTGATGACCTAGTCCAACAACTGGAGCAGGCCCGTACACAAGGCAAAAGTGCAGTCGAAGAAAGGAAAAGTCTGTCACAACAGTTAGAGGAAGCAAAACACAGACTGGAAGAAAGTGTAAGGACATGTCAAGACCTTCAACAGCAGTTGGGTGGTATAAAAGATCAGCCAGAGTTTAAAGGGGAAAGTTCATCAGATGAGGTTGAGAATTTAACCCAAGTAAAAGATGATCTTATTGAACTAGTCAAAGAAGTTCGAGGTCAGGTTCAGGAGAAGGAAGAGATCATTCAAAGGTTAGAGAACCAGTTGGAGGAGGCGCAGTGGCAGACACAGGAGAAAGAGGAACAGATTTCTAATCTTCAGCAACAACTTGCATCCCTGCGGGAATGGGAGGGCATGGACGACCAGTCTGATATAGATCTTAATGATCTTAAAGATAAAAACTTGACTCTTGAAAATGATGTGAAGCGATTAAAACAGTCCTTACTTGAACTTCAACAAATCTGTGATAAAAAAGACAATGAAATTAAAGATGTGAAACAGAAATTACAGAGTGGTGCATTAGCAGTAAATGACCTCCATATGGATAAAAAGGATTTGGAGGAGAGTCTTAAGAAAAGTGAACAAGCAATATCTAAAAAGGTAGAAACAATCAGTACTCTCAGAAAATCCAATGTTGAGCTACAAAGTAAGATAAGTGATCTGGAGGTCAGACTACATTCTTCACAGCAATCTTATGAATCTCTTCAGAAGGAGGCTGGTGGAAATTCAGAAACGGATGTTCTGAGGGAACGTTTAAGGTCTTCAGATGAGAAAATTTCTTCGCTTAAAATGAACATTGACACTTATAATCAGAAACTTGAAGAGTTAAATACAAATTTAGAGGATTCATCGAAGGCTAATGCAGACTGTACAAAGATATTATCTGAAGAAAGAGAGGGGTTTAAAACTGAAATTTCAAAGTCTTCTAAGAAGATTGACGAGTTAGAACAGAAATTGGAAGCTCTTCAATTAGAAAAGGAGTCACTAGAAAAAGAACTTAGTTTAACTCAATTCACATTTGATAGTAAGATTAAAGACCTGGAGGATTATGTAACGGAGCTGAAGAAGGAACGTGAATTGGACTCTTCTTCTCTAGACACAGAGCGTCAACGACTTATGGAGGCCTGTCACCAGAAGGATGTGGAAACCACAGGGCTGCAAGATAAAGTGGAACGTCTTAAAGGTGAGGTTGCAAATCTCGGTAAACAGATGGAATCAGCTACGGAAAGCAACAAACAACTGTCAGACCTTCTTGAGGAAAAAGAAAGCAATATTGTGACACTAAGACAGGAAAAATCCCTACTAGAAGAGGAGCAGCTTGCTTCTGTAGCCAAGATCAGGGAACAGGAATTAATGCTGGGAAATTTACAAAGTCTGGAGGATAGTTTACATTCATTACAGAAGGAAAACAGTGACCTCATGTCAGAATTACAGTCAAAAGATAAAAATGTTGACTCAAGTCTACTAGATGTTGTTACAGATCTGGAAGCTGAGCTCTACACAGCCAAACAGAGGGTAACTGAATTAGAGTTAGAAATAGCTGAATACCAAAATCAGGTCAAGGTTACCAGTTTTGTAGAAAATGAATCAGCATTTAGTCGTGAGCAAGTCACACAGATGGAGGAAGAATTAACCATGTATAAACAGAATATTTCTTTACGTGATGATAAAATCAGGGAGCTGCTGGAAACTATAACTGAAAAAGACTCAGAAATCTGTCAACTAAGTAAGCAGATGAAGATAGCATTATCTCAGGAAAGTAAAGTGAAGATGGACGGAAGCCAGGAATATCCTGATAAGAGTGAGACAGAGGTTAATGAGGACGTTGTTGTGAAATCCTCTGCCCACACACTGACAATGTACAATGGCAATGTGCGGGAGGAGGATTGGTCAGGAGAGGAAAGTAAGGTAGTAGAGGAAATGGAACAGCTACAGAATCTTATACAAGAGAAAGATAAAGTTATACGAGAGTTACAGCTCAACAACACCTCCTTACTGAAAATGATGGATAACAAGGCTGCAAAGGGGGAACATAATGTTCTGGATGTACACAGACTGGAGAATGAAGTCAGAGCACTAAAGATGGAAAGGGAGCAGATTTTGGCTGTGATGAACGAGAAGTCACGGGAATGTAGTAACCAAAAAAGTGAAGTTCATCGTCTCATGAATATCATATCAGCAGAGAAAGTGGCTCTAGACAAGCTAACTACAGACAACCAAGAGTTAAAACAGAAAAAGGACAGTCCTCTGGAAGATATGCACAAAGAAGCACTACAGAACCTGTCCAGACTTGTTAGGGATAGGGATTTAGAGGTAGAGGCTCTTAAACAGAAGAATCAGACCCTACTACAGGTTCTACAGGAGTCATCTGGAGGAGGCATGGAGGTCAGCAATCTAATGCAGGACAAGGATAACTTAAGTAAGCAACTAGCTGCCCTACAAGCAGAGAGAGAGCAAATGGTCACTTATGTCAATCAAAAACATCAGGAGAGTCTTGCCTACCATAATGAGATCCAGCGACTTACCAGCTATATGAACTCAGAATCAGAAAAGTATACACAAATGCAACAAGACTTTGATAAATTGAAACCCCAATTTGAAGACAAAAAACAAGCTTTGTTAAAAATTCAGAATGAGTTAATTAACTACAAGCAGAAATACCAAGAACTTGAGGTGAAACATGGAGAGCTGCTTCAGAGATCAAATGCATCAGAGATGGTAGATCTGTCATCATACAATAGCCGTGTAGAGGAGGTAAAGTCTCTACAGGATAAACATCAGGAAATGATAGAAATCCTGAAAGACAGGGACAGTAAAATCCAATCACTGCATCAACAGTGTGTAGAATCAAAGGAGAGTGTCGCCTGCAAGGAAACAGAGCTCATAGGTGTCCGTAAACAGGTTGACAGTTTGACATTCCAGATCATGGGACTCCAAACTGAGGTAGAGGACATCAATGTCCAAAGGTCATCTTTCCAACGAAGTTCACAGGAACAAGCTACCCAGATTCAGTTATTGAAGGAAGCAAATAGTCAGTTAACATTGTCTCTACAGCAGAGGGAATTTCAGTTAAAGAGCGTTGAAGAAAAGAGTCAGACACTCACAGCTATTGTACAGGACCAGCAGAAAGGCACAGACCAACAGGAACAAGTTGACCGTCTCATACAGGAAAATGAGGCTACGCTATCCCAGGCCAGGCAATTGCAGACCGAACGCGACCAGGCCATGATGGTGGTATCCCAACATCAACAGTCTATACTCCAACTGCAAAGGGAGGTAAGCCAGCATTGCACATCAGGATTTCAAATGATAAGTATTTAGATTTAGGAGTGCATGAAAATTGCTTAGACTGTATATAATAGCAAATTTAAATTATCTTGTTAAACATTCTTTGTAATTGTTACAGTCACTGTACTAACACAGCATGTATTGCTATTCACTGATTGATATACAGCATGTAAAATGGTTGTAGTATATACATATCGTCTTTAATTGTATAACCTATCTAACATACATACACACATATATACGATTCATACGTGATTTATAGATTATTTTGATTTATTGATTATTTTGATTTTCAGTGACTTTTTTACCTAAATGGAATTATTACATAATTATGCAATATGATGACTGTTTACTAGGTTGCTTCAACAAAGGAAAGAGAAGCTAAGGCCTTAAGAGAGCTGGAGAGACTCAAGGCACACTTGATACAGGTAATTTGAATTTATTTTTCAACGTACATTCACCTTAATTAATTTTCAATCATATCTTTGAATCTTTGAAGTTCATGACCTACAATTTCCTCTGTTGAATAGCTGACAAATGAATGTGAATATGTAGCATTAACACTTAACATCTATAAACATTTAAGGTTGAAGAAAGTTACACAAAGGAAGCTCTAGATTCAGAAGAAAGGGAGAAAGATCTCAGAAACCGACTAGCAGGGGCAGAAGAATCACTGCTGTCATCAACTTCAGCAGTAGAGAATGCAAGGTAGACCACATGTTACTAAATAAATGTGTCAGAGAGCAAAGTATAATATACAGTAAGATGAAAGGATAATCATGAAATAAAAATCAACATTTTTAACAGTAGAGCAATGCTCAATAATAATTCTGTATGGTAGACTGAAATATATACTTCAGGATTTATATTAAAAAGCATTTGAAAAAAAGGAGATAAAAATGTTGATGTGGAATTGATTTTTAAGGAATACATTTTCTTAACAGGGTACTATTGCCTTTAGAAAATTATGTGCAGTGTCCTATATTTTGTTCTGTACAGCCAGCAAGCCAGTCTACAGGTGGACAGTCTCCAGCAGCAGCTGATGTCAGCAGCTACACAGCGAGACCAGGCCTATTTACAAATCTCTTCCCTACAAGATCAATGTCAGCAGTACAGCATGTCCCTTGCCAACCTACAGATGGTCCTGGAGCAGTTTCAGCAAGGTCAGTATAATTCTACATTAAATATTGGGATTAATCTGTAATCAGAGGCTAAATCTGATTGTGTATATGGTTCCAGGAAGTTTTTTTTGAAACAGTTGAACAATTGCTTAATATTGTAATTAACATCATTGTCTTTGTTATGTTGACTGTTTCGCATCACTCATCTTTCATCTTTAACACAAATTGATTTTTTAGAAAAGGAAGCTTTAGTGGCCACAGAGGTGGAGCGATACCAAAGGGAAAACTCTTCACTCCAGGATTGTATGGAACAGCTGCAGAAAGAATTAGTGCAAACCAAGGTATGTTTATAACAGCATTATAGAATTGGAAAATGGAAAATTAAACTGATTTGTTTGACTTTCAATATCTCTTTAAATCCTATTTTAGAGAGTATTAATCTGCAATCTGTATTTTACAGGAGAGTCTTTCAGAGGCAGAGGATGGGCTGGAAGCAGCTTCTCGTCTTATGGAACAACTTGACAGGAAGGAAGAAGCTCTGGCAGCCCTGAAAGAAGAAGGTATTGTCTTCCACTAACATTTCTTCTTTAACACCTCACATACAAAGCACCTAGCACTGTTTTGGGCAACATCATTAGGGTGTAGGCAACGTCTAAAGCAATTTCATTGGCTGTAAACAACAAAGGTAGCCTTGCTGCTGTTATTGTAAATTACCATAGCATTTTTAGAAAGCAAAGTTATAATGCTGATGCTCCAAATGCAAGAAATTTTAGTCAGATGTTATAAGTTTCATGTTCTGAATTTGTTCAGATGTATAATTCCTGTTTGAAAGGCATGCTGTGTAAGCATTGTTGATTGGAGACAAGCAAATATTTTCATTTCTTTTATTCATAAACCTATGCATGCATTTACTCCAGTGTCTTGATAACTGAATTTTATTTATCACTAATCATTAATCCACTAAAGTTCAACAAGATTGTGTCAGTGATGGAAGTAATTTTTCTAATATATCGTTGATGTACCTAGTAACACTACCATGTATGTAATAAATAAGATAAAATAGGCCAAAGATCCTATATTGCTTTTGTATAAAACAAACAGCATTGATCTTATCTTCCCGCATTAAAACCTCTCTCCGACCCAGACCTGCTGACTGCCCTGTCCAAACCGAGTGTTGTTTTCTATTGAAACAAAGAGTTTGCTTTACTCTTCTCCTGGCTTACGTTTGATTTTCCGATTTGAATTTGCTATTTTCTGCCTTCTGCTTCAAAGAAAAAACACTTTTGATAAAAACAGCATATGCTTTTTTCATTTTTAAATTCCCAAATCTTGCTTTGTCTAGTAGGAAATCTGTTTGGCTTGTTGATAATGTCGAGGAGATTGACACGTCCAGTTGGTTGTCTAATATCAGCTGGTAATCCTGAGATGAGGAAGCACCCCTCAGGATGCTGGCAGATATTACCCAAACAGTTGGGGAACGGTCCAGGGCAGAACGGCAGTGGTCTTTCATCCCTCCCTGTAGTATCTATGCTTAGTGTGCCCAGGGGGCACAAGCATTTGCTTGTAGAGCCTGCTAAAACAGTTCTCAATGTAATAGATGTAAAGATGAAAAATGAAAATATGAAAAAGCAACCTGAAACATACTTTAGTTCACATTTTCAAGAACTCTTTTGTCAAAATATTAGTGGAATTAAATATTATCCTTTTGTATTGTCTTTACTTTACATTAGCAGGATAATTGATGAATATATTTAATCAAATTTTATTTTCCTTGTTTTGAAATGTAACATATCTAAACAATGTACATTGAGTCATTAATCCTTTTTACTGCTTGCAAAAAACTAATTTATAACTTCATAAAGGTGTGTTTTTCTTTTTCTGCTCATTCTTTGCTTTCCTGCACATTGCTTTCTATGTATCAACAGGAGCTAACTAATAATCAGAGAACCATATACACTGTATAAAAACTTTTTATATTTTCAGTAAACGTCTGTACATGTCTTTATGATTGAACAAATCATATATATTGAAAATTTTAAAAGACAACTTGATAATATTTTTACCCAGATCCCCAGTGTAGTCAGGATAGGCTTAGCGCAGTAATAGATTTGCGAGCTTACCTGAGAGAGTTGCCCTGCGTGATCTGGTGACTTTGTGACTGAACTAGTGCATGGTTTCTGCGTTGATTTCTTGTCCTGCCTTGCAGCTGCCAATAATGTTGGTGTTTGTCTAATCTCAGCTGGTAATTCTGAGTGATACTTCAGGCCTCAAGTTACCAGCCGAGACTACACAAATTCTTCCTGGTTCACCCAGCGTCTGGTAACGAGCACTAATACCGAATAACACGGGACACGTAACACTGTAACTCAGCATGCTGCATCTTCACCTGCAGTAGCCATGGTAACCAGCATGTCATGAATGAAGAAACGGGTGCTTCTTGTTTTTTTTTTTTATTTTTTTCCTTCACTTTTTCACTTGAATAAATTAATTAAACTTCTGTAATATTTCTCTTTAATATGAGTTTCTGTAATATGAATCGGGAATTAGATTTTATTTCAGGACTTACATTTCTGTAATATTTACTAGTGTTTACTACATGATGAAAGCGTTGGGTGATTGAAATATTTTTCTTCCTGTGTTTCTGCCTGATTGCCTTGTGTGAATGGCTGTTTAGACCTGTTGAGAGGTCCACATTTCCACTAGATGTGTCCTGCTGTAGTATAGCTCATTTAAGAGATAATAAAGAATGTTACTGCATTTCGCCATGTGGCTGCCGTGCGGACCATGTGAGCATGAGCATGAAGGAGTACCATCTGTGAGTATTACATCAGGTACTGAAGATTGCACGTATCAGTACCTTTTGTGGTATTCTTAGTTTGTAGCTCCAGCACTTCAAAGCGCCATCAACCAAACATCCAGACACAGACTGATCTTATCTTGTATGATATTTCCAGATGTGTTATCTTGTTGATGTTTTTCTGTAAGCAATAATCATTTTGAAAATGTAGACAGAACGTCTGGTCATCACAGGAAGATATTGTATGGTGCTAATGATGAAATTGTTATAGAGAGTGCTCTCTTGGTTTTTTGATAGATAATGGTTTTAACTTTTGAACTGGTTTCATTTTGTGACATATATTGTCAAAATCATCGGTTTGTAATTATCAAAATTATCGGTTTTTAATCACAGTGCAGTTTCATGTGCATTGGTTGGCATAGTTTTCATATTACATGTAGTTCCAGTATTTTTACCTGTTCATGGACAGGGCTTTTTTCTATTATATAGGAATGGGCCATTTTATTCATTATGGAGGAAATTGGTCAGTTCGATGTGAAATCCTAAGGAGTAAAAGGAAATTTTGGAAATTTGGCCATATGAAATAATCCATTTGGGAATGGATCCCATATTCTGCCTCATAGAGCCCCCAGTATAAGCCCTGATGGGTGTCTTTAATGTGAGATTTCCAGATAGTGTTATCTCATACTTACTTTATATTTTGTATATTTTGTGTGTTTTTAACCTCCATAGTAGCATGATAACACACCTCAATACTATTAATACTTGGTACATATCAAAATGTAAGTGTAATACTTGTACCTGTTGTGAACAATAGCTGACACACTGTGATTCAATCTGTAATGTTTACAGTTCAGCTGCGGGAGACTGCACTGAAGGCTGCTGAAGATCAGATATCAGAACTACGAACTGTGCGCGAGTCTAAAGTTGAAAAGTGAGTAAAGACACATTTGTAGGGAATGAACTTTTACTTACTGTTGGTCTGAAATTAATTAACTTGCTGATGGATCATAAAACACAAACAGAAATGAGTAATTTTTCAAAACAGCTTTTATTATGCTTGTTTCATACATGACTCATGACCTGCCATTGGTGTTTGATACAAACTGTCAAATTTTAGATGAATAGATTTCACTGTCACTTTATGTTTTGCATATGACATTTCTGATTTACGGTTTGTTTACGGTCTGTAATTATGTTCCTTTACTCTGAACCATTAGTTGTAAATAAGATATTTCATATATTTTCTATAGGGTTGTGATAAAGAACTTATTCCTGGGTTACTTTACGACGCCAAAGGGTCAACAGCAGCAAGTCCTCAAGGCAATCGGAGGAGTTTTGGGGTTCACACCCACAGACTATGAAAAGGTAACATACCATATATATATATATCTGATTATATGGTAACTACATACAAACATGAAAGCAGTCTGTTTTTTTTTATTATTATTAAATGCTATCAACTTATTGCATTAAATTCAAGTATGAATTCATAGAAAATGTAGAAATCTTCATGTAAAATTATTTTAGCTTTTGTTTACATGACAATACTTTTGTTGTCAACAGATAAGTAATTTGAACACAAGCTGGATGCCAGGGTTCTTAAGGTTTGGTGGAGGCTCTTCCTCCCCACTTGCCTCACCTGTCCATACACCTCAGAGATTCAACCAATCGACACCAAGGGCTGATAAGGTAAAGAAAATAAATTAACGAAAAAAAATAAAGATTGCTAAAACTAATTCACAGTAGAGAATAAATTTATTTTCTTGTCCTATGAAAAAATGATAACAAAAAAAAATATGTGTTACAAAAAAGAAAATATGATTGCCTGGTGATATAATCTAATCATAATGTATGTCATTATCATTTTACAGTCATTTTCCGAGTTGTTTGTAAAGTTCTTGGAAAAAGAATCATCACCTCCCCCTCCAAGTTTGCGTCTGCCTGCAGAAGAGATGGTCCTTGATGTACAGAGAAACAAGGACAAGCCAGCCTACAATCCGTTCACAGCTCCCCGGCATGTGGCCATGCCTGGTCAGGCAGGGACTAATGCTGCTTCTCATGACTCCCATATCCTCATGTCCTCTGCTCCAATGTCCCCAACATTAGCTGTGTTCACGCCAGTAACAGCACATACAACACCCATTAACACTTCAAGTGAAATTCTAAAAGATGTTCTCTCAGCTAGATAGCGAAGCATCATGATATAATGTGCCAATCTTAATGAAAACCTTTTTTTCCTTCAATTGAATTTTTCTAGTACCTTGCCTTAGAAGCAAATCTGTAAGAGACCAGAATATTTATTGTTGTGGATATGGAAATTTTATTTCTATAAAAAACATATCAGAATTTTGGTTTTACAGAAACAAGCATTACACTATATATATATATACAGAATCTGGTCAACAGTTTAATACTGAACAATTTCAGAACTGTGCAATGATGAAATAAACAGGAAAAGTTATTAAAACTTTTCATTGTGATGTGTCTGGATTGTCGCCATTATTTCCATTTCAGCTGGGAACAATTTTTTTGCATGGATAAATGTTTCGTGAATGTTTGTAAGTTAAAAAGTTTGAAGTGTGTAAGATACATTGTCATTGTTAACATGGTTGATAGAGCATTCATCGTCATGTACCTGGTAGTAAATCTACAGTCTGTAAATAAATACTGTAAACAAATATAGGTATTGTGTATCAACTCAATAAGTACATTTTAGAGTAAATAAATTATTAAAAATTTTGTGTACCAGTAAATGGTATCTAAAACGTACGAATAGGAAATGAAGTTATGAACTTATGTATGTATAGGCCTATTATATAATGTGCAACAGTAAATTATCACATTGTTATTTTCAGTCTAACACTCAATATGTCCAGTATGAAGTTTTACTCTGCTTATAAAAAGCAAGTGCTCTAGGTTTTCGTTTGGTATGTAGAACTTTCTGTTTTGTGAGACTTACATCAACTACCAAAAGTTAGCTGGATCTACTTTGTCACATCTTTTAGAATTATTTATTTTAATTCATTTAGATATGATTTATTGTAATGATTTCAATTGGCATTAAAATATATCTGATTATGAATTGTATAGGTTGGGAAGAAAGGGATACAAGTACACTGTGATCTGTAGAGGTTGAACATATGTTGTGTATGTACGAGGTATACATGTACATGTGATTTTAACAGCTACTGGAGAGAGATTATAAAAAATGGTTATAAAACAATACTTTGTTTTGTTATTCTTCTTGCCTTGCTGATCAAGTTTGTTAGAGATGTAGTTTCTCAACTACCTACATCAATTCATTATGAGTGAAACCAACACAAACAGAGCAATAATGGTGTTATTTTCTAGCGCCTTACATATTTATCAGTTAATAAGTACATGTCTGGTAGTAAGCCCATCCATATCTACAACTATTTAATTGAATAGCTAACAAATGCTACTGTTCCGTAAAAAAACCCACTTTCTGACTGTGAGGAGTAAGATGTGTTAGCGTTGGAGCATATTGTAAGACAAAATCAGTAATATCCCGTTTACTACAGATCTCAATGTTAAATAGAAACAGAAAATAGACCTGAATCTGAAGGTCAAGGTCACTTAAAGTGGAGAGCCTCAACTACATGTCATTACAGCAGATACCTTTGGAATGTAAATGAACAAACATGAAGAATTATGCGAGAATTATCATGACTTTTGTATGGTTCAGATGTAAAAAATTATCTTACCAATAACTTTTCTGATAACAATCTTCCCAGTTAAATTTTCTGAACAAAAATATAATGTTAGACCAGTCAACCTGTAGAATCTAGAAGGTTGGAAAAGTTACATAGCATTTCATTTTTATCATGACATGTTTCACAGGAAGATGGGTATAAAAAGGGTGAAAATCTCAAATTCCGAAAATGCCATGTAACTGAAAACCGTCTCGTTTTAAACTGTTTTCCTGTAGTGTAAATCAATAATATCAGCAAATTAACTAGGTGAACAATACAGGCCATATTGCCCTCTTGTTTAAAATAGAATTGTTCATTATATTTTGAGGGATACCAAAAGTTTTAATAGTATGATTCAACATGTAAATGCATGGTGATATGGCAGTTAATAACCAATGGCCATAATAAACCTTTTAAAGAATTACACAAAACTCATCACACCGTATCATATAAATTTCTAACAAAGATCTAGAAAGCTTAAGTTTCATGGTTAAAAATAATCAGGCTCTCTCAATATTTCCACAGAACAGCAGTCAAATTGCCCAGTAGGATTCGAGTTAAACTGCATTAGCCTCTTGATTCAGAAAAATCACAGAAGTGTTCTTCAACATGAACACATACCCAATGTGTTACTGTTGTTACCTGTCCCTTAATTCATTGTCCTGACAGTGTTGTTAAGTATTAAAAGGTAGTAATTCTGAGAAAAAGTTATAAATGATCAGCACAACTGAATTATATGCAGATCATGTGTATATAGCATTTTGAAGGAAATGTTATCCTTTCAAGCTTTCATCCACAGGTTAGCCAGGCAGAAAAATTACCTGATTCCTGGTAGCAACTGAGCAATAAATTTACCCCTTAATCGTTGCAAGGTATGATTAATATTCATACAAGTGTTATTGGATGAAAATTTTCAATTAAACAGGAATAAATTGATTTATCTGGAAGGAAGCAGTCAAAGGTGAGACATTTTATTGAAATATCAGAGGTCAAGTACATGACAAATGTTTGTGCATGTATTGAAATCATTTCTATAAGAATGATGATTCATATTAACCGCATAAAAGAAAGCTTTTGGGGCAGTATTTTTTATTTTCTGAGGTTATGGTTGTGCAAGATAGTCTGGAATTTCACATGACAGATATCTAAAAAAAGTCCACAGAAACATTTTTCCTTATTTAAAATTACTAGATGGGACTAGTTATCCACAGAAAAGATGTGCCTTTAGTTTGGTTAGATAGGCAGCATGGTGGTTCATGTACCCAAAGAAAAGGGACCTAAAAAATAGTGCCTTTGTGGAATAATTTCTCATCAAGTTAAATGAAAAAAATGTGGTAATTTCATGCCACATGACACAAGTTTCTGTATCATTGTGAAGTCATGTGAAGAGTTAATCGATAATACAAAGGTCACTTGTTCAATTGTTCATCAATTTTAATCAATGTTGTATACTTTTCATTTGCTCATTTAGATGTGTGTACGCAGACTGGAATGATTGGGAGCACAAGGGATTCTCTCCATTGCTCCGGGAGAAAAGATAGTGGTAGGGGGTGGGTAGGAATGGATTTGGGAATGTTTGTTCCCAAAAGCTGGAAAAAATTAAGAGAATTTGACAAATATTTCATTTTGTGGTGATGTGTATATAGCTGCATATTTGGGCAGAGGCAGCTACATGCCTGACTATGGTCAATATATGGGTCATAAAAGGTCACATATTATGTTCTATACCTCCTGAACATATGTGTAGTATTTTTCATTTGTACATCATGCAACAATGCAGAATTACAGACTAAGGTCAATATACAGGTCATCAAGTGTCACATGTCACATTTTTAGTCGCTTGACCATAGCAGTCACTTGCAGTCATTGTGCATTAATTTTTTTCTTGTGGACATGATAACTTGAGTAAATATGACCCAATTTTAGTTTAACTTGGTATGCTGCCAGATTTCAATAAGATCTCAGATGAGATTGACAATTGAATCCTGTGAACATGATAGTTTGAATAAATATGAAGAGATTTGGTCTTGGATGAGTTTGACACTACGTTTGGCTGGGATTAGTTAGGTGACTGTTTAGGCCCATGGTCTTCTTGCTCATTAATACCAATCAAATTTGTATACTTTTCATTTGCACATATCTAACATTATTAAGTCATCACAGAATCATCACAAATACCTAAAAAATTTTCAGTTGTAAAATGACCTGCAGAAAAATCTTTGTAGATGAACCTTTCAACCAGGCCAACTTAAGAAAAAGAAAAACATCATAATTTGTTCAACTTTTTATTACAATAAATACAGGTAACATCAATTGAAAATGTATGCAGCGAACATGGCATGATTTATCAAAGCTTTTGTAACATATTATAAATCTATTAATTAAAGCCAAGTATTTGGCTGAAACAGTGATCACAGAATGGACTACGATGTCATTCTTGTGTTTCACCACAATTGTACATCCTTTATCCAAGGTTAGCCTTATCCTTGACTAATCAAAAGATCATTCTTATTCTACAGGTCCAGCTGTATTTTAATTCATCACACACAACAACAGTCTCAACTCTTACAAGGTCATTCTCGTACTGCTCAAATTTTTCTTTGACTCATGAAGGTCATTTTCATCCCATCTCTAGGAATTTTACTAGTGTCATTTTCATCCCATCTCTAGGAATTTTACTAGTGTCATTTTCATCCCATCTCTAGGAATTTTACTAGTGTCTTGGTTTCAACCTTGACTTATCAAAGGTTTTTCTCATAGTTTAGTCACCAAAAGCCTGGGCCTTCCTTCATCAAAGGTCACTCTCATATTTCACTCACTAAAAAGGCTTTGTCTTCATTCGAAAAGGTCACTCTCCTTATTTACTCACCAAAATTCTTGACTCAACAAAAGTCATAGTCTCTATGTAACAATGTTAAGTTGTGGTCATCCTTATTGTCTCTATGTAACAATGTTAAGCTGTGGTCATCCTTTTTTGTTTGCCCCACAATCACTGAATGTAACATTTCCTTTTTTTTTTCATTATTTATTTTATTTTCTATAATCCTTTTTCAAACTAATTTGGTTCAATTCTCATGTCAAATTTTCACCTGAGTAAATTTTTAACCTTCCATCAAAAAGTCTTTTTTTCTAAAGTGAGGGCCATTCATCCACTTCCTTTTCAATCAATGAATGTTAATACCAATGGATAGGGTTAAATGAAAAACCATTAATTTGTAGTCTGATCATAGACACCATATCACAACTGTAATCTGCAGTCACATACAAAAACTAATATTTCTAATCTGTAGTCTATATATACACAAGTCACATTACCAAGTCATATTTCCCATAAATTTCATCATACACTTTATAAACCAAAGTCCAGTCATTACCCACAACATTCACAATATATGGCCATACAGATCATCAATTAGTAATATGAGAGTAGCTAAATATTTCATAAGTATATTCCTAGAGTTAGGGTTTACACCATAACCTATCCAAAACAAATGCTGTGTAAACTGCCAGCCTGTCCAACTATATCCCATCACAATCATTTCTAAGTGTACTACCTGTGCACATTTGTAATATAAAAACCTGTCCCATTTGGACTGATTTTTTTCTCTGGTTATTGTATAGTTTAGACAGGTTTTACACTATTGGACAAGTTTTACAGTATCCTGTTGGTTTACTTCTCCTACAGACACTGAAACATTGATTAATCAGATCCTCATGCCATCACTAGAAAACAGTTTTACTTAATTCCACTATCAACTTCAACATCAAGCCCTGCCTCTTAATTGTACAAAAAACTTCTAAAGTGACAGAGAACACTTGTTTTTTGTCACCCGAGTCTGGCATAATTTTCACCTCTTATTTATTTGTACAATGTAACCTTGATACAGTCCTCTTTTTTATTATTTATACTCTCATTTCAAATTGTATCTTTCCTTTTTACAGATATAATGTCAAACCTCTTCATATGCTACAATCTGGTGAGAAAAATGGTGTCAATGTAGCATGATTATATGGAATACAGTTTTTATCTACAAATAAGCACCTGCCCATAAATAAGCCCCTTTCTTAATCTTTACAGAATAATCAATTTCAAAACAGTAAGCTTACAGAAGTTTACAAATAAGCCTTTCCCAAACTTTAATACTGAACTTTTAAAATAGGGGAGGGGGCTCATTTGAGGATAAATATGGTATTCATTATGAAGAGGAGATAAAGGTCCTAATTCAGAATGGTCTGGTATAGTAGTCACTGAATAAATGAAATATAAAATAAATGCTTTAACCCTACAGGGTAGAGGATCACTGGGATCACCATCACAACTTATAAACAAAAACAAATTAAACAAAAACATTTTAAAAGTAATATAGCAGAAGTTTAAATATAGACTAAATACACGGTACAATATGTAAGTAAAGTGAACAACATCAAAATCTAGTGTGAAAAGTTGTTAGATAATGTAGTAATACAACAGAACTGACAACAAAAAATATGTAACTAAGGAAGATTAAATATCAGATATTACACAAAATAATGAAACAAAATATTCAAATGACAAACAATATGATAATATACAACTAAGTTTTGACCTACACTGCCATAAGTAAATTCATACGGAGCATTGGCAGGTGTACACAGGCCAATGCCAATAAAAAATATAATTTGAGAGAAACAGTGATGTCATGATTGATGGCAAAACCACTGTTTATGTCGCACTAGTGCTGAAAATGTTCATCATTCCATTTAGCATCAACAAATAATTGATTAATTATTGGAGCTAGAAATGAACATTGTGTGCAAAATGCCTACATTAGTTCAAACTTAACTAGACCTTCAGATAAAATATATCCACTAGATCATATGAAAGAATCTGTACTTCAAAAGTTGAGCTTTCTTGTGGAAAATAATGTAAATACAGCATAGAGCTGGTTTTATCTTCAGTTTAAAACATATTTTTTTCCTGATACAACAATGAAATTATCAAAAATAACAGGCTGAATATTCTCTTATAGAAAAATCTATAATAATAATGTTATTCAAACATAACACATTGTACATCCTCAATCATTATTGTTTTGTTAATTTCATATTTTCAGGCCTTCACACAAATCAGATTTTGTGATTTTGTTTTGCATAAACTAAGCATATAGACATATTTTGAATGCAAGCCTCATCTCTTTTCTCATAAATCACAGTAAATATTATGCACAGTAGACATGTTAAAAATTGTACAACATGACTAAAGGTGTTTAACATTCAAAATAAATCAACAGCACTATTAACAGTGTATATGTATACAGTAATAGCAACCTGTTACAGTGGAATTTAATATAAACTTGTAGAATTAAGCAACAAAACATGTTTTATATTAAAGCATTAATAATTGTTGGCACTATTACCAAAGCTTTGTTCTTTGGAAAGATTTCAGTTTCTGACTTCCGAGATTGTCTCTCAATATCACATAGCATCTCTCATACATACTTCTGTATGATTGTGTGTAAATCTAAAGGACTCATTGTTTTGACATCAAACAAACCAGTGTCTGAGCATTAATTATATGATTTCATGTCATTATTTAAATACCTGTTTATATTTATCACACTTGGCAAGACTTTCTATTCTAAAATCATACATACAAAGAATTAATGCAATATCTTTCCCATTGGAAATCCTACTTAAACAGTACATTATGTATACAAATCAATTTGTTGACAAATGCCAGCTTGGCATGTCACCATACTTGTTTTTATATCTAAATCTCTCAAAACCTTTTTTCCAAATATGAAATATTTGTTGGTACATCATAATCTCCTCATTGTTTATAGAAACTATCATGACCAGCCTGTGTAAAGTTGTCAATAAGAACCAGATATTATCTTTGTATAATGTTTGTGATTGAATATGACTCTGTTAACAATTTCAAACTTGGAAATTCTAATTCTAGGAATGTTGTTGTTTTTGCATTCTAATTTTTCTTAAATTTAAATTTGCACTGGTGAAAATAAACTACAAATTCCAAGTGTTTAAACGTTGTACATCTTTACTAGTATTACTAAAATTCCTAAACCAAGATGAAGAAGATATCCGTTTTTTTTCACTCATCTATAGTAATTCTACTACTATAATTATGTAGAACAAATTTGCTTCTGTCATGATTGAAGAATGAACAGAATCCTATAGATATTTTAAAAAATTTAGTTTAATATCTACACCATTTCAACCTGGTTACAAAGAAACAATCTAAAATACCCAGTATATAATACAGGTGATGAAACACTTCCAGTTTGGTATGAGAAATCATGTTTGTATTTATCATTTCACAATAATCATAATAGCAGCCAGAACACAACTCTGGAATGAGTGTTTGGTGTAAGACATATCAGTATTTTATGTAAATGCTAACCAAATTCTTGTAGATTGAAACTTAAATTGTACAACTATGTGACTCACTGAAAATGAAAAAAATTGGCTTCACAACTTGCAATCAATAATACAATGATATAAACAGAGGAAGAAAGAAAATTGTACAACTTTTTTGCTATAAATGTACAACTGTTCTAGTTACAAAATGCTCAGCTATCAGGCACAAACATAACATATCAACTCACTGGTATTAACTAAACAAGGTGTTTTGGGAAATCAGGAATGTTTTGGAGTTTGGACAGTTTTCTCTGGGCAACACAGCTCAGTAAATACATTGTATATTTGAGACATGCATGTCCTAGGTATCAGGATATTGTACATTGACCATGGGTACTGCTGGAGCTCCGGGCTCCAGGGGAGTTAGGTGCAGCAAGCCAGGTTTCTTTGTTCAAGGGTGGCACATAGTCTGTTGTGCGAGAGGTGAAACAGGAACAGACAGTCTTACTGTGGCGTGTGTGATAGAACATCTGTGTACACTCCTCCACATATTCTTCATACAAACTGTCCAGACGCAGGGCAGCTTGGATTTGTTCCATGCGAGCTGGAACTTCTAAGGCTTTGGCACAGTCTATGGAGCAAGCCCAATGTTGAAATGGCACACAGGTGTTTCCCAGGTATGGATTCTTAAATGTTATCACCTTGTAACCTGAAATGTATAGAGAAGTGTTGCAAGAGTGAACTAAAATAACATATAATCAAGTGTCAGTACAACTGCAACAGATATCAGTACTGGTTTAACTAATGTCTCAGTACAGGAGTAACTGATGTATCATTACAGCAGTGACTGGTGTGTCAATGCAGGTGTAACTGATGTGTAAATGCAGGTGTAACTGTTGTGTCAATACAGGTGTAACTGATATGTCAATGCATATGTAATCGATGTGTCAATGCAGGTGTAACTGATATGTCAATGCATATGTAACTGATGTGTCAATGCAGAAGTAACTAATGTGTCAATGCAGATGTAAGTGACGTGTCAATACAAGAGTAACTGATGTGTCAATGCCTATTTAACTGATGTGCCAATACAAGAGTAAAAGATGAGCAACACACGAGTAACTCGTGTGTCAATACACTAATACAAGAGTAACTAATATGTCAATGTAGGTGTAACTGATGTGTCAATAGATGAGTGCAAGAATCTGTTAAAGCTACCAACATTCCTTCATCTGTCCAAAAACACTGTTCAAAATCATAAGTATCTGATTGTAATATCAACAATTTATCACTTATTCATCTACATATTTAATTTACACATCATAAATTGATGTCATTTTTTCAATCCCTTATCTAAGGTCTACTAAAACTGTAATATAACTCAACATTGTCTTATTGGTTATAACACCAATCACCTAAATACTTAACAAAAGAACAAATTTGAAAACATCATCAACTAACCTATTTGGTCGGGAAGGCAGGCAGTTGTGCAGAAATGACACACTCTAAACATGTGGTAAATATCTGATATATAGTCTTTTAACACCAGGGCCACAGACGGGTCCTTATAGAAGTCTGTTTTAGACCCAATCACAGCCTTGGCTGCCCAGAATTGCAGACTCTGTGGTTCCATGGATCCAAATGTATTTGTCCCAGATACAGGGATAATCCGAAATTCAACATCAGTGTGGTACCACATGAAAGTGGATTTGAAATAATTATGGTTGCCATGACGATGGACAGTTTTAATGGATGGCATTTTTAAGAGGAATCCTGGGAGTGCATCTAGTATGTTGTTGTCTAGGAGGATGGTTCGCAGCTTTTTGCAGAAGACAAGAGTGTAGGGGATGGAATGCACCTGGAGCTTGTTGTTGGTAAGGGCCAGGTACTCTAACTGTTGCATCCGACCAATGTCAGCTGGCAGGTTCTCAAGACAGTTATACTTCAGGGACAGGAATTTCACATTGGGACACCGAAAGATCTGATGAAAAAATAATGAAGTTCTGTTACATTTAATAGCTGACAATATTCCACAGATAATGACAGTTATTCAATAATTTACCCATCATCTGATGTGGTTTTCACTTTTCAACACTACAAAACACACAGATACACATACCCATGGTCGTTTGCAGAGGTTATCATAGATATGATTGTCAATATATATGGTAGGAAGCTTAATGAATTAAGTTCTATGTCAATTTACTGCAAATCCAAAGAGTTTATTGTAAAGTGCATTGGTTCCATAAATATTTCTTGGACCATTGAATTATTTTGCTTTTTCGCAAAGTAAGAATTCTAACTCCTTTAAATTTATTTCTCTAATCCTAAAGAAACTTGCAAATAATTAATGCAAGATTCTTTTATTCACATATCTATGCAATTGACCATTTGTTACACCCAATCCTGAAATGATGTTGTTCTGACAGTACACACCTCCCTTGGCAGCTTGTTGTCATCCCCATACTTGAATATGCTGTCTAGGTGAAACTCTGTGAAATTGTGGCTACTCAAATAGGTCCACAGCAAAGTAACTGAAGATTAGAAAAGAATAAACTTCATATACAGATACAAAACCATTTACTATTGTTATTATGTATCACAACAAAACCAGCAGGGCAAGATAGAGCACAAACAGCAGTGCCAGCTGACCTTTCTGTCAAATTACATGAATCAAAGTTATAAGGTCAATGGTAATGTGTCAGACAACACTTTACCCAAACTATTCCAATCTATGTGTATATAGCTGCGACAATCTATGTGTATATAGCTGCGACGAGAGAAGTAATAGGATGGCATCTGTTTTATAAAGGGAGCCATTAATCCATGCTCTTTTAATCAAAGTCCAGCAGTTTCCTCATATTCACATAAATTAAAAAAAAATTAGAGGCCAAAGATCCATCTATCTACCAGATCAACAATTACTGCATTGGCTTTTTCTCCTATACTCATTCTAATTACTTTTGCAAAGTTTGAAAAGTGTTTATTAATTTATTCTTACATTAGATATAAATGCAAACCCATTACTAAAGTTAATATGATGATTTCATGACCCAAGGAAAACACCTGTAGCACTCTTCTACATATTAAATAAATTGATAGACAGGATCTCAATGTGAAACATGCCATTCCCATGCATTATAAATTTGTTGAATATCCTTGAGGTGTGATACACTTATATAAGAAATAAAGACAAGCATTCTCTCACCTCCTGGTTTTCTCAGTTGTTTCTTCAATTCACGTTCAGTTTCTTCCCGTATTAGCTGCAGTAAAAAGTCAGGTCGTTTGTGAAGGGCCACAGACAAGAACCACAGACTCTGAGGAATTTTCTGGAATTAAGAACGAACAAAAACAATGATAATATCATAATAACTGCAAGGAGAAAGGTGCATTTATAGTTGTTATATATACATATATAAATAATAATTGCTTCTTAAAATTTCAATCAACCGGAGTAAAATAAAATGTATGTACAATTTCTACATGTACAGTGTAAAAGAATACTGTATATTAAGTAATACACAAAATGAAATGTAAGATCACATTTTCCATTAAATGAATGTAAGGTGTGTTTCCATCATAGCTGTTGCTAGTTCTCTTGTATTATTAATTGTATATTGGATATTTCATTGTCTTAAGACTTTATTTTGTTTACTAACTTTCATTTCTTTTTGTATACTAAGAAAATAAAGTGTTCAATCAATCAGTAATTACCTTCAGAGGGATAAGTTTTAATGCCTTAGCTCCTGTATTGCCCCTTTATTCATGGTTTTAAGCGAGTATCTGTGTGCTTATGACCACCCACCACACCTTACAACACCTCTCTTAAAATCAGATAAAAAATTTTGTTTTCCTACTTGGCCACTTTGACTTGCAATTTTTTGCAAAGACTAAAGAATACAAGTTTATTTCAGGTTGATATTAGTGTATTAAGTTTAGCTTACTAGTATAGATTGAGTACGAATCCCAGTAGATTTACATGCATGTAAAAACTGTGTTTACATATCAGTAGGTTTTTGTCAATCACACTTAAATATATTTAAATCATGAGGACCATGGCCCATAAAACAGTTATCTGACAATAAACATATAGATGGACAAACCACAGAACTCACTGATAGTGGTCTGACAAATCTAAAGAATTCAAGCTTTGAACATTTCTTGAAAGTATCAGAAACTCATAAATGGTAGGTTCTGTTCATGAAAAACATTTGCATAATCATGTTACAGAATGGCTACTGCGTTTACCATGTTGAAGTTTTGATCAGGCTGAAAAAAAAAACCCAACAAATCATCTCTTTTCTTTTTCTTGAAAAATCAAACTCCAGATATTTTTCTCATTTGTGTAAATGAAACTTATAGAGAAGCAGATCAGACTATTTGATCTAGACGAGTTCAGTTGGATTATGGACCAAAGCAAAAAAAAAAAAAATTTGGCCAGTAAAAATCTCAGGGGTCACTTCATGCATGTTTGATATCATTGACACTCCCCGATAATGTTTCAGGCCTAATTTGGTTGAAATCTACCCAGATATTGATAAGTAGACATTTCTGAATTTAAGAAATGATTCCCCACTCTCCATGATATTTCATACTAAATTTGGTTGAAATCAATTCCTGCATTAAAAGAGTTAAAGTGTAGCATTTTGACTAACTTTCCCATTTTGGGCCTTGTCAGCAGGTCCCTAGGGGTCAAATCAATTTTCTGAATTTAAGAAATGATAAGACACCTGCTTTAATGTTTCAGACCAAATTTGATTGAAATCTTTTAAGTCATTAAGAAGGAGTAACAATTTGAAGTGAAATATTGTCTAATTTGTTCTGTTGGGGCCCTTCCCCTAAGTCCCTTGGGGCTAAATCAAACTTTGAATTTAAGAAATAATTGACTACCCTAAGCCAATAATGCATCAGACCAAATATGGTTGAAATCCATCAAGGTATGAAAGAGGAGTAGGTTTTAAAGAAAAAGTTTACACACCAGACGGCGCACAACAATGGACAAAGGATGATGGCTTTTGGCATGATGGAGTTTGTTTTATATCATGACGCCATAGATAAGTAGCAAACGTAGACAAGGACAGAGAAGCCATAGCCTACAGATATTTCATTACAAGACTGCTATAATATATATCAAGCATATATTAAAAGTTCATTCTTGTGTGTGTTTAAATTTTTTTTTTTTCTGTTGCAGTGATAGGAATTTCTTACTAACCAAATGTAAACTTCAACCTTTAAGCAGCCATCGCCAAACCTCCAAATTTAAGATGCCTAGAAAAATGTAACCTATAACAGTAAATCAAGTTTCTTTGGATATAACTAGATGTTGGACATTTTGACAAAAGTGTATAATAGTCACTTCATATTTCAAATAGTCTTACGTCTGCTGTAGAACACCTGACTAGCCTAAGGAAACTTAGACTATCAATATTTGATGTACATGTATCAGCTACAGCAGGGTTTGTTACAGACTGGAATACCTCAGATTTATCCAAGTGAGCTTTCTAGTTCAAGGTGAATGACATGTCAAGGGACACATTACAATAAGAAAGAATATACAAAATGCATTGAAGCCCCATACAAGCATAGAGTAATGTTTATGTATAGTCTTACTCCTATAATATAAGGTTTCACAGTGTCTGTTATAAGTTTCTTGCCATGTAAACTTCTTACATGGTAAATTAGAATATTCGAGTATTTATTTGAAAAATAAATCAGAAATCAGGGATTTATATACTCCTTTTTATATATCAATCCTCTATTTTTATTACTATTAAAATTAATATTTTCTGGGGTGTTAGTAATGTGGCTAGTTCAACATGTGAAAAAAAAACTAATTGAATAATAAACATTTTCATTCATTTATTCCCTGTGATGTTAACTGAATCAAGGCGATGATCACAGGATCCAGAATAAAAGGTTCATATCAGCAAACATGATGATGATGATGATGATTGTTGATGATGTCATGTGGGTGATGACAAAGCCAAAGTTTCGTGGCTCATGTTTTATTGTCGTCTAAGTATATAAGGTAAAAACTACTACTCAAAATTACCAACAAAACAGCAACAATGTTTAATAAATACTAAACGAGTTATCGTCTGCCAATAATGAACACTCACCCCCAGATGTTCCGGGTCAGCCCCATCACCCTTCTGGAAAAGCGTTCTTTTCAACTCAATCCATTGTTCTGGACATGTTTGGAATCTCTTGAACATAAGTAATTCAAATCCACAAAAGACATGAGTCATCTTTGGGCAGAATATTGAGAATTACATTCTGGTTTCGTTGTCTGAAGAAACCATTGGACGTTCCTTCCGTAATGGTCTCGCCGTATAAAGAAATCGGGGTACTGAAAATGCTTGTCGACAATCGTCGACCGAATAAAGCGTTTTTGAGAGCTTCTGACACCTGGGGTTTTCTCTACAAAATTACTTCCCTTGAATGTTCATGTGATTTGTAAACATGTCGTCGGAGAAATTCGAGTCACTGGAAGATGACTTGACTTCAGTAATCGACGGTTTAAAGGAAAGAATTGAGAAGAAGATTCCAGTATATCGAGGAGGTATTACCACGCTCCTAAACATCCAATACATAACGTGACTAGCACAAGGCTACTGTTTCAATCACCCCGCCCACAAGAGTTTCAGTGTTGGCCACTCGTAGGCCTATATTATCAGACTCAAAGGAGGGGTTGAGGATCATTTCTTTGATTTTATCTGATGCAGAACCAATACATATTTTTAATTTCTGATGTATATATCACTACATAAGTATTTGCGATGATTAATATTGATGTATATTTGTAAAACCCACACTAACGATACACATGCATGGATAGTTATAATCTCAATTATTCTTGTGTTGTTGTCTTTTTTTGCAACTTATATGATAAAGACTGGTTCAGCATCGTTAAATGTAATATAATATATACATACTGTGTCATGTGTTTATAAGAATGGAATCTGTCATGTAGTGATTTTTGAGGAAAAATGATCAAATTGACAAGATGCCACTCATACGACAATTTTGTTGACTAGCCCACCAATTTAGGAAATCTCTTAATCTTATGACATCCAAAATCATCAGCATTTATTGTAAAATGATTGATTTGTTCAAATTCATAAAAATAACACACTTTTGTATAATTTTATTTTTATTTTTCAGAGGAAAAGAAAACAGCAATTCGCCATGCAGGAAGAAATTTGGAGGAAGCAGAATTTATTGTATGTTGTATAAGTATGGTAAAACAAATCATTATTTGACAAAAAAATGTGCAAATAATGCATCTCATTTCAAGACAATGGGTGACAGCCCACATCAGACACTCAGGGCCTCTCAGTCTATACCAAACTCCCTGGGTCACTGGGTCTTAACTAGACATTACGGTGTAAGGCTAGGCAAAAACTTTCAAAAGCACCAGTCTGTCAGACTAGCGGCCTGGTTAAAAGTACTTATCTGAACGAGGGATGTAATATTCCAGAAAATATTTACATAGATTTTTCAAAATGTAATGCCTAAAGAGCTCACACATCATGTATCAGGCTTTAATAATTCAATCAAGTTCAGTTATCAATCAATTGTTGAACTGGTGAATGTTTCCCATAAACCTACCTAAAAGTAAGCGTGTACTCAACTAGACTCAATTAAAGAATGTCCAATGATAGAGCCAGAGAACACACTGCTTAGGTATGCAGTCTTTAGCAAGAAACTGGTGTATATATTCTGCAGAACCAATATAAATAATTACATTAAGATAAAGTAATATTTTCCAAAGATCGCTTTGGTGCTGTTTTCTTTCAAATTGGACTTAGGTTGACTTGGTTGACCACTGTGAAGAAACAAATGCAATTTTTGACGGGTCATTTCCATTCAAATAACCTTCGTTAATTACTTAATACTTAACGTGGACTCTACCACAGTCACAGTCAATGCCACTCTATTTTTGTCATGTTCAGTTTTCATTTTAAGAGGCACCAAGCTACCCGATTATGTGCTGAAATTTTACGATCTTGCACAATGTCTTGCAAAAGGAACATGTAATGGCCAATGGTTAGACAGTTATGTTCTATTAGACCATGGAATTACATGATTTTTTTTCACCCATCAGTTACAATCATTTGTCAGTTGGCAAAATTCACTCAACAGGACCAATCAATGAGTGCTTTTGCTGGGTCCTGCTGTGTTACACTAACTTATCCAGACACCCCTGGATCACTTTCTCTTTACCAGAAAACATAGGTGACTCTAACTACACCAGACCTCTGGGTCACTCTAATTACACCAAACACTCCTGTGTAACTGTATTGACACAGGACACCCTTGTGTCACTCTATCAACACCTATCACCCCAGTGTCACTCTACTATACCAGACACCCAGTTGTGACACTAGCTACTCCAGACACACCTGTGTCACTTTATTGACACTAGACATTCCTCAATCACTCGACCAGACACCTTGTGTTTCTGTTGAAACCAGACACCCCTTGGTCACCCTGATAACACCATACACCCCTGTGTCACTCTGTTGACTCTAGACAATCATGGGGCACATTACAGCTGACATTATTTGGTCAATGACTGCACTAGACATCATTGGGTCACTATATCCACACCATATATCTTAGGTAACACAGGAAAGTTACTCTATTTTCACAAGACACTTTGCATCACTCTCTCTAAACAAGGCATTCCTATGTAACACTAACTACACTAGAAATTGCTGGATTTGTCTATACCAGACAACCTTTGACACTTTGCCTATATCAGACCCCTTTTTGTCATTCCACTGGAAAAAAAACTTTCCTGTGTCTTTTCACCTCAGAGTCTCTCTTATCAACACCAGACACCTAGGGTTACTGTCCAAACCAAACATCCTTGTGTCACTTTATTTTTTTGCCTACATCAGACACCCTATGTGTCAATCTCTACACCTTACAACCTTGGGTCTCGCTATTACTCCAGACACCCTTGTGTAACTCTATGACATAAGATACCCCCCTTTCACTCTCTCAATACCAGTCACCCTGGTCTCATTCTCACTAACATCAGACACTCCTGAGTCACTCTGTCTACACCAAACACCCATTTGTGACGCCATCTATACAAGGCACCCTTGGGTCACTCTATTCCAGACATGCCTGGGTCAAACACGCCTGGATCACTCTTTATACCCTAGACACCCCAGTGTCACTCAATCTAAACCGGACACCGCTGGGTTACACTAACTAAACTAGACACCCTTGGATCACTAAGTCTATAGCAGACACCCCTGTGTCACTCAATCTACACTGCTGGGTTACACTAACTAAACTAGACACCCTTGGATCACCAAGTCTCTAGCAGACACCCCTGTGTCACTCAATCTACACTGCTGGGTTACACTAACTAAACTAGACACCCTTGGATCTCTAAGTCTATAGCAGACACCCCTGTGTCACTCAATCTACACTGCTGGGTTACACTAACTAAACTAGACACCCTTGGATCTCTAAGTCTATAGCAGACACCCCTGTGTCACTACGAACACCAAACTCGCCTGTATCAAACTAACTACACCAGACACCTCTGGATCAACTTGTCTACACCAGACCCCTCCTTTGTCACTTTCCATACACCAGACACCTCTGGATCAACTTGTCTACACCAGACCCCTCCTTTGTCACTTTCCATACACCAGACACTCCTGGGACACATTTACTACACAAGAAACTGCGGGAACACTCTATTGACTTGAGACACCCCTGTATCACTAATTATTACCACTCCTCGGTTACTCTGTTTACACCAGACACCCTTGTGTCACTCTTTCTATATAAGATTTGTGTACTATTTCTTGACATAACTTTGGTCAGAAGTAGAAAATAGTAATGTTTAACCTGAAACAAATATTAAGTTTTTTCTTGTTTCTGACTGTAGATTCAGGAGATGGAGGAAGAAGCCAAAGTTGCCCCTGTACCCTATAGAACACAAATGCTTGGAAAGCTCCGGAACTACCGACGAGACTTGGAGCAAGCTTCCAAGATGTTGGTAAGTCTTTGTGGAATTTGAATTTCAAATCATTTGATGTGTTACAAAAAAAAAAAAAAAAACAGAAAAAATAATCTTATGCTTTTTGAACAGCATGATGAATGCTTAAATGCAATGAAATAAACTTTCCATTTCTTGGAGATGATTTAGCTTAAGCTAGCTTTACAGAAGAGGATGATACAAACACAAGGGTTATAATTTAGTGAAGATAGTCTTTTGTATTGAGAAAAGTTGAACTACTTTATTGTATTAGATGATTTAATCATGTAATATGAAGACGTTGATAGATGTTTTTATTTTTATTTCTAGAAGAAGGAAAGTGGAAAACCAGTCGGTGGTTCAAATAACTATGGATTTGACAGAGAAGATGTGAGTAATTGTAGTAAGATAAGGATGAAAAATCCATTACATGACTATTTTTTCATGTGTTTAAATAAGATACGGAAAAAATATTCAATTTGTTAAAACGTTGTTTAATAAAATGGACTAACCTGAAAAATACAGGTCCGTATGATCATGAATTAGAATGAGAAATAAGAAAATTGATGTCTTTATTTTACAGTGAAAGTAAATCAGAATGTGTAAAGTTCATCATAGCCAAACACTTTTTAGGTCAATTACTACATATAGAAAGGAACTATACAGCTACCGCAAACAAGATCAGGAGGTTCCCATAAATGATAGATACAGAGAGACCTTTGTTATTTTATGATCAAAGATCTTAGCTATTTCACACTTTCTCTTTACAGAAGATGGTAGCCTCTCAGCGCTCCAAGCTGATGCAAGGGACTCAGTCTCTTAACAGAGCGTCTGAGAGCCTGGCTAGGACACAACAAGTAGCTGCGGAAACAGATGCGATCGGTGTGGACACCATTGATGAGCTTGGTAGACAGAGAGAGGTTCTTGTACGCACTAGGGACAGAGTAAGTAACATTTTAAAAAAGGATGTCTATTTTAGTCTTCATTTCAAGGTCTAGTTTTCCTTGTTTCTTTCGATTTTGAAACAAGTTCAGTTTTCATTAAAATTGGAGTGAAGCTATATACATGTATATTATATAACTAAAAATATTCTCTATTTTTCCCTGTGGAGATAGTAACATTCACACGCAGTAGTGTTTCTATCTTATGGTAATCCCTCATGTTACATCTTGTATCATGATTTCACAAAGTAATATTAATGATACAATGATTAACCTACCTGTAATCAAATTGACTTTTGATTTCAAACTCAGATTATTTCATTTGTTTGTTGTTTCATTTTTCAGTTGGAAGAAACTGATGGAAACCTCGTAAAAAGTAGAAAAATTCTCAAATCTATGGCTACAAGGTACCACTACATTTTTCTGTGCAAACTCTTTTTTTTTTTTGAGGAGCGGGGTGGTTAAGATTTTTACAGATAAATATGCTGTTTGTATCTGATTTTGTGTATCAATATTATTAAAACAAATTAGTACTCAGTATGTTATTGTTCAGCATTTTATGGGCATCTTAACTCATTGAAAAGTACTCACGGCATCAAAGAAATCAAATTTGAATTTTTTTTATGGTGTCATATATATATAACTTGCAATTATTTGGGATTTAGAATAATGTGAAAGACAAATATTTGGTTGATATGTTATATCTTATACTGAAAAAGCCAACATAACCAAAATTATACGCAGAGAAAGACATATCTATTGTTGTATCAATTAGTTTTCTCATGGGTTTGGTTTCATGTGTAACTCAAAAAAAACACCTCTGCCCCTTTTTTTAGATAAATGTTTTTATCTTTTTTTATCTTTTTTTTCAGGGTGATGACAAATAAGATGATTTTAATTGTGATAATTCTGTTAGAATTGGGACTACTAGGCGGACTAGTATACTGGAAGTTTTTCTCATGATGAAAGGATATAATGTGACTTATTGAATCATACTGGTGGAGATATTTGTGGAAAAGAAATGGTACAAATGCTCTTAAATGGTGTGAAAGGTCTGGAGTTCATCTGGTATCAGAATTGGACAAAGATTAAGGACAAAAACAGTCACGTTTACCTGATGACCAGATGCTATATTTATCCTGCAATAAGTATTGGAGGCCAACATCTCTGACTTAAAGGAAGAAAGTGAGCATTAACTCATTCATGATGTAGCAATTGATTAGCCCATAAAACAATTTGCCTCTGACTTGGTGTAATTGTGATACACTGTCCACTTGATTTCTCATTTGAGTTACCAAGATTGAAATCTAGATGTCATGGAAATGACCTCAGGAACGATAGTTTGATGCAAAAATTTCAAAGAAATTTAAAATGATTCTGAATGTTTACATATCTCTAATTTCTGAAATTATGCCACAAAATCGACACTGAATTATTTCAAGGTTTTTGCTTGTTTAAATCTTTATTAGAACTGGGATAACCCTTCCATGTTTTGACATTTTGTGTTGGTGTATCATGATTATAATATGGTAGTACCACAAATGTGTCTCATATAAATATAGCATTTGCCAGCACTTCAAATAAACTGGGATACATGTGGATGTGCATGTTACTAGTCACAGGCTTATTGTTGGATAAATACAGTATGATACAGGGTGATGTTCTCTTTAAAATCCTCATTTGAAAAAAAATAGTCCTGTACATTCCTGATTTAATTTTCAGAATTAAATTTGGAAATGTGAAATAAATTATTATTTCACAATAATTAAGAGAGAAGTTATCACCTGCATTAACCTCACTGATTGGTAAGTTCTGTTCAGGTGTGATGAGGGACTTGTAACGTAGGAGGATTAGAGTGCCCAAAAGATGGGTGATCCCATACAGCTTCACGCAGATCAAGTCCTATTAATGAAATACAAGTAGTGAATTGATGTGGTATTTATATGTCTTTAAGACAAAATGTGTATTGTGTATAAGAATATAAGATAAATTAAGAATAGATTATATGTGGGTATGGTGCAGAACAATGATTTACGAGAACATCAGAAGATACTTGTTTAAAAGTTTTAAAAGTGTTATTTACTTTTGTATAAGAGTTTGATACATTTACCACAAAAACTACGTCTGTAAGGTATCAGGTATGTCTAACATATTTGAAATAACTATTTTTTTTACTTCAATCGTTTCATTTTACATGAAAAGTGCTTTATCAAAGGGATTGAAAATCGCACTAGATGTTAAAGATGTTTTGTCAGAAATAGTTTGTCTGTTAGGATTATGTCTTCATCTGAATTGGAATTAATTAAATTTATGCATACAATGTGTGTTATTTATAAAAGAATATGTTGTGTTTCACTTGTATACATGTATAGTCCCGCAGAAGTCATTCCAATTATCAGAAAATACAATACTTAGATGTGAATATTTGGTTATTGTCTTATTTGGGTACAAATGATACCACTTAATTCGGATTCAAGCTATATTTGATTTGTAAATAGAAAAAATATGATTTATGTATATAATGAATTATTAAAATGTAGTACAACCTAGCCATTTTGTTTTATTTTTGTTGCACATGTATTGCCCCAGCAGACTTTGATTAGCAAAAACAGAGATTTCAGATTACCTGGTATATTCTAGTTAAAACAGTCGCATACCATATTGGTCCAAGCTTATTGACCTTTGTAACTCTATGGTCGACATACACTGATTGACACTACAGTCTGACCCTGATTTCTGACCCATTCCAGCATACTTGCAATAAAATATCTTTAAAGTCACTTATTCTAAAGGTATATAGTTGAAATGTTTCAACACATCTGACCTCATTGACATTAAAAATGCTTTGTAGTCCCTCTCTCCTTGTTGATACTGGCCAAATTGCTGTTTGCACCTTATTCACATTTCAAGGTTTCAATACTTTTGAACTCTGATTTATTGTGTAGCCTAGTAATTCCTTTTGACAGTATTTTTTGCAAATCACTGACCAAATCTTGTGACCCTCTGTGTTTTAATTTTGACAAACCCTTCAACCTTTAAAGTGAAATAAGGTCATTCATTTGAACAATCATTGCTTTTGTCAGCACACTAAAAAACTTAAGTAAAGATGCAAACTTTGTTATATAAAAATCTTAAATTATTAAACAGAAGATAAATTAGGTGAATCAGATGACATAAAACTTGTTTGACGTAAAGTAATTTTATTTAACCCTTATTAGTTAGTTTGCTCACTATAAAGATATAATTTAGCCCATTTAACTTCTTGCAGAAAAAATTTGGTGTAAACATCATTGGGATGAGATAATGCTGTATTTCAATTGTACTAGAGTAATTAAAGAAAACAAAGGTAAACACTTAGTGATAAAGGCCAAACAGACATTTTCCTTACATATTCCTTCAAAATATATCAAGGTCATTCATTTGAACCAATTTGGTTGTCATCAACCCATGCAGCCCAGCTAAATGTGGATCTAAAGGAAATGATTCAGAACAAAGTTGACGAAAAGAGACAAAAGATGGCAGAATCGGTATAATGGCACTGGATTTGATCATCTGGTGCAGCGTAAGAAAAAAATAATTCAACTTTATATGAATATCCAAGTTTATTCATTAAGATCCATGACATCCAAATAAATGGTGACTATTAGAGGACATAATTCAATGAATTCTTTAAATTAATTGAACCATTCAAGTCTATCCTATAATTGCGATAAACTTTTTATTTTAATCAACACATCTTTTTAATATCTCAAATAGGTATAGTTGAATGAATTAATGAAACTGCTACATACATCTTGGCAGGAATTTAAATGACTTTTTTATAAATGTAAAAAACTGATTGTTAATTACCTACTGAAATAGGTGGTATCAATTACTGATCTATGTCTTTGTTGTAGTTTAATTCATAACATTCTTAACATTCTGTAAACAATATTGATCATTAAGTAAAATATATAAACATGATTGTAAGTGCTCCTGAATCAGTACACTCTTAAACTGGAGAAAATTTGAAAATAACAACATATCCCTAAACTTCACAGAGAGTTGAAACCAGTACATGCAATATTAAAATGGGTCCATAAATAGAGTCTTAATACTGAGAACATAAACTAACCCAACAGTAAAGTGATAAAAAACAAGAGGCTTATGGGGCCTGCATCACTCACCTGATTAATTCAGCTATTCATTCATTTAACAAAGAATTTCAAATATGACAAATAATTTCTAGAACAATTTTCCCTATTGGCTTCTGATATTGTGGTCAAATAAAAATCAAATTCATCATTCATAAAAATTGGACAATATCCTTGTACAGAAGGATTTTTCAGAATTTACATTTCCCCTATTGGGCCCCACATTTCTGTCGTCAGACTCTTGGTGGATATAAAATTAGGTTCCTTTCACTTAGGTCTGCTTCAGACCAAATCAGGACAGAATCAAGACATTTCCACATGAGAAAGATTTTAGAGAATTTTCTCTATTTCCACTATTCAGCCGTGACCTAACATTTACATCAAATTTATTCCCCTTTACACAAGAATGCTTCAGACCAAAATAGGACACTCAGGCATTATCCCACAGAAGAAGGTTTTTCTCTGTTTCCCCTACTGGGCTCCGCCCTCTTACCCCATGGGGCCAAGACTCACTTTTTATACATAATTGAGGTTTCTTCACACAAGGATGCTACTACTAAATTTGGGCAAAATCAAATCATTCCAACAGGAGGAGTAGGATTTTTTTATACAGAATTGATTCCCCTTCATCAAAGAATGATTCAGACCTAATTCGGGCAAACGGTCATTTTTACAGGAGGAGTAGGATTTTAAAGAATTTTCTCTATCTATCCTATATCTTTTCTACTTTTATTTTATTTTCCTATACTTTACCTTAGCAAAATCTCACCCCTGGGAGCCGGGATCCACCTTTTATACAAAAAACTGATTTCCTTAACCCAAGAATACTCCACACCAAATTTGGTTAAATCATTCTGCAGGAGAAGTACTGGAGTTTTAAGAATTTGCTCAATTTTCTCTATTGGGCTCTACCCCTCATGCCCCTGGGGGATGAAAACCAATTTATAGACAAGCCTGGTTCCTTTTCCCGAAATGATGCTTCTGACAAAATTTGGTCGAAAATCTGTTCAGTTGTTCATGACTAGAAGAAATTGTTAGTAAAAACTTGATGAACAATGTACACTGTGCCACAGCATAAACTCACTGGTTCTTTGGACCAGATGAGTTAATAACACATCATGCTTGTTGGATATAACAACATAAGATATCTTGACCAGTTCAAGGTCTACACCATAAGTCTCAACAAAATCTTCTGATCCTGATAAATTTAGGTTGTCATATAACAAACATAATGTTGGCTATCAGGAAATCTAATTGTATCTTACTCAAATTGTGACAATAAAATATATATACATGTATATCAGACATAATCACTGTAATCATTTGCACTATAGAAATCAGCTCTAATAATTTATAATTATTAATGGATATAAGATGTCAGATATACACCAAGAATCAAACTATAAATGCTTGAACTATCACCATATAATGGATGGCTCCATTTTTGAAATGTAATTGGACCTGTAAGAATACTTTGGACAAACTTTTAAGATTTAAAATTTCTCAGTGATATTAACATATTGTAAAATGGTAAGCAGGTCACTTTTTAAACAAACACATTTTACTGTCTTAAAAATAAATTCGTCATTCAGGGAAAAATAATTTTTCGTCATGATGTTTTTTGGAATTTGGGATTTTTTTTTTAAAAAGTGGTGAATAGATATTTAATGTCATGTTTGGCATATATGGATCACAATAAGATTCAGTAACTCTTCCAAATGAATTTGAATTACATTGCTGGCCAGAAAAACATGCCATTGAAAAGCGAGACAGATCTCCAGACATGATGTGTTATGAAAGCAACAAGTGGCATAATGATTAAGCCGAGACTGAAAATGATCAGTTGATTACTGTGGGAAATCTCGCTGACAAAATAAGGTTATGGTGGACTAATGACCAATGCCAAACACTTGAAACATACCTGTTATACAAAAGTCAAAATAGGAGAAAGCATTGACTTGGTCATTGAGAGTCATTGAGAATCATGACTCAACTTTTTACATATGTTTGTTTGATATGTCTCGTTCTTGATGTATGTATAAATTCAACTTTCTACTTTCATTATTTTGGTTCAAAATGTGCTGATATGATTTACACAGACCAAATTCCACTATCACTGTAAATATTTGACTGCATTTATTTATACTTATACATGAATAACATATGAAATAAAAATTAATTTCAATAATTTATTAAACCTTTTTTATTTTTTTTTTTCCATTTTTTTTTTGTAATAAATAAAGCTTAAATGTATGAAAGACATTATTTTCCAATTGATCATATCTGGGTAGTGCACATTTATATATATTACAGAAAGCAAATAATTCTAACTAAAAAGAGCATTTACTTCTGTCATCACTTTGTCATGCCTGTCAGACAAAATTTCAGAATACCAGGTAAATTTGTTACCTAGATATTCACAAAAATATAGACCCTCTGAAAAATAAATTTTGGTAACATATTAAAATCAAGAATTATCTAAGGGTCACAAGCATACTGAATGAGTAAATACATCAATATTGTGCATGAAATCTTCAAACAATGTAGATCAGAATACAAATAATACTATATGGAATACATTAAAGCAGGGAATGCTTGAAAATAGGATTTTAATCTTACAACAAACTGACCAATACATTTACTAATTAAGAATATAAAGAATACCAGATAAATTCAGGTAAACAACAATCTATCAGTTTAAAGTATAAAGGATCTTGCCTGACACAGTTTTACCTCAAACATCATGAAAATTATGTACAGGAAAAAGTTACATGTTATTGTTCTTAAAGTAAAGTACATCTCCTTGTGCTGCATAGTACATGTAGCATCCAGTATATTACAATATACATATACCTACATTGAAGATTATGGTTCACAAAGTACATACATACTATTTTTGTTCATTTTCGAGAAAATTTCAAGATGGGAATCCACAATTTTTGGCATCAATCAAAAAAAATAAATCATTTATAAATTATTTTTATTATTATCTACATAAAGACATTAATTAAAAGATGAGTTCTATGACGATTTCAAAGACTGGTTCAAACTTGATTCCAGCCTATTTTTGGTTGCAAAAGTTATCTGTACTTCTATCACTTTTCATGCTGTCTATGCGGCAAATATGATCTTCAGAAAAGGAATGGTTGTTTATGTACAAGAAGTTTTTACAATACACATGAAGTCATGTGAACAAAAATCACATGTAATTATATATCTTGCTTGTCTATATCATCAGGATTATGGTAACAGTTGGAATATATTAAATTTATGTAATTAAATAACAAAGTTCAATTAATGGAAAATGTGTATTGGGATATTCCAGGTCTGATTTTATGTCAACACTTAATAGAGAGCTACACACAAAACTTTACACTGGTTTGATAATTATCAAAGTCTAAATAAATATCAGGTATAGGCTAAAGCCCAACCTGTTTTCAGATTGTTGGTACAATAAGATAGCTTCAAAATATCACAAACTGTTATGTCATAAATCCAATTTTAATCATTTAAAGTGCATTACAAAACTTGTCAGTTATTTTTACTTTTTTACAATATTTCTTGATAATTTACCACAAACTTATTGAAATATGAAATTATAGAAATTATACCACTAAACAAATCCCTGCTTTTTGTTAGTTCTACAGATATATACCATAATAAACAATGCACAGTGTAAGATGGAATGTTAACACTTTGTTACAGTATTAATAAGTCTTGTGCATTCCTTTCACAGAAGACAGAGAGAAATCTGTTCACATGTCTGTACATTTTTTAAAAAAAATTTTAGTGGTCAAGTAATAGCTGATTGAAAAACCAATCAAATAATAGATATCTGAATGACCCATCATAGAAGGAATTCCAAGCTTCTCAATCTCTGACCCAATCAAATCCCCAGCTTCTAAAATGGTAAACCAGTCAAATAACAGATAGATATATGGATACCAGCTTCTTAATATGAACCAATCAAATTATAGACTGAGGTAATCCCAAAGTTTGGGATACTTGAGGTTTGATTCACAAAATTTCAATAATATAAAGTTTTAAACTAATTTAAGAGTGTTCAATTGTTTCATAATATTTAATACTACAGACATTTTGGTGCTCTCAAACTTCAGCATATTATCAATTTTGAACAAACAAGCACAATGATGATCTTTGGCATTCTCAATAATTGCTATTGCTTTATTAACACCATAAAGAAACTGCACTTAGTGCAATTATATTTAAGAGCAATATCTCAAACATGAAAAGTGCTAAAATAAGATTACAGCTGAAGTATGTCTGTTTACAATACGGTATTTTCCAGATTATAAGCCGCACCTTTTTTCCTTGTTCCTTGTGAAACAGGCATGCAGCTTATATAATGGTGTGCTTCATATGTGGACAAGAAAAAAACATGACAGGATGAAAAAAACAAAAAACAGGAAAGTGTACCAGTACACCTGTTTGTGACTGAAACAGATAGTCTTGAACCATCATTTGCAATCGTATACAAATTTTAAGATTGAAATAAAAATAACATTCTCGTGGATTTAGTCAATAATACCTTTTAATACGAATCACAATAATACCTTCTGGACTTTCGCATTTACTTCAAAGCCAAACAAGTTGATATTTGCTACTTTATGTTTTTTAAAATACATAAACAAAATAAAGGATTATCTGTGTATAATTAATTTGCAAACTTCATGAAATGTTTTACTGACAATCTTGATAAACTGACCTACATTTTCTGTTTTATAAACAAACTTTTGTCACCTTAACGGTTACCACTTTGTAAGAACTACCTTCAATTATCAGTTACCAATATATCAAACGTCTGCAATAGTGGTCACCATATCATAAGCAGCTTATATTAGGGTGTACCTTATATGTAGATCAAATCAGAAAAAAAATTGCTAAAAACTGGTCCTGTGACTTATATACTGGTGCGGCTTATAACCTGAAAAATACGGTAAGCATATCTGCGAAGTTATTTTGCCCCTCCATTTTACCTGCCATTAAGAACATAAAAGGGAAGTTGACACATAAAAAAATGACACTTTACATAACAAACATTATTATCATTACCATCACTGAAAGTGAAACTAAATTCCACTGTACATTTTCAGATACATTTCTGCATTTCATCACATGCATAGCACCTTCCTCTATCACAGCCGGCCTTTCACTGATCTTCATCCCGACAACATATTTCTGAATTGTACTTAAACAACATAACATCCCAAGTCCTAGACATGGACGATATGATTCATATTTCCTCTGTCTTTTTCTCACACTTTGTACACACCCTAACAGGATAGTCCCAACCCCTTATAGGAACTGGAAGTTTATTAGGTGAGCATGCCTTACATACACCTTTACCACAGGTTCTACAGTGATGGATTGCTCTCTTGGGTCCAAACTCCTCCTTACACACACAACAATTCTTTATCTCGGTATCTGGTATCCAGTAGGCAGGTCTAGCAGTGTCTTTCAGCATGTCTGATAAATCAAAGATATCAAAAGAACAGAAGTTTTACACATCCAGTTGTAATAACGACAGTATACAAAGATGTCATTGGTTAATCTAAAATTTGGGAAATACTACCTATTGTGGAAAAAGTGAAAATTTGGGCCAATTTGGAGAAATATCTGACAACCCTTATAGTAGGAATTCAAATGAAGGATAGGGTCAAAATATAGGACATACATGCAGATTATAGAAATAAAATATCACAATGTTGAGGTTAGATTGATATTTTTTTCATGATAAGCATGATTTGAAAATTTTTTTCAGTATATTTTCTTGATAGGGAATCTGATTATAATCAATTGGAAAAACATACCACTTGGGGAATGATACCCTAATCCTGTAGGGAACTTGTCTAGATTAATTCCTAGATGTATAAAGTACTGTATTTGTCAAAAACTACGAATTTTTATTGATGAATTTTGTACCAAATGTGATATCAAATAAACCTGATAATTCTGAACATACCCAGAGGGTAGTTGAACGTCGAAGCTGCCACACCAATAGCTGTAGTCACTGCTTCCCCTACCCGTCTGGCTGTCGTCTGCGAATTACTGCCTGTGCTTTCAGCTGAGCCTGTCAATGATGTATAGATAAATATAACAACACGAAACAAAGATAAACAACAACAAGAGATCCTAGTAGGATCTTGAAACCAACCACTGTTTAATCCTTATTTGTTGTTTAAAAGTTGGTTCATTTCTCTTCTTTCCTTTCCAACGGTTTTTTATTCTTACTGATATGAAATTTGAACATTCCTCATAAAAAAGTGATAATAATCAGTCAAATCCAAGATGGTTTCCGGGTGGTCATTAAGTTTTTCTGATCAGTCCAAAAATCAAAAGGGTAAAACTAGGGGAGGTATCAAGCATATGAAATTGATGAAAATCTATGACTATCAACACGAGACTGAAGGGCGTAAATGGTCACATGTCGTGAACTCACAAACTGAAACAATTGGAAAGAATGTGTAGTATAGAGAAGACAAAATGAGCATTGCTATTTGTACAGGGACAGAAGAGTTGTTTTACTATATGACTTTTCTGTCCATGAAGAGTATTTCATTCTATCCTATTTCGGTATTGAGAAAAATATTACAATTTCAGAGTCCCTGGGTGTCAGCCAGAATACAGCACCTAAAGAACATTTTGTCCATGAAGAGCATCTAGTTATTATTTGCAGTTAATAGAGCCAGTCGATTATTATGCCATGGGTTCAATTCCTCTGGTTGAGGCACTCAACAGAAATGTGTATTTTCCCTCTTCTTTCAAAGTTTCTACCATATTTTGGTATTGAGATGAAGAAATTCTTTTTTAGTCTCTCACCTGTCATGTTGTCAGTTTGAAAACAGTTGTCACATACACGGACCGCAACATTCTCTCCCCAGCCTCTCTCTGGAACTGGTCTGCGATGCGTTGAACAGCCATCACAAAAGCCCTTCCCACAAACCCGACAATGGTGCTTCTGTTCATTCTCAAGCCTTACAGAACAAAGACTACATTCCTACAACATAAACGTGTTTGGTCAGGTATATTTAGGTCCATGCAAGGTGTTCCTTATAGATGAGATATAAATGAAATACATTTATCACAAGAAAAAATGTTCAATGTTTACTTGTGAAAATATTTAACATTATGTTTTCATATTAATTATTATTGTACCATATTTTCCACATTATAAGCCACACCATTTTTCCTCATGAGTTGGAAAAAAAAATTGGCAGGACGAGAAAAAAAAAACCCAGGAAGCATATCAGTACACCAGTATGAGACAGTATACTCCTATAACATAAGAGGTCACTCATTGGCTGTTTTATTATCTGTCATTATTATGCCGACTGCAACAACACTATGCCTGTCATAAGTTTCTCACCATGTAAAACCTCTTACATTGCTGGATTAGAGACGGCACTGAGTGTTTTTAAACAAGTACCTGCCCGTCACGTGTTTGTGACTGAAACAGATCATCTAGAACCATCATTTGCAATTGTATATAGGATGATTTGAAGATTGTAAAAAAAAATATATTTTTGTGAATTTCATTAATACCTTTTGATATGAATGATAATATCTTTTGGACTTAAGCAGTTACTTTGAAGTCAAAGTGGAAGTTTACAATAGCCTTTTGCATCCTGGGATCTATAGGTCATCAGGCTATAGGTCAAATTCTAGAATGACCCCCATGCTTGTTAACGATATGAATGGCTTTGTGTAACTTATGATATTAGACTCTAAGAATCAGGTCAGCATGCAAGTGCCTTCGTTGATTTAACAGTACAGACACTGATGGACAGATTGCTTAGTAAACCATACATTATGTCAGGCCCTATATTTGTGCGTAGACAATCTGTGAAAGCACCAAAGCCAAACAAGTTTAACATTTGCTATTTTACGTTCTTTGAAATACTTAAATAAAAGGATTATCTGTGCATAATTCATTACTGGTTAAATGTTTCACTGATGATCTTGATAAATTATCCTTCGTTGTCTGTTATATCAATGAACTTTAGTCAATGTCATGGTTACCACTTTGTAAGAAACAGTGCAGCTTATATTCTGATGCGGTTATGTGAATTGAATTGAAAAAAATTGGTAAAACTCAGCTCTGTGGCTTATGTATTTGTGCAGCTCATAACACGAAAATTTGGGTTGTAAAATTTGTCAAAAGATTACAACAAACTGGAAAATGTCTCAATGTTAAACTAGACATATCCCTACTGGTACATATATTTCTAAATACTGCCTACTTTTATTTGAGCATTGGGTACCCAATACTCAGGGGCGATCTTGTCAGCCATCCAGTCCGACAACATTTTAGTAGGTCCTGACCCAACACTGCTAATGGAATCGGCAATGTAGTGCATACCATCCACCAGCTTACGGGCAGCATTCTGAGCCCCCTGTAAGTTCTGAAGGCCCTGTATATCAAAATGGAAATAATGTGATCTATAAATGTGTTGAAAGTGTTAATTTCTTAATGTACAAAGTTTGTATGATCTTCTTACCTTACCTTTTCCACTTTTCATTTTGAAGAAGTTTCATTTGCAATTTTCAAACTACTGCAAAAGTTGCAGTTTTTTCATTGTAATACATTTTACATAAAATCCCTTTTTTTACATTTTGCCTAAAGCTGTCTTTTTGTCAATAATGTATATTGTTCATGTCTGAAAACATCTTCTAGATACTTGTAGTAATTCTTTAAGGCTTTTTTTTGGCAAGTCAAGAACTCTGATCCCAAAATTCTGATGAGTCCAAATACTGAGTGATAGAGTGGGTTATCAAAATTTAATTGAGTTCCATAGGAAACCAGGAGTCCAAGACTGTAATATATGAGTACCCAAAAGTCATTGACTTTCCAGATTTATGCATTTCCTAATTCCAAGATCCAAAAGATTTTGTAAAGTCAAACATTGTGTACTTACATCAGGCCACACATGTCTAATCTCCATGGTAACTACGTCCTCTACGTGACTGTTGCCATACCACTTCTCTCGGCTCCGGTAAATAACTCCACAGTGAGGACACTCTAAAACTTCCCTGTAGTAACATCACAACAAATACAATGATCAAACTCGCAGCATGTAACCTCTTGTGTCAACATATTGCAATCCTCTAACTGAATCAACTTAAACAGTTCTGTTGATGAATATAATACATTTATTCTTCAATAATGCTGAAGATTACAAAATATAAACTTGCTAGCTCTTACCCTGCCCAGACATATTTAGCAAACCCCATCCACGCATTGTCTTGAGATTCAGATGTTTTCAGCACCACAATGTTTTGTTTTCCAACCATCCAGCACCTCTACAAATAAACAATCAAAATATTTCATTATCTTACAAATACCTAAAATCACAAAAACATCACAAGATTTTACATAAGCAAAAACCAAAATAGCAGGACAATAAGGATTCTGTCATATGTTTAGTTATATGTTTTTTCCACACTATTAATATATCTGCATGTTTTGATTTTAGAGACACCTAAATTTTGAACCTGACTAAACCTCCTATTTCACATCTACATACTGATTTTTAAAAAACATCACCTGGTAGAATTTCACATATTTCTGGATTTTGAGGAAACCTCCCTACAGAGTTTATTGTACTCCCACTTTTGTGTTTGAGATAACCCTCATCCAGTCCAGTTAGTGTTCTAAACTTACCTTACAGAGGTAGACTTTGTTACCAAACTGGTGCTGGTATTTACATCGCTTGTCTGTATGATGTGATTGGTCAGTTTTGTGATTCATGCTTAGACAACAGTTCTCCCTGAAATACACATTTTCCTCTACCAAAATTAACAGTTTCATGTTATGAGTGTAAGAGTATAAAATTAATCCAATTTAACTAAGAATCAGTGATCATGGGCAAAAATTTCATAAAACATTGGTAAATCAAATGAAAAAGCAACCAATTCCATCCCATTAACACAACACTCACATGCAAAATGGATGAATAAAAATCTAAAACATTTGAATGTACAAATAAAATTTTTTTCTTAACCTACCCACAACACTGGCACTTTATAGAGCATGTAAACATCTGGTCAGGAAACATCCCAAACACTGGCTTCTCTATCTCACCACTGAATTTGTCATTTAAATTCTGAAGCATATAGAGTATAACATACCAATAAAAAAAACAATTATCGTAATATGGTAAGATTCTAATGATGGAGAAACATCTCCACCTACCCCCTGCCTTCCTCCTCCACACCCACACACTTTCTCATTTATGAAATAGCCCTAAGCACATAGAAAATTGAATTATTGTAAATATGATATAGTTTAAATTATGTGTTCAAGACATTTTAGAAATTTGATTTTCATATAACCTATTTGGTAATGTTCATATAGACATGAAGGTCACTCTGGTGTAATAATATAAGCCATTTTCTACAGACTTGTCTAAGGTGAATTTCTCCTCAGATGATTTGGTTACATGTGTCAGATCAATAATTACAAAGTTGCAAATGGCCGTGAGATTGAGATTGGCATTAAAAACAAGAGCTTTCCGAAACAGCTGAGCTTGTCTCATAAATATTTCCAAATCTGTTTGTCAGGCACCAAGAAGTGAAATCTAAACCTCTTAGGAACCCTGATACCAAATACCAATTAATTATAAAATGAAGTACTGATGTCTCACAACACTTGTATCCAAATAATAACATACCAGAGGAGCTGGGTCTGATCCCCAGAAGAGGCAACAAGACAATATTATCCTCTGTTACAAACACATAACTATTTCTGGTTATGCACTTAAATAAGTCCATACCAAAGCTGAAGAAACTACACTTTGCAGAAAGATTACCTTAAGGGTTGTGTAAACAACCTCTGGCTTTCTGGCAGCTCTATGAGACTTGTTTTCCAGTTGTTCCTGCAGCTCTGCTTGAAACCGCTGAAAGTCTGTTTTAGCCCCTTTGGTCCTAGTTCCAACATATTTTAGGTCTTTAAAATGCATTTGACAATCCAGTTGTTGGAACTTATCTAGGAGGTCACTCTCTGCTGGCTTACCACCTATTTGAATCAACAGTAATAAAAAAGTATGAAGCAATGATTTATTGCCTATTTTGTAAATGATCAAAGTAGCCGGTCAAATTGGCCGGCGACCGGCTCTTATGGAAAACCCTGAAAGTACCTTAAATCTATTTTCATTTTCATGAAATCAAAATTCATTTAAGGTCCTATTTGTTAATACATACATTTGTACATAAAGTCTAAGCATTATAAACAATACATTCAATTCAAAGTTGGAAGGTGGGCTGATTACTGGATATGAATTTTTCTCAAAGAAAATGTCTATTACATGTATATTCATTGAGAAATTTTAAAATCTGGGAATCATTTCAATTTTCTCAAATTTCTTTATGCCTACAAGGTTTTTATCACATTGAAATTACATTAATCAAAATCTAAAATGTATCCTTTGCAACACTCTTAAGGAATTCTAATCATTGAAAATAGCAGTTATTTTTAATATGGAATATCTTCACTACATACCATTATCTTCTCCAAGAACTTTCGTGTTAGTTGTTTCATGAAAAACTATCACAGAAGGATGCAGATCTGCTGCATTTTTCCGACAACGCTTTGCAGTTGCTTTCAGCTCCTGAGAGAAATGTTTTGTGTATGCTGTTGACGCATCGCTAAGGAACTGGAACATATCATTGTGGAGGCGCTCTGCACGAGTACGATAAATAACAACATCTGATATTGCTAGGATCTTCAACAGAAGTCTTGATCTCTGGTTTTGATTTGCTGTTATACCTAGAAATCCTTCTGTGTCAATCACCATGGCTTTAGTTACAGGGTCATATGAAGCCCAAACTCCTATTGTGCAGGATTCTTGGTGGGCAGAGGTCTGAAAAACCTCTTTTCCACCAAAAAATGTATAATTCAGAGTGTAGGACTTCCCATCACCAGTATTGCCAAAGATAGACACAACTTTCACTTGTTCATCTTCATCACAACCAAGTTTTTCCAAAAAGTCCTCTTTATCATCAACCTAGAAACAGGAAACAAACTCACAAAATAAACTTACTGAATGATTATTCTAAAACATCTTAAGAGTTCATAAGAATAAATAAACTTATAAAGATATTGTGCAAAATTTAAAGAAAGCCCTATATAGCTCATCTGGCTTTTACTTTAAAACAGTGAGCTAGAAATCTTTACCTACATATATTTTTATCCCATCAATGTTTTTACCCTTTGCTAGGATTATAGTTAATCATTGATCATATACAATTATCTTTGTTAATTTAGATTTTCTTTTACCACCAAAATTGATAAGTATAAGGAAATGGCTGGATGGTTGGGTACATGTGTATATATCTTGTGAGACAAAAAAAAAAAAAACTGTAGAGGGTGTCACATTAACGTTATAATAGGGTTGTTTCTGGTCTTAGCATCTACATGGTGGATCAGTAAGGCATGTGGTAAATATAGCTCTATTGGTAAGAAATCATATAATTAATTTTGTGTCATTCAATGGACTCCCCAAACTGCAGGATACAGCGTTAACTGATATGTGATGTACCTGTAACTTTTCTTGCCCATCAAGAAGCATAAAACTTCCACTGTTGTAATGATGTTCATCTATTTGACTAGCAGCCAGTTCTTCTTCAATATGTATCAGGTCTTTCCCATTTGAGTTTAGGCACAAATCTGGTATGCTCCCATTTTGACTATGTCTTGAATTCACACTGTTGAATGAATCCATGCTGCTTGTCACTTCTTGATCAACTTGTATTTGTGGACAGGATACAAAGGTCAATGAAGTATCTTCAAGATCCACAGGAGATATCGGCTTGACAATAGTTTCAAGATTTTTCTGTGCTTCTCGGGATTTATAATCTTTGAAATTAGTTTTTCTGTGAGTTCTTCTAGGACCCCGATGATAAAACTCAAAGCATGTAAAACAAAAGTTAATATTGCAAATTTCACAATGTAGGTCTGCGAAGTTTAGTTCAGTACAGTGTCGATTGCTTTCAGCGTTTGATATCTGACACAGAAATTCAAATAAAGGAGGAACTATATGTGAACGTTCATGAAACTCAAATTTTGGACTGGACTGGTGTATGCTCGTGACGCAATCATAGCATTGGTCTGTACGACAGTCGTCACAGTGAAAGGTCGCCTCTGCCCTTTCGGATTTGCAGCAGAGTTTTTCAGCGCAGTAACGTTTTGATGTTCTACATCTATCAAACCTCCGTGGCACTGAAGTCATACTTGACTTTTTCGGTACATCGTCAACATGGAATACCAATCAATTTGTTGATTAATCATCCATTTTCTGTTTATATCACATGAATCGTCTGTGTTGTTTTCAATAGTCATTTCCGCAAATAGCAAAATCTTACTCATCAAAACGATTGACCCAATAGCCTTTGCCCTCTAGAAATTGTTAAGCTTTCTGCTAACCCTGATTAGGATAATAGATTCCGGTCAAATGCATGCTGGGTATCCAAACTCAATCAATAGTGAAAGAATAGTGCTTGAAAGTGGACTGTTCATAAACTATAAGCACAAAAATGTCAAAGCGTAAGAAGAGCGCAGCTTTGATAGATTCTGATAGTGAGGAAAGTGACAGTGGTTCAGATTTGGAAGAAGTACGAATTTAGTTCTCTCTTATGACCCCAGAAACTAGCTTAATCTCAAAAACTTTGATGATAGATTATGAAGATGAACCCTACCTCCATCTCCCTGCTTAGTTTACCCGCCATCAATTCCTATCAAATTCTTAATATGAAATGCAATTACAAGCAAATATGAAGGAGCATTTCAAAAGATGCATTATCGATATCATATACCTGGATACACACATACGACTTAGAGTGATGCACACTGTTTACTGGAAGCTTATTAAGCCCAGCAATTTAAAACTTAGGAAGGCCACATACATATTTTTAGTGACAGATCTATCTGACTAACATCATATCGTTTGCTCTTATGTTTTCTAATTATATGAAATGGAAAATACAACAAAACATAAGGATCAAATTGAAAGAAAAGTTCTATCAATACAAAATTACCACAAAAACAGTTCAAAACTGCTTTAAATATAAAGTGAATAGAACAGAAAAAAATATAAGGAAATTACAGATAATATAAAGAAAATTCCCTTCCCACATTTTTAGAGTGAAATACTTTGACCATCAAAAACGTCATAGTTTAAACACGTCAAGCTATAGTTAAGTTAAAAACAGCCTTTGAAAGAAAAAAATACTGAAATAACAGATTTATACAATATAATGATACAAACAAGTAACAAGATTACAAAAAAAGGATTGTAACATTCACTATTGGGAACTTTTTTATTTCAAGGGAACAGTGTAGAGTATTTGTTAACAAATCAAATATTTCATTAGAAATTATTCCTGTTAATGAAATATCAGCAAATTTATGTAAAAGCAGTTTGTTTCAGCCACAACTAATGATGTTAACTACAGAACTTAACAAATGAATGCATTGCTGATTAAACACGGAAAGCCTACAAAGAAACTGCATCCATGTCATAAATGTCTTATGCTCCTGATATAGAATTTACAATTTGCTTTAAAACAATTCCAGAAAGCAAATGACATTGATATCAATGAGAAATGTTTATGCACTGAAATCATATAACCAACATTGCTTTAAAAATTGGATATATGCAAGTGAAGTAGTCAAAGTTGATTTGTGAAATTTGTGTGGGAATAAGCTGTATATTTCAAAATGAGGGGGGTAAAGAGAAGAAAGTCCTAGAAATACTCATATATGATTAACAAATTTATTCAAATGCATGTAATACATTTAATTGTTAATATAAAAACTGTAAATGCAATTGCTATCTAATTTAATCGTGATGTTTTCATGTTCTGTACAGAGTGTTTTTATTTTCATCTTTAGGATTTGAAAGCACTGACAAAGAGAAAACGTCCAGATTCTGACTCCGAAACATCTGAAAGTGATGATGATGTAAGAAGTTTGAATGCATGTTTTATAAATGAATGGATCTTGCACCTATTAATTTGTGAAAGAAGTATTATGATTAAACTGTGATTTTTGAAGAAATATTAATCCAGTTAAATATTATTGTCCAAACAGAATTCTTTAGAAAAATTATGTATGATCACCAGTGATCAATTTACAATTTATTTTCTTGTGTCCATTTTCTCTTTATTTATAAATTTGATGTATCCCACAGTGTAAAAATTAAGTATTTCCAGAAATTCTATGAGGCCCATCAAAATTATATAAGACTTGGGACTTGCATGTAGATTTATCACTGGATTACTTGGTATTGTATAGTTGACTTTTTGTGTCATTTCATCTAAGTGGACAATGAATGGAGAAGGAAAAAAGAAAAAGAAGTTAAAACAAACTAACAAGAAAGCAAATCGAAAATCTACAGCAATATCATCATCATCTGAAAGTGATGGGGAGAGTGACAAACATGTGTCAGAACCAGAGGAGGGGGAGGTGTCAGAATCTGGCAGCAATTCTGGCCCAGCTGAGGAATCAGAACCTGAGTCAGACAAAGAGACTTTTCATGATGAGTACGATGAAAATCTGTACGGTGATGAAGAAGACAGAAAGCGATTGGAACAAATGACAGAAAAAGAAAGAGAACAAATATTATTTAACAGAGGAGAACTCCGACAAGTACTTAAAACAAGGTAATATTTCTATATTGTGTTTTCTTACTCAGATAAGTATGGTTGGTAATCGTGATATTTCAATACTTTACTAACATCTGGATCAGAAGAAGGGCTACAGAAAACCTTAAGTTATAGAAACAATCTGCCCATATGATCAACTTTAAATGGAACTGTGAACAGAACTTCATTGCCCATGATAAACAGCATGCAAGAGGGACTGCTGACCCGTTGAGTGGATTAAAAAATATTTTGACTGATAAAATATCTTTTCAACTTCCATGTGGAAGTAAAATCATACCACATGTTATTCACTAAATTCTGATCTTTAAGTTTTGTTGTTACGAAATTCAGTGATAAAAGTTTTCTTCATTTCATTCATTATTTTCTGACACAATTATATATTCATGCTATATGAGAAGTTAACTTGAAAATTTTCTAGCACCATACGGTAAAGCTTATGATATAATGATATAATCTATTTTTAATTATCATGCTTGAAAGCCTAAACATTTTCATTTTAACCTGTAATATTTACATCATTGATAGAATCTGTTTTGAATTTTACAGGTTTGAAATAGAGAAAAAACTTCGACAAGCAAAAAAGAAAGGTTTATTAAAAAAGGACAAACAGGTAAATGATGCTGCAATAAATAAATCTACAAGTCAGAGGAGTACCGAAAGACGAAAAAACATGGAGGAAAAGAAAGACAGTAAAAAGTTTGCTGCTCTCAAGGATCTGAAGGCGAAGCGTGAAGAAAAGAAAAAATTAGGTAACAATGATTGACTGTTTTTTTTAAATGTCATCTCACATGATGTACCATTTCACTGAAATGAATAAAATTATGTATAAACTTATAAACTAATAGATAGAATTTATTAGTTTTGGCTGTAGACAAAATTTAGTTTTCTATTAACTTGTATTATAACCGCATTAAGGGTTTGCATTAAATTGTTGAGCAGATCTGAAACTGGATGTTAATTTTAGTTTGTCTCATAATAATTGAAATATATCTTTATCAATAATGGGTTCTATTGCAAATCATGTTTTGTTAATGGTTTGTGTCTTATTTCAGCTGAAGAGTTAGAAAAACAGGAACAAAAGAAAAAACTACTCAAAGCCAGTGAAATCTATTCAGATGACGATGATGATGATGACGATGAAGATGATGATGACGAAGAGGAGAGAGATGAAGAGACAAAGTCCAAATCACGGGATCAAGATACAAGGGGAGAGAAGTTTGGGAGTGATTCTGATAGTAGTGGTGGATCATCATACAGTGGCTACAACTCTGAGTCCGATGATGGGTGAGTTTAAGATGGATGATCAATACATTTTTCACACAGCTGGACTGCAGAGTCTAAATGGCTGATATGTTTTCAGTGCTCTCTTCATTCTAATTGTTGACACATTAAAAACAAGACTGAAAATCCTTGGGGTTCTGTTCTCAAACTGTTTGATAGATTTCAACATAATATCTAGATAGTCATTCAATATCTATGGTCATCTAGTTCAGCTATTCAAGGTCCATGTGCCTCTAGTTCTAATTTATGATTGCAATGTTTAGATATATACATCATACATAGATATATATATGTATAATATATAAAACAAATATTGTCCTCACTTTTATGTCGGTAAAAGTAACCAAGTCCCATCAGTGTTTAGAGATAAGATTCAATAAATACATATTCATGAACATTTTACATTGATATAAAAGCAATAGCAATGAGTTGGGTTACAAAAAGATGAAGGCTGCAGAAACATGTACAGCACCATAAGGATGTAACCATAAAATAGAATAACATAAAACTTGCACTTTGTATAGGTACACGTATATATTCAGTAAATGTATTTAAAATAAAAAACAAATGTGTCAATGATAAACTAGTATTTCCATTTATCAGCATCGGCGCAATAGTTATTGCTTGGTTTCTGACAGCCATTCGCATGAAAAAGTGAACAAAACACAGTAGATTCCCGATTAAAAGAGTACTGTGTAATTTGTTTTAAGTTTGATTGTCTAATTCTGTATAGATTTTTACTTTCACCTGTGTAAACGCAGGGGTTAATGTTCAAATGACAATTACAATAGAGCTTGTTAACACAGATACTGCTGACCGATCACACACAGTCATGCGGACCGAAGCTAACTTATCCAATTTACTCGACTAAAGGTTGTTTTACACAAGTGAGATTTACTATATATATGTTTTTTTTAATTTTTATTATTATTTGACAGGTCACATCGAGGATCAAAGAGGAAAGTCCAGTTTGTCAGTACCAAAGAAGAATTAACAAAAGTAAAACTTTCACGGCATAAATTAGAGAAGTATGTATTTAACAGGGTTGCACGACATTGATATGATATCTTCAGAATCCAAATGAGTTTGAAGGACCTATTTTTAGAATATCATTTCTTGATAAGTACAGTATCATTTCATTATCTACTATTATCATGCAGATACATAAGATCTATTTATGATGATTGGTAATACATGGTTCAATGCTTCCATCCCTAATTGCTTTGGAGGCATGCAACAGGTGCCCCATATGTTATTACTGGGGTAGCCTCCAGCCACTGTAAGATGACCCCACCTAAAAATGACCATGGTTGTTCACAGGGCAATAAACACAGGGAAACAAAACAGACAAATGTTCTTGCAAAAGGTTTATATTTTTCCATGCTTTATTTGGCAGAATTTTAAATATCTAGTCTGGTTAGTATTGAATTTATAAATTAAATTAAATTGGTTTTTAACAGTCTGGTCCTTTAAAAGTGTGTGGAAGTAGTTTTCCTTAATCTTGTGTTGTTCACATACACACATACATAGTTATGTACAAAAATATGGCCCATGAAGTGATAAGATACAATCAAGTGCTTATAAAAATGTAATTTCCTGTCCAGGTGGTGTCACATGCCATTCTTCCGAAAGACAGTACAAGGTTGTTACGTAAGGATTGGGATTGGCAACCATGAAGGACAAGCTGTCTACAGGGTATGTGTATTTAGATGTGGTTGGGAACATCTTTACCTTCCCTGTTGTTTGTAGGGAACCTGCATACATAGAGGCTGCAGTAGGCTGAGAAAAAAATGTAAACAATGCTTTCAGATTTACTACCAGACAGAAAAAAATTCAGATATTGACAGTTGATTTATAAATGTACTTATTGCTTGTCTAATGATATAATATTATGTTGCAAGACATTCTTTGTTGTATGAAATCAATGCAATGAGATCCTGAACATTTTTGTAAATATGAAATAAAAAATTGAAATATTATGAAGGGTTTTGTCAGAACACTTGTTGTAAATAGGAAATGATGATGTATATGTTTGAATGCAGGTAGCAGAAATTATTGGTGTTGTTGATACAGCGAAGGTGTATCAATTGGGAAGTACACGAACTAATAAGGGACTCAAATTGAGGTAAGTTACAACTGTGGTGTTTTTATGAAGGGTACTAATTTACTTCCAAAGAACTTGGACTTCAAATGATCAATACCATTGCAGTACTTCAAGCAGATCGTATATACATACAAGTTAAAACTTAAAAGAAACAAAATGCTGTGACTTAGATTTAAAGAAATTAATCCCATTACATTACTGAAAACAGATTCTATATACATGTAAGTTAAAACACTGTTAAGGGAAAGCTTAGGTTGCTGACAGCCTGTAATTTCTAAATGATTTTACGAATAGTTACATGCTGAATTTTAGTCATCCTCATCAGTATTTCATGGATGTACAATCAAACGTTAAGTTTTAGGGGTTTTTTATTGACTTTTCTGAATACATGCTGGTTTCATCTTGTTTTCATTGACAGACATGGCCACTCGGAAAGAGTGTATAGGTTAGAATTTGTCTCAAATCAGGACTTCACAGACTCAGAGTTCTTCAAGTGGAAAGAGGCCATGATGCTGGGAGGGCTTACTCTACCAACTTTAGATGAGATTGAAAAGAAGTTCAAGGATATACGAGATGCTTTGCAGTATAAATTTAAAGAAAATGACATTGAAGAGGTCAGTGAAACTGTGATATTAACACTGAATTTATATGTTAACCAAGTTAAAATGAGTTAACAAAACCTGCACGAGTGTGTATGAAGAAGAGGAAAAATAAAGCATATATACATCATAGGACACACAATTTCTTTGGTTTTATGTTTAAGATGCATTTGTCAACAAAGTTTTTCAACTCATTTATTTTAGATTGTTGCTGATAAACTGAAATTTAAGAAGAATCCTCACAATTATGCTGTAAAGAAAACGCTGCTTTTAAAACAAAAGGTAAGTTTCTTGCATAAGACTAGATACACACCCATGCTTTAGATCAGTTTAAGTAACTTATCAGGACAGGAACCAAAATGTTAATCAGGCTACAAATATTCAGTATTTCAGTATCATTCTGTCTCAACTGGAAAACTTGTGATATGTTCTTTAATTATTTGGATGGCAAAGAATTGTATCAGTGATCTTTAAAGACTCAAAATAACTGACAGTTGAAATTCTAGAAAACTGATACCTGTAGTATTTGATACTGGTAACATACCTTTAATGAATTTCTGCATTTTTTCCTTTTAGGAAATGGCTGACATTGAAGGTGACCAGGTTGGACAGTCAAAAATCAAACAGGAACTAGAACAGTTAGAAGAACGAGCCACAGAACTTGACCGTAGAAGGTCAAGTAACATCAGTTCTATCAGGTGAATCTTTTTGTCACATACTTACTGCCCATTTCATTTCCTACAGTGTCATCCCTCAAATGAATTGCATGATACTGTCCCTCCTAGGAAATATATGTCATCTCTCCTATGAAATGGAGTGCATCCTCTCTTTAGAATGTACTTTCATCCTTCCTATAAAAAATCCTGCATCCCTAACATGTCTTAGAAAAGGAAAAAGATACTGATAGCAAAATTGATTTTGCAATTGTAGTAAATTGTGGTAACACAGTCTCCCATATATAAACAATCCCTTTTAGTCATACTTTGGGGCTCTGATTTTTTTATATAGTAGGTGTGAAGTCCCTTTTGTCCATTACCTTCCTGTCTGAAATTAGACCAATTGCTTTTACTGTATTTTGGGGTTGTGTTTAGCACACCTTAATTAGATAGTGAGCAATTCAAAATGCCCTGTGTCTGTGATTTGTCTATAAGCAATTTTTGTTGTCTCTGTTTCTTGAGAAATTCTGGATGGGTCTTTTTTCAATTTCGTTTGTAGGTTTCCATTGGTCCCTAGGTGTGCCCGTTTGATTTTGTGTCTGATCAGAATAAACAAAATGGCCAATAGGTGGTCATCTTGGAATGTAAGGTCATCCCAGACAAAGTCTCGGGGTGAACTATTGCGATCCCCTTTTGTCCGGTGCCATACATAGTAAACTTATAACATTTTGTCTTCTTCTCAAAAACTCCTGAACCTATTTAAATGAAATTTTACAAAAATCTTCAATGGCATAAGCTGCACCAAAGTTATAAATTATATGGCTCAAAACCCCAAGGGGCCTCAGGGGCAGGGCCAGGCATATGATAAGACTTACTTGCACAAAGTAGTAAATGGAGAAAAATTTGTGCATGTAATGTAAGAATAAAGTGAATGGAAAAGCAATACTTAACAAATAAAAAATTGTGTTGCAGTTACATCAACCAGCGTAACAGATTGAGGAACATGATTGATGCAGAAGAAGCATTTAAAGTTGAAGTGGCAGCCATGAAAACTGCTACTGCAGACCCTTTCACACGACGACAATGTCGTCCCACCATTGTGACGAAGGTATACTTTTTTCCTGTGCTATAATGGGTAAACAAACTGAAATATCTTTGTCTTTATCAGGCTGATTTTCTTTGAACATCTTGAAATTTCATCATGTTGTATGATAAGTGACATTTAGAAATGCTTTTGTCGAATTGTCAAATATACCCATATATGAATTTGAAGTAAAGGTTACAGTTGAAGTAAAGGTTACAGTACCTCTATCTATTTTTCCCCTTTTAAGTCAAATGATACAACTCTTTGAAAGTGGTACATATGAGATGCTCTTTTCTTCTCAGTCAAAAGATCCAAATGCAGAAATAGATGCAAAACTCAAGACTGAGGAGCTGAAACGACAGTCATTACCAGAAATAGCTAGGTCTAATCAGGTTAGTTTGTCTTCCAGAAATGTGTTTCTTTACATGGGTATAGAATGATAATGTAATGTAGCTCCTACTTTTCAAAGTGGGATTTTGATTCATTGATTGTTTAAGTTATGTTTCCACATTTTCTTTGTATAGTTCTTCAGCATGAGAAGAACTGTCCTCGGTATAGATTTTTCTGTCCTTTGGGGTACTGATGTCAAAAATGTCTGTGTTCTTGTGCAGCTAATTTATTGTTTTTTAGTTGAATGTGTATGGTAGGTGGGCGGTAGAAGATCTTCTCTTTAGACATTTCACTCATAATCCTTCTTCTCTGGATATTAATTTCTTGGTGATATCTTTAACACATGATCTTTTTCTTTGTTACATGATGACAGGCTGACTATGATAAAGCCAGATCAGAGAAGGTAAGTGCAAATAATATCAAGAAGTGAGGATAATTGGGACGGTCATTGCAGTCAGGGTGTTGATCTTTGCAACCTCAGGTGAAGATCTGAGGTGCAAGACTTAACAGTCCAAACTCTGGAAAGTTTGTTTTTTTTTAAAGGAAACTGAGAAACCATCTGTTTTGTAGTAGTTGTGTTTCACAGAGAAGGTACTTTCCCATTGGCTCTGGAAAGTGTGTAATTGGCCTCCTGTATATATATTGTTCAGGAAATCACATGGTACTATAAAGAGACTCCTGCCTGTAAAGAGACCCAGACTGTTGATTAAGTATCATTATTAACAAAGGAAACTAAAAACATAAACATATGAAATAAATTATCCTTAAAGGAAGAGAAAAATTCTGTGATCACTAAGCTTTCCTATGTTTACACAGTTTGAATTCAGACAAGAAATAATTACTTTTTAAAATGAATTTACTGTGAATAATACTTTTTATTTGCAGATGCATAAGGCTGATCCAATGAAGTTCTTAGAGCCCACCAAACAGAAATCAACAGAGGACCTTTTTGACGTCCACAACTTTGATATCACCATCGATTTGGAAGTGCCATCCAGCAGTATGTACTTTTCCTTTGTCATATAAACACCAGCCTTTATTTTATCTGGTAGCAAATTCTGAATTTTCAAAATTGTACTAAATTTTCTGACTATTCAAATTGAACTTAATCTTCTGACTTTCCAAATCAAAGTACAAATGGTATCAGAATTTGGTCTGATACCAATACCTAACATGATTAAAAAGTAGCCAAATAATTTGAAGCATCGGCAGATGTATCAAGACATCAACAATGCTTTTGGTCTTTGGAATCATAGTGACATTGTTTTTTATATGATCTTTACCTGTACTTTGCTGTATTTTCTTTCTCTTAACCATTGTTGCTCGACTTGTTTGATCTGTTCAACTAAATTTTATTTATAGTTTATGTATTAGTAACAGATTCTTACTATTTGGCATTAACATATAAAGGAGAAAAATATGGGGATTTTTAGCTCTGTAAAACTTTAATAAATTAAATGTTATTCTGCTTTCAAGTGCAGTACTTTCTGATTTGAAATCTTACACAGTTTGTTTAAATGTGGAGGCCTTGAAGTTCTTCCACTTGTGTCCACTTTACCAAACTCTTTACGTGATAAAACCGTGATCATTTTGAATTATATGTTTCGAATTATATTGACTGAAGTTCTTACTATCTTCCAGTAATTGGCAGCCTTGATGTAACATTTAAAATGTACTGACCGTATTTACATCTGTTTGCACTTTATTGTTACATTATATCATTCCCACTGTACTTTGGTTATTGTTTTGATATTGCAGCCCCAGCAATGGCTGTCAACAATCGATCTGCCCAGAATGTACGGGACCCCACTCCACGACGCTCGTTGAATCTGGAGGAATACAAGAAGATGAAAGGCTTGATATAAGTGTGTGATGTGAGAGAGAGAGGGGGTCCAGAGTGGGTGTGTTAATGTAGACAGTTTGGACTGTGAGAGTGTTCCCAAATCATTGTATCGGTTCCTAGTAGGACAACCATTGTACTGATGGGATGGTTATAAATACTCGACCATCAAAGTGTTGGAAAACAAAAGATGTTCTCTATGATTATGTTTTTATTTTCACCCACATTATCAAACAAAGTAAGGATATTGTACGGGTGATTCAGTGCTAATGGCCACTTTTTGTTGTGAATCTTTTTGGTCATTTTTAAATTGTCAAATTAAAGGGGGTGGGGGAGGGGGAAAATACAAATTCTGTTTCCATCCAAATGCATTGAAAATAGTTTTATCTAGGAATCTTCTATTTTTAATGGATGTATTGGGTTAGTCAGAGGTGTCCAAATACACAAGTTTTGATCTGTGTTTTTCACATTAAATGGTTACAGCTCCAGGTGGGATAGGACAGTAATTGGGTCAGGTCATGTTGGTTTATCATCATCATTTGATGTGTCATTAATTACACATGGAATGAGGACTTGTGAATTGATACCATGGAAATTGAATATTTAAATGGCATATTTCATTTTCCATATAAAATTCATGAGTATGCACTCAGTTTTGATAGATTCCTTGTATCTTTTTTTTTTTTTTTTGTAATTACATTGAAAAATGGTAAACAGGTCATATTTGCTGTTTTTATGTGAATACAATCATGTATTGATATATCATATTAAATTATCACCAGTATGTTTGTGCATGTAACTGAATTATGTTTCTGACAATTTTTTTTTCCAACTGTTACTCATGATTTTTTATATCAGCCTCACATAACAGGTCACTGTTTCACTTCCAATCCTCAACAGTATCCATCATCACTTTAACTTAACTCCTCTTGATAACATTAAACCTGTTTGTTTATCCAAAGTACATACAATTTATGTTATTGTGCTACACATATAATATCCTAGGTAAGTAAAGCTTTTGTCAGAGTGTCCATACGAATGACATGAACTTCATATGGTCTGGATGTGTATTTATATACTTATTTATTCAGTAGAGACTGAAATATGATGTTTGTTTCTAAGAAACACTTGACTTTTGATGGGTACATGGTATATCTTATAGGGGCAACTTTTTCACACTCTTACTGAAATCTGTATCACCTTTTCCTTTCAATAGTGTGAAAATAAAAAGTGTCCCTAAAGTTTGAAGTTAATGCTGAAATACTGTAAATACACCTATTTCATTGGTGATCTTATTTTAGTGCTTTTCCCATTTAAGATACAGCACTGAATTATGATAGCGCTAACTGCAGTTTCTGTATGTTGTTGATAAAGCAATTATTGGAGATGAGCGAATTTGTCATTTTGCTTATTTGTTCAAAATTGATATTGCACTGAAACTTGATTTCACCAAAATAAGTATGTTTATAGTATATGTTTATTATTATTTCAGTGAGAATGTATGTAAAGAATGTAAAGATCAGCTACATTGCTTCTCTGTAATAGATTCATTTTAACATTACTTTAAAGTGTGTACGATGTAATGTTAACATCAAAGTGCTGTTATGCTCTTTATATTTCAAACAATGTGAGTCACCATTTGATTATCACAGGAAATTGCGTAATTATAGATGTAATTATTTCATTGCATGATTAACCATTTGGTGACTTTTTATGAAACCTAGTTGTTTCTTAACTGTCTGACTGTAAAAGCTGTTGCTTGTGAAAAGATAGAAGAAGCTGTAAAAATTTGTAACTGACCTGTGGTACAAAAGTGTGACTTGTGTGAGTTCTGCTAGTATTTTAACTTGTGTGACATGCACTTGGAAACCGTTGATGTGAAACTGGTCATTTGTGTATGATTTAAATAGCAACCCAAATTTGACACATGTGATTTTTATGGTGAAAGAAGTACATGATGTATGACTTATATGGTTTTCAGAATGTGTGTTGTATAGTTTTCAAAATGGGGATGTGTATGGTGTCCAGTAAGTGGATTGTCTGCTGTCGAGAATAGAGATAGTATGTTATTAAGAATATAGATTTGGATGGTGTCCAGAATGTTGATAGTATGGTGTCAAGAATGTGAATTTTGTGCTGTCAAGAATGGAGATTGTATGTTGCTAAGAATGTGGATTTGGATAGCGTCCAAAATGTGAATTTGTATGGCGATCAGAAATGATAGCTAGCTGTATGATTAACATGGTGACTAAGATCATTGTGCATAATTTTCAAAACTTATAAATTGCATGTGAGGTTTTTCAGGTCACCTTAGACAAAGTCTCAGGCTGACCTATTGCAATCACTTTCATCAGACATTGTGCATCTGTAAACAATGTAATTTTTTCGACTTCTCAAAGCCTCTTGATCTGATTTCAATGGAAATTTTGCAGAAACCTTCCCTGGCCTAAGATGAACCAAAGTTGTGATTTATACAGTCCCCACTCTACAGGAGCCTGAGCAGCAGGGCCAAAAGGGGTCAAATTGACTCGGATTTCAAAAATCTTCTTCTCAACACCCAGATATGGTAGAATCAAATACTACTCATGAACGTAAACATCTTAAGGTGCTGTACCAAAATTGTGAATCTCATGGACCCAGGGTCTCACCTTTCCCCGTGGGGAGGGGGGTAAAATTTACTATAATTTATATAGGAAAAATAGATTTTCAATCATAATTTGTTTAATTTTATTGGAAATATTTCAAACTTAGTTAGAATTATGAGTGAAGGATGTCAGCTTGATTTAAAGCGATCCTGTGTGACCCTCAAGGGCAGATGGGTCAAATTGACCTAAATTCAAAGTCATCTTTTCAGCACCCAGATATGATAAAATCAAATGCTCTGTATGAATGGAAGCATGGAAGGTGCTTTAATTATCAAAAGAGGTCTCACATTTCTTCCTGGGGAGGTAACTGTTTTAAACTTTACTGCAATTTTCATAGAAAAATTGCATTTTTGAGCATAATGTTTGGTTATTTCCCACTGAAAATAACTTTGTAAGATTTATTAGTATAGAATGATAAGTTTTGATGGTATGCATGTGTTGACACTTGCTTACTATATTCAATATGATAATTTCTGTTTCATGACACTTGGTACCCACCCTTTAACTTTCATATTCAATATTGCTTATCTCAGGCAACTGTCAAGGCTACTAGGCCTCTTGTTTCTGAAACTCTGCAGCATTGAATGATTCCTATTATAGGAACAAAAATACACAAGTACAGAACAAAATTTTATGATTGATTTCTTGTGATTTCATGGATTTGATGTGATTTTGCTTTCAATTTGAAAGTTTTGTATGGTATGCATTTTTCAAGGGTATTCATGATTTTTCAATGGCGTTGATGGAATTTTACCTCTGAATAGATTGGGAAGCATCTGATGATATATTATGATGTAATTGATAATGTTTACAATAACTAAAAACAAAGGCATCCACTCTAACCCATTACTGTATATTTTCTCCGTGTAATAACATTGGCATGATTACTTTTTCATAGTCTAAAGATAATGTTTGTTTTGCTGAATGATTTTTAAAAAAAAAAATTCTTACTTGTATATGTAAAATCATAAGCTATATTTTACCAATGTTTAGTTTATTGAAAACTGTAAAATGCATGTCAAGTATATACTGGACTGTAGTGTGAAAAACTGGGTAGGGTTATAACAAAACATTGGCTTATTACCATGCATGTGGTAGACACAAGCTGAACATTGAAGTTTTATCTACCTCATCTCCTGTAGTATATATTTATAATACGAGATGATGAAAAAGAACATCTTGCTGTGATCTAGAGTTCATTGATGTAGGTGGACAATCTTTATTGTGATCCTTACTTTGATTGGAAGGGTTGTAATTACCATCCCATCAGATGATTCACTAATTTCTGTGGTTCTGTAGGGACTTGGCCACTAACTTAGGTCATATGGGACAGCTTGTCTTCATATCGTTTGTTGTATCTTAAAATTTAATAAAATATTGTGACAAAGAAAAGAACTTTGTTTTTGATTACAATAATAACAGTTATTACAAAAAGGAAGCTGGTACTTGATTGTGCTTTTTGTTAGCCCATCATCATCAGATCTTGGTCCGTGGTCTGTCGTCCGTCCGTTGTCTTACATCCGTCCGTAAACAATTTTTATCACTATTTCTGGAGAAGTACTGGATGGATCTTTCTCAAATTTCATATGTAGGTTCTCCTTAGTCCCTAGTTGTGCTCATTTGATTTTGGGTGTGATCAGGAAAAACAAAATGACCCACAAGCTGCCATCTTGGATTTTGACTTGAAAAGTTTGTTATCACTATTTCTTAAGAAGAAGTACTGGATGGATCTCTCTCAGATTTCATAATTAGGTTCCCCATGGCCCCTAGTTGTGCCTGTTTGATTTTGGAACTGTTCAGAAGAAACAAAATGGCTTCCAGGCAGTCATTTTCGATTTGGCAGGTAAAGATTATCATATTTTATTTGGAGTCGTGGATTTGAACAATAAAACATAAGCTCTGTATAGCTATTATAACGACTATGAATAACAAACAATTACATTTGCACAAAAAAATTATCACAGTAAGAAATTAAAACATGTATCATACGTAACTTTAAAAACACTGCTCGTTAGTAAAACACACAGACAAAAACTTCATGCTAATCATGACGCTGGACCAAGAAGTAGTTTACAGATTTTAACACATTTGGCCCTGTGACCTTCAAAATAGGTCAAGGTTTTTCATTTGAGCAAACTTGGTAGCCTATCATCCCAGCATACTTCTGGCCCAATACCATGACCCTGGGCCTTTTGTTTGAGTAGAAGTCAAACATGTAATTTTTTCAAGATGCACAACACCGGACAAAAGACGACTGCGGTATGTCACTTGTGACATCGTCTCAGGTGACCTAATAAGCTTGGAAAAGCACAAAACTTTTTTCATATGCTGCAGCTGCATATTAAGGATACTAAGTCTCGCCGGAGGTTCCATGTAACCCTGGTAAAATACTAGCCACAATATACTACTCGGCTAGAGTTTCTCTTTAGCTTGATTGGTGTCAGACTAGTAAGCCAGGGGTCCCGTGTTCGATTTCTAGCCTCTGTTACATTGGCGCACATGTAAGGACCCGGGAATAGTACTTAGCCATGCCACACCGGCATCGCTGTAACCCTTTGAAACTTGAGGACGTGTTATTTACTGGAGAGGGAGTATGTAACCCTGGTAAAATACTAGCCGCAATATACCACTCGGCTGGAGAGAACTTCTCTTTAGCTCGATTGGTTGAGCGTCAGACTTGTTAGCCAGGGGTCCTGAGTTTGATTCCTAGCGGAGGCATTAAGATGATAAATGACCTGATACCACTGGCGACATTTACAAAGTGTGAATTTAAAATTTAAAACACATGGATCTGATCAGTGAAAACTTTATCATCGTCACATAAAACTGTAGTGTGCAAGGAGGAAATTTTATTTGAATTGGAAGGCTTAATGGTAGATCAAAAGTCCTTAGAGTGAGGCCCACCACAACAACGTTCAAAAAAATATGTATGCATCGACAGGGGTTTAATCCTAACAACTAGATTTCGTTGCCTCCTATAGATATCCTGGTTGTCATGAGTTAGAATCTCTTGTATCTGCTGAAAGCCTTGTGCTTTTTTAAAAACTGCCATACACAATTTATTATTAAAAATATTGGTTCATTGGCTCTAGTAATATTTTCCTTTATAGGGAGGTTTTGTCAATAACATCCATAAGTAGAGTTTCATTTGCTAAATAAATATCATCTGTGTTGTCAAAAACATAAGTAGCATGAAAGGTCATTTTTAAACTGCTCTACATCAAAATTTATAAATTGTCTGCACTTTACACTTCGGTAGTTTTGGGGCAGCTCCTTCAATAACTATATCAATATATGATTATGCCAAACACTAACTCCGCAGCCAAAATTTATGGCATTATGACACAATGTGGGTTGATTAGTAAGTACAACATCCAGAAGGGAAACAGTCTTTAACAAAAAATGTAAGTGAACTTATTGTACAGAAAAAAAAACAATCTTTAACAAAAAATGTAAGAGAACTTATTGTACAAGATAAACAAAAAAAACACACAAAAAAAACCAATAGTACAACTGTCTCTATGTGGGATAATTCCAAGTCGTTCATGAGTATTTCTGTCTTTACGGAACGCTAAGTGTAGACTTTCGTTCATTTCATTCTAAAATACGGATTGGTATCCGCGTCCAGACCGGTTTTACAATTATACGGATTGACGTCCGCGTACGGACCGGTTTTAGACTCCATCTTCATTATCAATTGTGCGTTTTGAAAACAGAGGAAAAAGTTTTGCATTTGCGCGCCAAACGAAAGAAGGGAGGAATTAATATACTAGACTGGTAAGCTATGTCATTTTATACAGGTTGATGAATTTATTTTGTGTTAACGGACACTTAACAGAGTACCAATTTGAAGTACATATTTATCCTACCATATCAAGTTGAGCCAACATTACCTGGAGGCTTGCATCCATTCATTATTGCTTGAAAATGTTAAAGAGGAATGATCGTGGATAAACACAAGAGTTTTAGGCTTTTACATTGACATTTCAAAATAAATTTGTTTTAGTTTCAAGCAGTCGTGCCCTTATTGATAGTTTCTTTTGACAAGTTTAAATATTACCGTCGGATTCCTCAGATATGACGAAATCGCATGAATCACCAAGTATTTTTAGATGTTGCGTTTCTGGTATAAACAGAAACGTATCTGGTATAAATAACGATACTGACTAACGTTAATTACTTCTATTTATTCCAATGTCTTGAAAGACTCATCAGAAAGCGAAAGGATATCTTGCATCCGTGCTTATTTTTTTTATTAATATCATTTTTTAATGTTTATGTGGCGCCCAGATTAAGGGATTTAATATTTTAAAGTTGTATTTAATAAATATGGTAGGTAAATCCTGTACGGTAAAAGTTTCTTTGTTTAATACTGTCCATGGCAGTTGTAATTATTGTTTATTAATTGCTTCGTGTCGCTAGATCATGTGACCATCACTTTCAGTTTGAATGTATTTCGCATTGCTGCCCATCTTAGGCATATTGAGTATGGTTGTGTAATCATGTACATATGTAACAGAGGTCATTATTTATTTCAATACCTCTCTTAGGAATCGAACCCGGAACCCCACTGCCAGGCTTACTAGTCTGATGCTCAATTAATCGAGCTAAAGAGAAGTTCTCTCTAGCCGAGTAGTATATTGCGGCTAGTATTTTACCAAGGTTACATACTTCCCCACTGGGAATAACTCGTCCTCGAGTTTCCAGAGGTTACAGCAATACCGGAGGGGCATGGCTAAGTACATATGGTTTATAGTAGAAAAATCCGCACTCGGCACCTACAAAATAAAATGACACACCAGGATTGTACATACACTGCCCAAGTTCAAGCAAAAATATTATATATTTTTTTCATATTAATTTCGTAACCCTCATTAAGCCAAAATAGTGTTGATTTTGAAAGGCTTCATGATCAGAACTCATCTGATTTTATCACTTCAGATTGACAATACAATTCGGGTTTTTTTTTTCAAAAAGTGCATTATAAGTTTTAGCTGAAGAAAATAATCATATGGCTATGGTAACCCTGCCAAAAAAATATAAATATTTACAGATTTTTGACATGTTAAATTAAAACTATTGATTGTGTTTATATGCTGAATATTGTTTCATACTTATCATAATGTGGTGTTATCTATCATCAATATTTGATGTTTCACTTAATAACACCAACATGCTGATAGCAAAACAATCAAATGACCTTTGCTTTGTATGTAAAGTAAACAAGAATGGTACTTTGATAGTATGTAGATATGTATCAAGTGATTGATCTACCTACGAGTTATAGGACACGTTCAGCATTTCTAAGCTGCACTGTTAATTTTTGGTGAGTTTAACATGTTATATATTGGTAACATCTTATTGTTAGCTTGTGTTTTGAAGGAAAATGTCCTGAAAATTTAAAATGTAGAGAAATCACTGAATCTTGCATTACATTTTTGTACACTTTTGAATATAACGTTGAAACATTTTTTTGAAAATTGTCTTAATATGCAGAAAACTTTTATTGAGTAATACACAACATCTATTAATTTCTTTCTTTCTTGATTCTGTAGAATTAAAAAAAAACTTGGTCTTAAGCATGCTTGGGTGAAGGGAAATCAGTTTTGTACAAACCGTAGGTCTCTGCCCCCTGGAGCTAGATGGGCAGGCCCAAGAGGGAAAATCTATCAGTTTTTTTTAAAAACCTATCTTATTCTTCAGTAATTGAATTATATTGTCCAAAATTGGTCTGAAGCATGCATTGGTGAAGGGAAATCAGTTTTGTATTTTAACAGTTGGTCTATGCCAAATGGGGTCAGATGGACAGGTCCAACAGAGAAAATCTATCATTTTTAGTTCGCTTGGCTAATTTGTGTGCTTAATTTCAAGTCTGAAAGGTAGGACTTTAAAATTATAAATACATCCTTTTAGCAGCAGGGTTGATGAAATAAATACTGTATCAAACATTTTGTTGAAAAGTAGATAAAAATATATTTATTCTATCACTTTCAAGTGCCTTGTACTCATATTACTAAAAATAAGATAAAGTAGTCATGGTAACTGTCCTAAGAACAGTATTTACCATAAACAGTCTGCTAATCACCTACAGCTACATATACCTTTTCATCTGATTTCAAAGCAGGCTGTTTTTGTTTTACATTACCAGCTACAGACAGACTCTCAAACTGGTACGTTAACAAATGAAATAATAGTATTAAGTAATTTACTATACTTCATCATTCAGAATATATCTTGCTGGACTGAAAAAAAAATGAAAAGAATATTTAACACTTGGTTTCTGTATTGCTAGCTAAGTATTTAAGTATTAGTACATACAGTGATTTAATTACACAGGTCTTGTACAAAGAATAATTCTTAAATGAAATTAAATTGTTTTTTTTTCTCTCTGCAGAATACTTTGGTTGTCAAGCGGTCAACAATATGTCGACAACATCAAAGAAGCACAGAAACTTTGTTGCAGAGCCTATGGGTGAAAAACCAGTAACTGATTTGTCAGGAATCGGGGAGACTCTGGGAAGCAGGCTAGCAAGTCAAGGATTTGACAAAGTAATTATCTATTCTTTGTCTCAGTTTTTTAATGGATAAATACTTTTAATTTTGTACTATAACATGCTTTTACGTGCAATTGCAATAAAAAAAAATGCTTATACTGATATCAGACACTGTATGTATACCTCCTCAACTAATTAAAAACGTTGAGTGGTCATGTGTTTTGCTACCTTTGAATTCATATAGTGACACAGTAAAGAATAAACACATTTGAAATTTGCCATTACATCCATTTGATTTTAGGGGCAGTGCACTTCTGAATAAAAAAGATTTCTGCTCTGATGAATACTAGTAGATATCAAATGATATATGTAGATGCAGTGTGTTTTGCATGTACTGGAGTCCTTCACTCAAGTTCTGTTTACAGCAAGTTCCTTGCATATTTTATGAGGTTGTTGCTGTTTGCTTTTCACACAATAACTACAATGTGATTATCTTATTTGAATGAAATTTGTTCAGTTTGTTTGTATTACTTCTTCTTATTGTAAGACCTTTGCACAGGTTCTGTGTTTGACACACATTTAGTGATGATGTGATCAACAGGTTACTTTTGCACAATTTATCTGAAAGGATGGTCCAAGTTTGATGAAACTTTGCTCCATTTACATATACCGTATGCCCTTTTCAGCTGTGAATTCTTGGGTTTTCATGACATATCTCTGGAAGGTGTCAACTATGTCTTTGGGCAATTTCTGGGCAATGTGGGTACGCCGCCTTCACACTAGATTGTTTCGTCTCATAAATCTGGAACACCAATTTGGAGATGCCTTGAAGTCAGGATGGTTGCATTGTTTCGCAAGTTGAAGGGCTCGTAGTCTTAAAACATTTCTTGTTACGATCAGTCTGTTGCTGCATAAGTTCAGGATCCATTCAGGCAGTTCTTTTTCTCACTTATCGTAATGAGGCAGAACTACTCTCATCTTCTTTACCTTCAGTGTTTCAACAGTTATCATCTTGTCTTCTTTCGACTGCCAGTCTCGAACCATTTTCTCACCAATGCCAAATTCTCTTTCAGCAGCCCGGTTTGAATGTTCTTTTGCGTAAGTTACAACTTTCAGCTTGAAAGTAATGTCATATGAGTTTCTTTTTCTCTTCATTGTGAATCAGATGTAAGGAGTAAAGTGTAATTGCAGTTGTCAATTTATGATAGCGATCGACAGATAATACAATATTGCGAGATTATTTTATATATCGGGTAATAACGAAATATTTATCAGCAATACAACCCATCTTCAAAATTTGGCCAATCAAATAATCAGATTTTCGAAATGTCAACGTCATTCAACTAGTAGTCCAGCCCATCAACACATTTCACCCAATCAAGAACAACTTTCTGCAAACATGGTTGGGGTACCGGTAATGCTAAATGGCTTCTCGAAATGGCGGCGTTTTCACAGTAATCAACACCTCAAAAAGAATCCTCCTTAAACTCTCACAGTTTGACACATGCCTGTGTTTATAATTGGTGTTGAAAGGGTAAAGATCCACATAACACATCTATAGACACAAGACAAAATGTAATCAGGGTTGTGATGTTGTTCTCTGCAATTGGGTATCATTAATTTGTTGGACAAATATCGAAGCCACATAATAGTCAAATTACATTTATTTCTCAAAATCGCCCTGAATTGCAATCCCAAAAGGCAATATTTTGAATAATAATAACCACAACGAGTAATTAATTAACTTATCTAAACGATCTCAATATGGCATCCATAATGAATAACAAACTCAGCGTGTTTACTTTTTACATTTTATTTACACATTTTAAGCAAGTAAAGAAATTCTGTTGTAAGTTAATGTTTTCTGTTTAAATTTCTTTATGTCAAATCCCGTAGTTTGACTTCTTTATCTCTTCTGACCATTTTCCATCGGTAAAACTTTGAAGTCATATATGGCCCTTGAAGTCGGTATTTCTGCCACCCAGAATGCTGTTTTCCTGTGAAAATTTCAAGATGTGATTGTTATATCTCGTTTATAATACGCACCTCCTACTTCAAACTGAGTTTTGATGGGGAAATGTGCGTCTTATAGTTGGGTACGTATGGTACCTTTTTAGCCCACCATCATCAGATAGTTCGTCAACCGTCTGTCTGTAAACAATTTCTGTTTTCTTGAGAAGGATTGGATGAATCTTTCTCAAATAGCATATATAGGTTCCCCTTGGTCCCTGGTTGTGCCTTTTTGATTTTGGGTTTGATTTTTTAAAACCACAAGATGACAGACAGGCAGTCATCTTTGATTTTTTGAATTAAGTTCGTTATCACTATTTCTTGAAAAGGAATTTCATACATAGGTTCCCCTTGGTCTCCAGTTGTTCCCATGTAATTTTAGGGCTGATCAGAAGAACAAAATGGCTGAAAGGCGGTCATCTTAGGATTTCGCATAGTAAAGATTGTTATTGCTTTTTTCTTTAGAAGTACTGAATGCATGACACAAATTTCATACGTATGTTCCCCTTGGTCTCTCCTTGTGCTCGTTTGATTTTGGAACTTTTGGATTTTCAGAAGAAACAAAATGGCTTTTAGGTGGCCATTTTGGATTTTGTAGGTAAAGATTGTAAATTGCTATTTTTGCAAATATCTTATCATTAAGAGCAAAAACAGAGAAGAGAAATGAAGGGAGAAGATTCAACTTTCAAAGAGCATATAAAGATCAAACGATGGTGGATGCCAAGATTCCTCTGTGATCTCTTGTTTTATAAAGCAGAGACATCAGCTCCTGTGAGCATGTATTGGTTGCTACCTGTATTATTTGTAACAGTAGCATGTTTAGAAAATGATGTATTGTTTTCATTTAAACTAATGATGTGGCAATCAAAACCTGCTTACAAGAGCAGATACTGTTAGTAATTCTGCATTACAAAAACACAGAATTGCCCAAGTCTTTCACAATTACATATCTAAACTGATCACAGAAGTAAGTGTTGATATTAACATTTATCATTTTTACTTGCAGGCATATGTTGTACTGGGGCAGTTTTTAGTGTTGAAGAAAGAAGAGGAGCTGTTTTGTGATTGGTTGAAGGAAGTTTGTGAAGCAAATAAGAAACAATGTGGTGACTGTTATACCTGTTTGAAAGAATGGTGTGATGCCTTCCTTTAAACTGACTAAAATGTTGATATTCTGACAATATCAATGAAAATGTAAATAGGAGTACTTCGGACCATAACTCCCTATAAGTCGTATTTGCATAGAAGTTCAAATCATCATCATGAAATTCCTAAGCAATGAAACCTCAAATATTGGAATACTGATCACACCATCTGGTATTTGATAAAACTGTATGGAAATAAAGGATAATTTCACAAGGTTGCTATTATATGATCAGAACTTTTATTATTATCATTATTTTATGATAAGTAAATAGCTTTTGTTTGGTTTATTTTTATTGTGACATTTGCCTAGTTCACTTCAGAAAACTCCCAATATGGAATCGTTGAAATCATGTACACAAATTCAGACACTCCCTTAGAAAATTGACATAATGATTCTTTATCTTGTAAAAGGTTGTTCACTCTTCAAGTGTCATCAAATAATTTATCAGACTAAATCTGCTCTCTTGGTATTCTCTATTGAATATATTAAATAGGGAGGAGGACATATAGTCATACCAATGTCTGTCCCTCATATCCTGACTCACTGACAGCACTCATTCCTTTAGACCTGATTTTTATGAGCCCAATGTATACATCAGTCAACTGCAGCAATGTCTCAATCTAATTCCTGTTTCAGGGTTCAAAGGTCAAAGGACATGGTCACAGTAGTTATATATAGAATTTATCAAACATTGATACTAATATGCAGAACATCCATTTTCTGGTTCTTTGGGTTGAGAGAGGAGGAAATAGTTGGAATTTTTTTTTAAGTTTTGGGGAGATTTTATTTTTCTTTAGATTATTCACAGCATTTACTATCCGGACTCCACTTTGAGAATAATTACTCTTGTTTATCATGTGTATTAAGAATCGTGTGAAGGGTTTGTATGTATTGGGTAGTGTTCTTTTCATTTTTAAATTAATAGTTCACATATATATGTACCTTTAAACATATACACAGCTTTGTATTCTATTAGCATTCATTAGAGATCAAATTGTGACGCAGTGTTAAGAGATTTAAAACACAGCTATTGTACCATTATTGTAACTATTGCACGATCTTCTTAAATAAATTCCTTATTTTTAGTAAGACATTGAATGTATATCTTGGCTGATGTTGTTTTTATGTATTAGTTGTTGGATTATTTTACATGATCTGCCAGTGACTAGTCAATTTGACACCTTTAAGGTATAAGCATCAGACTATTCCAGTAAAACATCTGTCCCACCCAAGGACTTGAGGCTTAACTCCCAGGATTTTTTAATGACACTAAGGAAAATCTGTCGTTTTGCTTCAACGTGAATTTTCACCCTTTTCCAGTCTACTTTTTTGTAAGCAACACCCCTACCCCCCCCACCCCTACCCCATATATTTTGAAACGTGGGAATTCAAGCTTTTCAGATCTTTTGACAAAAATCATGTTTTACAAATAATGATGTTACAATAGCAATTAGCCTAGGACTCAAGGCCGTGTTTAAGGGTACCACTTATTAGGTCATCTGACCCGAAGGGTCTGATGACCTATAGTCATCATGCTTCGTCCGTCGTCGTCCGCCGTGCGCCGTCCGTAAACTTTTCATTCAAACGACTTCTTCTCAATAATTGGAAGGCCCAGGCAACTAATATTTGGCCTGTAGCTTGCTTTGATGAAGCCCTACCAAGTTTGTTAAAAAGAATGACCTTGACCTTCATTCAAGGTCACAGGGGTCAAATGTCTTAAAATCTTCAAACGACTTCTTCTCAATAACTGGAGGGCCCAGGCAACTAATATTTAGCCTGTAGCTTGCTTTGATGAAACCCTACCAAGTTTGTTCAAATGAATGACCTTGACTTTCATTCAAGGTCACAGGGGTCAAATGTCTTTAAATCTTCAAAGGACTTCTCAGTAATCAAAAGGCCCAGGCAACTAAAATAAGGCCTGTAGCATGCTGGGATGAAGGACTACCAAGTTTGTTCAAATGAATGACCTTGACCCACTTTAAAGGTCACAGGGGTTAAATATGTTAAAATCTTTAAACAACTTCTTCTCAATAACCAAAAGGCTCAGATTGCTGATATTGTGCCTGTGGCATACTGGGATGAAGGGCTATCAAGTTTGTTTAAATGAATGACCTTGAACAACTTTCAAGGTCACAGGGGTCAAATATGTCAAAATCTTTAAATAACTTCTTCTCAAATACTAGAAGGCCTAGGGGGCTAATACTTGGCCCATAGCATGCTGGCATGGAGCCCTACAAAGTTTGTTCAAATGAATGACCTTGGCCCACTTTCAAGGTCACAGGGGTCAAATATGTTAAAATATACAAAGGACTTCATCTCAATAAGCAAAAGTCTATGAGTGCCGATATTGGGTCTGTAGCATGCTGGGAGGAAAGGCTACCAAGTTTATTTAAATGAATGACCTCAACCCACTTTCTAGGTTTGGCTTGCTTTTTGTCAGATGACCGTTAAGGCCCATGGGCCTCTTGTTGAATTTTTTTTCGACAATATGCTTGAAAGTAATAAGTAAAAATCATACCATGGATAGAAGTGTTTTCTCATGGAGTCCTGGGGTCAAGTAGATACTTTTTTACTGGAATAGCTGTCACATGGTCCAAACAAGCTGAAGGTTATAGGTACATTTTTAGGTCGCCTGAGCCGAAGGCTTATGGTGACCTATTGCCATCATGATTTGTCTGTCGTCGTGTAACTTTTCACATATTCAACTTCTTCTCAAGAACCACTGAATGTATTTTGACCAAACTTGGCACAAAGCATCCCCATGGGAGGCCGCTTCAAGTTTGCAAAGAAAAAGGGCATGGCACCAATAGGGGCCACAGGAGGGGGAAAAAGGGGGTAAAATTAGGTAAATATTTAAAAAATTTTCTTCTCATGAACCAACAGTCAGATTAAGTTCTTATTTGATATTTAGGGTCCTTATGGCATGGTCTACAAAGTTTGCGAATGAAAAAAAAAATCGGGTCAAAAACGGCCCCACTAGGGGATGCTCAATACGGTCAAAAATTCAACTTTGACCGATTTCAACCAAATTTGGTAGAAAGCATCCCTTAGTGAAGGACATATGAAATTGTGTTGAAATAAGTGATAATGTTCCCTTTGGGGCCCATAAGGGGTGTAAAAGAGGCCATATGTAAAAACCTTCATTAAATGACTACTTCTCAAGAACCATTAGATGGATATTGACCAAACTTGGCACAAAGCATTTGCATGGGAAGCCGCCTCAAGTTTGCGAAGAAAAAGGGTGTGGCCCCAATAGGGCCCCAGGAGGGGGGAAAAGGGGAAACTTGATATGAATGTTCTACACAAGGTCCTGGCAAGTGTTTTAACATTTTGGGGCGATTCAAAATCCAAGATGGCCATCCTGGCCTCTGTTTGGCTAAGACATTATGGACTTCCTCTCAAGAACCATTGGGTGGGTCATGTTCAAACTTGGTATAGATGTTTTACACATGGTCCTGCACAAGTGTTGCTACATTTTTGCAACATTTTAAAATCCCCAGATTATTGACATATATTCCTCAGGTGACCGTTAAGGCCCCTTGGGCCTCTTGTTTTTAAATGCTACTAGTTCAGTAGGGACTGAACACCAACATTTTTTTAGGAAGGTGTTATGAGATATGAAATGTTGTAATAGGTTGCTCTTTATTTAAAATCGTTATAGAGAACAAAATACTTAGGTAAAGTAATACAGCTATTATGATATTAATTAGCGTTTAAAAATTATTGATAATCATTTGAAATCTGATAAATTAATCAATCTTATGATATTCATGTAATCAAATATATTTTTTGATGTTTATTACCGTAAATTTCCGCATATAGTGTGCACTTTTTCAAGCTAAAACTGTCGTGTCAAAAAGGGGTGCGCATTATATGCAGGAACATGCCATTCTTTTGGTTATCATTCCCGAGTTCTTCGTCCGCCATATTAAAAAATGTGCCATTGACTTTCAAAATAGAAAATGAAAAATGCAAGGAATATCAGTTGTTGAGTACTTACCTGTTGGAACTGAAGCTACTGTAATGGAAAAGACTATAATCCCTCTCAAAACAAATTGCCTGGTAGGAAAATTTTAAATGCTGAGATACACCCATTCAGAAAGGATTAATGTTTTGAATGAAGAGGACTTCATTCATATGCATACAAAGGACAGTAGTTAGATTTATCAGTACTAAAATCAAGCAGACCCAACTAAGGATTAATACTCTAGAAATATTGATAATCTTTCAAAGTGAAAATCCAGTTTGTCAGTCTTTCTAATCTGTACCAAAATGTGGACATCTTATTCAGTTAAAAAAACTGACCCGACATCAAATCCCTTGATAATGTAAAAGATTTTGTATTCCTTTCACATTACTCCAAGTACATTGAATTTATCATAAGTATACATACTATGAACTTTTATAAAATCCATAAACTTTGATATGTAGCAAAGGCTGTGTGAAAATTTACAATAACATTGAATTTATTTTAGTTCATTTCAATAAAACTAAATGAAAAATGTGTATTTTCATTATCTCTGAAAATGTTCAGGGGAGCATATAGTTACTGATTTGTCCATTCCTCTCTTGTTTTACCATCCGTTCTCTCTTATCCACAACTTTGAATTGCATATGATTAAACTAGGATGATGAAACTTGGTGTATACATTGATCATACAAAAACAATGTGCAATGAACTAGTGTAAGTGTACAACTCCTTAAATACAGGGTAATTACCCTTTATTGAAATTTTGTGTCAGGAGAATAACTTTGCATGATGTATACATTGGTCATACAAAAGCAATGTGCAGTATCAAGGGCCTGTGTCCTAAATTACAGAGTTATTAAAATTTTGTTTACTAAGCCAAATTTAAACAAAATTCAATAGTTCTGTAGTAGTAGTTCAAAGGTTTTGGGCCCTAAAGGTACACTGCACATCTTAGTATGACTAATGCATATACCAAGTCTCATTATCCTAGTTTTAATGATACAGAAGTTTTAACAAAGGACATTAAGTCTGTAATTATGGGGTTTTCAGGCCCTGACTTGGGTACACTACACGTCCTCTTAAAACGACCTATGTATACAACAAATTTCATTATCATAGCTTACATGAATCAAAACTGTTCTTTGGATTCAAAATAAGTTTTTAACAAAGGGCAATACCTGTGTAATTAAGGGGTTGCAGGGGCAGACTTTGATCCACTCATCACTGCACATCTTAGTATTACTAAATGATACACATTTTATTATCCTGGTTTAAATGCAAGCAAAGTGATGTGGTAGACAAAAAAAATTAACGAAGGGCAGTAACTCAGTAATTGATGGATTGCAGGCCCTGACTTTGGTACACTGCATATTGCTTTATTAGGACAAATGTGCACTCAAAGTCTCATGATCCTAATATAAACACAAAAATTAAGTTATGCTCAGGACGCCCCAAAATATTAACAAAAAGCAATAACTCTGTAGTTTAGGGGTTGCAGGCCCTGATGTTATACTGTCATAATATGACTGAAGTATACACAAGTTTCATAATCCTGGTTTAAATACAAGCAATTCAAAGGTTTGTTCTGTGCACAAAATTTTGAACAAAGGGCAATACCTTTGTGTGTAAGAGGTTGTGGGTAGTTCTTGTAGGGAAATTACATTTTGAGTATAATTGGTATACCTTCTTTTAGAAATAGTTCAAACTTGGTGATAAATTTTAGTATGAGCGGACAGTTTGATGAGATGTGCATACTGACAACAGCTGACCCCTAGGAACTGATAGGCTGTGCCAAAAATGGGTCAAATTGAATGAAATTTCAAAGATGTTCTACTGTTCCTGGATGGATGATTTTATAGAGGAAAACTCGATTTTTGAGTGTAAATTCTTTCAATTACAACTTGGTTAGAAGCCGTAGTATGAAATGGCAGATAATGTTCTGTACAATTTACATTTGCATTTTGTGTACAATATATTTATCTTACTTTTTTTAATTAACTCCCTCCTGTGACGTTACATGATGCATTGTGACTCGAGTGACCGTTTTGGCCCTTTGGCTCCTTGTTTCATAAATGAACAAAGCATCCCTGTTTTCTGAATATTTGTTTGTTGGGAGACCCACTGCATGTCAT